CCCCCCCCCCCCAAACAATATTCCGACGTTTCCCTTCCTGACCCGTGTACGCTAGGTGTTTGGAGACGTGAGAGGTCCGTGGCATTCGTCTGCAGAGGGAGACACTGAATTTGGCAGGGTGAGGAAGGACAAGGACAAGGACAAGTGTCAAAAAGCAAGGGTCATGCCCTTACTCGATACGTCTCGAGCTCAACCGGTAGGGATGGCTTTGTCCTTTGACACAGGACCTGTGGAGGAAGATGTGAGGTGGATGATCCGGCCCTTGGATATGCTTCTCTCTCTTCATATAACTATTCAGAATACATGTCCCCTCTTCGGGGCCCAGCACGGTATGTCCAAGCGGCATGGCAAGCCGGACTCGACACCGCTATCTACCATGTACCCTTCAGCTGGGCCCCTCCCAAAAGATTCGTCTTTTGCGTGTCCGAATAACCCCCTGTCTCATTGCATAACTGTGCACGTGAATCCGTGAGCGGCTCATCCAATCCACAACTTCCCCAAGATTAGACTCTGCACAATGTCCTCGTTGCACATCACTCTGATCTTGGCATCGGCGTGGCTCGTCTCCGGGTCTGTTTCTCCGTCTTCGTGGTCTGGGACGCATTCGTGTCTTCGCTTGCCTCGCCTGCGACCGCGCTCCGGCTGGTCACCCCTTCTGTTCGATGCTGATGTCAAGAGTGTGGCCTTCGCCGCTTCGACCTCTCGATCATCCACGAAGACGTATCTGTGTGCTTCGCCCTCGTCCAAGGCAGCTTCCAGCCTTTTCTTGACAGCCACCAGGTCAGGTTCCAGCTCAACCGTTGCCGGGTCCAAGGCGCGTACAAGCGAGAGATAGGGTCGTCGCTTGATCTCAGCTTTGCCCCGGCCCATGACGACAATGACTTGCGAATCACTGAAGATTTTCGGTCTCAGGCTTATAATATCTTTGACTCTCGAACCCTCGGCACCGGCTGAGAAAGGTAGGATGCGCGACTTTGTTGCGCCTTCGAGCTCGGTGCTTTCCCCAGCCGGGAGGAGGTAACTCGCCCAATCGACAATCTTGTCAGATTTGACGCAAACTTCGATCCATTTCCCACTGAGGCAGGGTAATCCCAGAGCCAAAGCTTGGAGGTATTTCTCTTTGCGGGAGTGACGGTCCGTGAGAAGAGCAGCGAACGAAAAGCCCGAAAACTCCTCTTTGAGCTGCGTCGAGTCCGGCTCGAAGAGATCGAGGAACGACTCCCGTAGGACGATACCACCATGACTCTGCACCAGGTCCACAAGACATCGCTTGCGGTCACTGTCTTCGTACGAAATCGCAAATGCCATTCTACCAAGTAGACCTTTTGTTAGGTCAATTTGCACAGCCAAGGGCCCAGGAGCAGGTATGCCTCGACGAGTTCGTGATGACGGTGTGCTTGGCGTAGAGGCTCGATCCAAGGGGGTGGAAATGCCAGATGAAAGCACAACGTGGATTGAAGGCTTGTACTCGTAGATCCGGTCTTTCATCTGCCCCCACATGTTGCTGTCCAGGTACACTGCTGAGACAGGCACCTTCTTCGCATTCTCGGCCGACACTTCTGGGAGCAGGTTCTTCCGTTGCTTTGGAGCCACGAGTACTGTCTGATACCCATGGATATCAGTCACCACAGCTCGGTCGGTCAAGATGTCTTCTCGAATAATTTGGTCTTGGAAGCCTCGAACAATGTGAGAAATCTTGGGAAAACCCTGCATATCGATCTTGACTTGGTCCCCAATGCGCAAGTCCAAGCGCCGCACACCACGCTCATCTATCTCTTCTGGTTCGTATCCTTCCCATTGAATCAGAAATCGGTTCGAGGTAGAGTTTGGACGCCCAAGACAAATGGCAGGGTGATATGCACGGGTTTTTCCGTTGAAGCATGCAAACACCATGTTTGGCGCTATGTCTCGTGCGCTGGACTCATTTCTCGGCTCAGGGTCGACCGGTGGTGCCAGGGTGGAATTCAAATCTGGAGATTTAGCAAATCCAACAGGATCGAGATTGTTCTGTTGATGTGCAACACTCTCAAGCAATGGTGGCCTCAGCGCAGCGATCTTCACTGGCTTATGCCGCTTGTTTAACGTCCTGGGAATCTCCTCCGAAAGACCGTCATCTTTTGCCTTTCGCTTCACCCCTACCGAAGGCTCGCTGAGAGGGACGGCATTTTGTGGCGGCGAGTCCTGAAGGTCCCATCCCGATGTCCGAGCTGTCAAACTCGCGGCCTGAGGCTGTGTTCTGAGAGCACTCAATGCCTTCGCAGTTGGCCTCCTTTCCCTCCGCGAGTACGTTAGAGGGAGTGACACTGCTTGCATGGCCTCTTCTGGGTGACCATTACTTGATTCTGATTGAGGAACACCCAACCCATTCGGATCCTTGGCTAGGCTGGAAGCCTCAGTAGATTCTGGTTCGTTGACAATGTTTTCCCGCGGTGTACCATCAGAACGACGGAACACAGGCATATCTGCATCCTTCAATGGCTTTCTATTGATCCGCTTTGGTGAATGATTGGCGCGAATGGGACTTTGGAAGTTCGCATCCAGCTGCAGCGCCTCAGTTGCGTTGAAGCTGGTCTGTGATTTGAGAGGCGAAGGCTCTGCAGCAATCTCCGCCATGCGTTTCCGCCGCCGACCCGGCGGCGTGGTGACAATAGGAGGACTGCTCAACTCGGTTGCGGCAGGTTGTTCAATGGCCGCGGTGGAGGCTTGCTTGTGAGTTCGTGCTGTATCAAACGTGTCATGACTCTCAGCATCACCAGTTTGGGGTTCTGGTTCGGACTCTTTCCCGCTTCGAACCTGTTGTTCATTGGAGCTGGTCTCAGGAACAGTGCTGGTTGGTGGTCGGCGTGTTTGGGAGTCCGAGCTCAGCCCAGTGAGGTCAACTAAAGCGCCTGCTGCTTCATTTGTTGAGAGATCTTGATCTGCTGCCGTAATCGACAGGTGAATAGGTATAGCCGAAGCCGAATTCGTTCGGTTTGTGGAGAAAGGTCCCGGGGGTGATGATGTGGGAGACTGGGGAACAAAATCAAGTACCGGATCAGCAGCAGAGGATCTGGGAACTTGCGTAGTCGTCCGATGTTGCTTCAGGTGCCGTTCAGGCTGCGAATCTGCCACAGCAAACAATTGTGAGCTGTTGAAAGCTATGACATGACCGTGAGTCTCTTGGCCATGTCTGAGTAAGGGGCTGTCTTGTACGTGAGAAGGTATGTCGCTCATTACCCGGTGGAGTCTGGCAGTGGTTTCAGGTATGTGACTTGCTCTATCCGAGAAATTCTCCTTGTCTTCGTCGTCCACCAGCACTATCGGCTGACTCGAGCGCGTCACGGCGACGGAGGTGTTATCTTCCTGCTCCGTTTCTTCTTCGCTTTCATTGCTCGAGATGTGTCGAGCCTGCCTAATCGGGCTTGAATCGCTTTGAATTCTGGGTCGTGTTACAGGAAGGGATCTCTCTGTAGAACTTCGAGCGGGTCCAGGGATGGGAGACGACTTCGACAAAGAGATACTTCTCATAGATTGCTTTGATATTGACGAAAGCTGGGCCTGTATCTTTCGATCACGTTCACGACGTCTCCGCTCTCTGTCAAGGAAACTATCCTCGTCGTCATCAAAACTATCGTGACCAGAATCCTCGTCCTCGTTCAGCATTTCTAGTTGCATCCGACGAGCTCGTTCTCGTAGAGCCTGAGACTGTTTTACAGAGACGTACCGGGAAGCCGGCTCCGTCGAGGCTCGCTTAAAGTCAGAAATGGGGCGTAGAGGCGATGAAGTCGCAGCTGTCACAGGACGGGGCTGCAGCTCGATGTTTGGTGACGGACGGTCAGAGTGCAGATCTCCATTGGCATCGCCGATAAAAGGCGAGGTGTTAGCCTGAGTTGCAGCAAATGCCTGGCTGAGACCCATGACATGGGCATGAGCTTCGCCACCTAGGAGTAGAGGATTTCGAGGCAACTCCGGGCTGTCCACGACATCTCCATTGTACCTTCTCTTTCTACCAGCGGTGGCTGGGGTCTTGAATCGCTGGGACTCTGGAAACTGGGAAAGAGCGCGTAGTGACTTGGCAGGAGAGAAGTCAACCTGGGCAGACTGCGAGTGTTCCTCGTCTCCATCACTAGCTGGTTCCTTCTGCGAGACCAAGCTTGAAATCAGGTCAATCTGACCTTCATCGCCCTCATGCAATGTTGCTCCAGTCTCTTCTTCCAAGTGTTGGACCAATTCAAGACCATATCCTTCGTCTGGCAGTTGTCCTGCGCTTCTACTGCGGTCGAGAAGCTGCTCATAGTGTGAAGGAGACAGTTCTTGCGTCGGAGCATCGCTTCCTTGACTAGTCATCTTCTGCGTGGTGGCAACTGCTTTGATCGGCGCGAACGCAGGTGGAAGGAGTTGGAGCTGGCTTTCGGCATCTGCGAGGATGAGCTGAGAATCGGGGACCGTGCTGGGGAGTTGGGGAACGGAAGCTGGTTGGGTGTCAGGAAGGACAAGTTGAATGTCACAATCTGCCGTGACTTGGACTCCTGTGTGCGCTTTGTGTTCTGGGTCTGGCTGTTCGTGGCCCGACTATGGCGCAATTAGCGTCCTGCGAGGACCAGGGTCACTTTCTATTTACCTCCAACGGCGCGAGAATGTCCGCCTTGAGATTTGCAATGTCGATACTTAATAGACTGTCTGTCGCCATAGATGTGAATCAATCCATGGCGCCACGCATTTGAGCGCAGGCCCTGCATATGGACAACGGGGTCAAAGAATTTAGACAATGGATGGGCGAGTTTCCGCGTCAAAGGGTTCATGCAGGCCCACGTAGCGCGTGCCCGTTTAACGATACGCGACCATTGACTTGTGCGGGGCAGAGGAGAGGGTGACGGAACAATGATTAACTCCGAGCTAGCTGGTGGCTGATTGGACAGCCTCGGCAGCCTTGCCTGGGCCAGCCTCGTGTCTACGCTTCCTCCTCAGCCTTGCCGACATTCGATGTGACCCCCAGAAGATCTGTCAAGGTCTGCCAGTGGCCTTCCCCCTGGGTCTTGTTCTTGAGGACGCTGATCCAGAGTTGGCTGCCCTTGGTGACCCTCCATAAGAGGCTGACCGTATTCCTGCCTTGTGCTGAGCCTCACTGGCCCATGCGTCCGCGTCCGCTTGCGGAGGCACAGAAACATGACGAGCGAGATGATGAGGATAAGGCCGAATATTGCGGCGACCACGGCAGCCATAATCTCACCCACGTGATGCCCCAGCTCGTTAGAGCTTTGGGAAATTCGTGGAGCTGCATTGGTCATGGTATTTATGGCTGCGAGTCCGCTCACGGAGAACCCAGGAGACCAGATTGTCGTCACCCATTCTGGGTAGCCTGTTACTCCTGGCGTTGTGGTACTCTGCTGAACATCATAACTTCCCAAATCGGTCCCACAAGAGAAACTCTTGTAGTTGTAGGGCGGATAGTTGAAGGTGTTACAATAAGTCGTAGAGTCTTCAGTGCTATTGACTGGTCAGCACATCGCTTGTCGTAGATGCCAATACTGCCATACCATTTCAGGATCATGTCATTGGACTGACAGTTTTCATCGCAATTGCCATCAAATTGATCTGCTTCAATACAGGCCACATTGTAATAGCATGAGTCTAGAACGACCTGAGACGTCAATGTCGGTTCATACGACGAACAACAACCGACGGCACTGAAGATGGAGTTAGAGGCGCAGTAGCCATTGTAACAGGTGACAGGATAGGCTGGTCAGGAACTGTCAGCAATTGCACTCAGGTACCTTGCTCATTGAGAAACTGACATGCGTTTGCGTTGATGTATCCGCATACTGAGGTGAGGCTGTTTTCGAACTCCAACTGTCGTTTCTGTAGCTCATGCTCTCTTGACGGCGCTGCAGTTATCGCTGGCAACAGATTTTGACCGTACTCAGGCAGGTCACGAACAGCAGTTTGAGCAGGCGGTAGAGATAACCAAGGCGCTGTGAGAGTCATTTCCTGACATAAAGGCGCCAACTTCAGCCTTAACAGCAGGGGCGAGGAATATATCTTGCCAGCACATGGCATAGTGAGCTAATAGGGACTGTGCAGGTCACCCCGCATATTTTCGAGATAATGGGTCATCCTTCCTCTTCACACGCCCGCGCAGGATATTGTTTTTCTGCGTGAAGGCCGATTGGACCTGTGCTGTTCTGCTGGGGTCGGGACAAGCCCGCCATCCTCGAACCGAGGCGCTGGTCGTTGTCAGCCTTGCAACCAGTCTCAGCTGAAATAGACTTGGCCCCAATTACAGCTCTGCTCTCTCCTCTCGTGCATCTCTAACTTCCACACTTGGGCAACGCCAAGGTCCTGCCTGAGTCATTTTTTGGGTGAACTGGTGCGATGCCATGTCGAGGACAGTACGGAAGTGGACTATGGCCAGAGGCTCCTTGTGGCTGCAAACCGATGAGGCAGTCAAGCACATTTTGGAACCCCGCGCATTTCTCTCCGGCTCCATCCTGCCTATCTTCGCAAAGTACATCATCTGTCACGACTCTGTAACCTAGGGTACTTTGGTAAAGGATTTAACTATTCGCCGTCATTTACTACCACAGAGCAAACCGCTACAACATGTACCGCAGAGCCCACCAGGCGCCGGCAACAAGCAAATATTCTCGAGCTAGAGACCGTGAAACAGTACAACCACCGACGAGCAAGATCCAGAAGCACATGTCTGGTCGCTATGGGGACGTTTGGCTGAGCTTTTCTCTCGTCGCCCTGCCAATGCTTGCGTTCAGCGCGTTGCTTCTTGGACTCGTCTACAGCTATCGCGTCACCCATGCTCCCGCCCCGACCTCCGGCCTGCGCACAGATGATATTGTCGACGAGCCCGGGATATACTATGTGAATCTGAGTGCTACCGTTTTAATCTTTATTGCGTCCTGGTCAAGCACCTTAGGACCACTCCTCGCAGGCTTTCTCATGGCCCTGGCCTCATATCCTCTTTCGAGGCGGTACTGGGAGGATGTTCAGCAACAGCAACCAGACCTGCCAACGCCATTCCAGCTTGTACTGATACTAAAGTTCTTCACGAGTGCCGGATGGGGGCCATTGTATAGTTGGATCAAATACCTCATTGGCTGGAAGAAACAGAGACAGTCGCAGTCGAGACTGTTGATAGCAAGCGCTTCTGTCACGCTTCTCGCAGCGTTCTTAAGGTATTGTTTAAAGCTCAGTCCAGAGAAGACGCGAAGCTAACAGGCCGCAGTCTTTTAGTCATTCTCGCGGATACTTGGCTCCATATCACGACGTCGACGGTGAGCTTCGTGCAGATCAGCCCAGTAGCTAGCGGGGCAAATCTCAGTTTTACTCTGAAATCGGACTGCCTCAAGTCGAACAACTCTCTCTCGGCAGCTTTTGATAACGGCGGGGCGTGCAACGTGATCCTCGCAGCCACGGAAATATTTCTCGTCGATCCTCGTCAAACTTTGGAGGTGCTGAACAGTGTCTCTGACACAATCAGGGTCTTCAACAACGGGCCCGACCCAACATATGTGTATCTCGGCATTCCGCCTTCGAAAAGCATTGCTGGTCGAGATTTCACGGCGACAACATTTGGCATGCGTACCGAATGCAAACCCATCTCTAACGAATGCAATTTGAATGGCTTCGCGGGAACATCCACCCCATTCATGTGCACTCAAGCTTTTGAGGGCGACCTGCAACAAACATCCAATGGTTGGCTCTCTGCGTATTTCACACATGACACTATGAAGTCCAATCTGACCACCCAAGGAATTCAAAACCCCTACTATTACGGGCTTGCAGTCTTGATCCAGGGCCTCGGTCCGTCAGCCTATACTGCAAACGGTACGGACCTGCCTGAATTTGTCACACCCGTGCATGGTGGAACTGCCTTTATGCTGCTCTGTAGTATCACGACCTACGATATTGAATACGACTCAATCCAGGGTACCGTCACACGCTTCGTGGCCACCTCGAGCAACAGTTCTGTTGCCAATGTCTGGCATGCTCCAATGGAATTTGTGAATGTTGCACAAACATTTCTCCAGACGGCGGCAATAGTTGCTACTTTCACGGCAAAAGACGCGCAAGATCTGGCGGATCAAATGGCCATTGCATATAGCAAGGTGGCTTTGGGCGTCGGAGCACAGTCAGTAGAGGGGGCACCAGCAATTGCGGAACGAACTTCGTTTCTTGTGACACGCCTACCCATGGCACCGCTCTTCGGCTTGATTGCGGCGAATCTCGCATTCGTCCTCCTAGCACTGATCCTGACGGTCATCGCGCTGCGCACATCGGGAGGCGAGATCCGAGAAATCCAGGCACGGCTGAGTATTGTTGGCCTCGTCGCGGATCGTTTTGAAGGTGGCAGAACAAAAGACCCGGCGAAAGACATGGATGAGCTTTTCGAAGAGCATGACGGAGCTACAGGTACCAGGGTTGGGATGGAGCGCTCTGCGACCGGCGGATATGCCTACACGCAGTGGACCACAATAACAGGCTGATTGAGACTGTCGCTCTCTGCTGCGGTGATTTTGGGGCTCTGATAAGCTGCTAAAAATGAGGGCGGATGTGATTAACGATGCCAAAACCTCAACAAGATGCAGAGAGTGATTGAAATCTCGTACTGTGGAGACAGAAAGCTCTTTTATCGCCTACACAGTAGGGATGCCTCAGCCTTGTCGCCCGATCCAGAAAGCGGGTCTGGCGAGGCTCCCCCTTTTTGTGGAGTTCGGCTTCGGGCTCCGCGGAAACGTCACTTGGCCCGCTTGCACCACTCGATATGGGCAGCCTGCCCCCAGGTTCAAACGTCAAGATGGATATACAGTGCCATGGTCGGTCCTTCCGCCATTCCTTATATATCTTTCGGCTTTGAACACTTACAAGTCACGCTCGCTTCCCGAGACCGAGATCCTGGCTGAGCTCCACTGCCCGCGGGCTCAAAAGTCACCTCCTCAAAGCTTGAACAGACCGACCACGCAGACCCCTCTCTCGAATGGCAGAGGCTTCTGAAGATGCTGACCAAGCTGGTGTCATTCGAAGAGCCGTATGTATTTACTCAGGACATTCCTCTGCCACGTGCATCATTTTCGATCACCGCACGAAGATCTGATTTATATATGCTAGTCAGTATGCTAACATGCACCCGGTATGAGCTTGGCAGTGTGACCAGTGTCGCGCCAGGAAGGTACCACCTTATCATATCCTTCACTTTCCGGGACTTGACTCTGATCAAGCGTCTAGATACGATGCGACAAAGAAAGTCCATGTTCCAATTGCAGGACCGCAAAGAGGGAATGTATCTTTGCCGGACTAGGACAGAAATCCAGGCAGCCAAGGCAGAGGGTGTTGATCTCCCACCAGTAGTACGGCATGGCTTTGTACACTAATCGTTGCAAACATGGGCTGATGAAAATGTAGTGAACGGAAGATTGACCAATTCGAGTCTCGCTTGGGAGGCATCGAGACGATGCTTCGCAATCTTACAACGTCCCTCCATCAGGGTGAGAATGCTGTTTCAAGATACTCGAGCGCGGCCATACGAACATATACACCTTCCAGCATGGCCGAGTGCAGCTCTTCATACGAGGAAGGATCACTCAATGGAGAGAGCGAGCAGACTTTTGAGGGCAACTCTTCAATGACCGCCCACACCGTGTTCGCTAGTGAGTTCCTCGAACAGGCCGTGACTAATACACCTCTCAGCCGACATCTCAGCCCAAATATCGAGAATGCGCTGGCATCCCTGCGGCAAATGGTCCAGATGCAGCACCGAAAGGACAATTCGCAGGAGAGCACGTTTGCCCACCAAAAGCCGATACCGAAAGGGGGCCTCAGCCAGCTACCCTTGCCACCGACGGATGTTGTGGTGAAGTTATTGCGCGAGATTAAGAGTCAGTAAACCAGTCTCCAGGGCTACTTTCGCGTGCCGCCAGAGTAAATGAGAGATCTAATGGAACACAGCTACACCACCCATGATATTTATGATGACCTGTACCTTTATCACCGCCGAGTCCTTCATAGAATCCTGTCGGAAAGTGTACTTTGCCACCGAGGACTACAGCACCGCCTGCTTCATCGTCGTCAATGCCGGCCTCTTCTACCTGTTCCAGGAAAAGTTGTTCATGGACGAGGCGAACAGCCAAGAGTATCGTGAATATCACTATCTGTGCAGGGATAACCTGGAGACTGCTTTGGCTAACTTGCCGCTCCTTCTGCCGCGCAACAAGGAGATGATCGAAGCTTTACTGCTCGGGGTGAGTGCCATCCGATTAAATACTTCATATTCTCAATTCATCTCTTCCTTTCTGACAGTGAAGTAGGTCACTTACTCGATCGAGGTCTCGAAGTTTTCGCTTGGGTGGCAGCTGAACAGTGCCGCAGCCGCCATCTGTCAGACGTTGGGGTGGCACCGCCTCCGGGCCACGGAAGACGAGACCGACAACGCAAAGCTGGCCATCTTCTGGTTTTGCTACATGTTGGACAAGGGCCTGTCGTTGCGCTTCGGGCGCACCTCCGCCATGCAGGACTGGGACATCTCAACGCCACGGCGGTTTAGCAACACCCAAATAAAGGAGCCATGGACGGACACGATCAATCTTTGGATCAAGACCGGAGGCATACTGGGCGAGACGTATGAGCACCTGTACAGTCCGGCGGCTCTGGCCCGGCAGCCGGGTCAGCGGGTCGAGACGGCGAGCCTCTTGGTAGCAAAGATGAAACAACTGTGGAAGGAATTGGACGACCTCTCGATGACCTTGAAGCGGGAAAACGGGGCCATGGTGGCATCTGACGGGGGGACCAAAGCCAAAGAGTGGCGTGCCATGTCGCTGGACATGATCCTCAAGTCGGCTGAGGTCAGCCACCTGGCATCGTTGACCCTGATATACCGCGCGATCCCAAGTGCACCGGGCTTTCCCAGCACATTCAACTTCGAATGCATCGAAGCGGCCAGAGCGGCTTGCAAGCGTCACGAAGAATGCATGGAGCTCACCGCGGACAATCTCTTTGTACAGGCCGGGTATCTGCACTGGTAAGGCCGTCCGTTCCGATTTCGATCTACCTGCTACGAACAATGCTAACTCACAAACACGACAGGACGATCCTATACTCACCCTTCACCCCCTTCATCGTCCTCTTCTGCCACGTCATCGAGACGTCAAGTGTCGATGATCTCCAGCGACTGGAACAGTTCACGGCGAGCCTCGAGCCGGCGCTGTCCATGTCCCGCGGCATCGAGAAACTCCATCGTCTCTGCAAGATCCTGTCCCAGGTGGCCGCCCTGTACGTCGAGGCCAAGATGCCACAGCAGGAGGACCAGGACATGACCATGGTCGGGAACGATTTCGACATGTACCTGTCCCAGCTGGGTTTCATCCCCCAGCCACAGCCGGGAGGCGAGAGCACGATCAGTGGCGCAGGCGAGTACGGGCTGGAAGGCTCCGGCGCGACAGTGAACCAGCAACTAGGACTGGGGGATTGGTTCTCCGGAAACAGATATGTCATGGGACTGATGGAGGGGGACTTGTTGGACTTTGATCCCGAGGCGTGGACGTCGACGACGGGAGCGCGATAGCGACGGTTCGCAGTGTTTTGGAGCCATAACTCCCAACCCCCAGATCGGGTCCAGACGAGGCGGCGCGAGGCCGTGCGAAAAGGGATCAAGGCTCTGACAAACCAGGAACTGTTGTTGCGTCCGGCCATCTTTCCATGGAGAGGCCCGGTCCAGAAAGGCGATCCATCTATGGAGCTTGAACCATTATATGCACCTCCCCCGGCTTCTCCCCCTCCTACAGAGTCCGAGTTCCTTGCACGAATACATCGTCCTTCGCTAATGCCGCATTCTCTCGTCCACCGTTACCTGGGGGATTTCCTCCTTGGGTTCTTACGCTGAGCAAGTCAAGGGCCGCAAGTTCCGTGTCAGGCAAAGGTCTCTTGGGCCGTGGCATCCCTCAGGACAGCTCCATAGGCTAGCTCACAGAGGAATTTGCATGGCCCTAGAGGAATAGACACACGGTCGAAACGAAGCATGGGGCTCCAGGAAATAGACACTTTCCCTGTTCTAACATCATTGTGATCATTCATGTCCCTACCTAAAAACAGGTCTCCCCTGGGTATCTAAAGATTCATATATTCATTCCAAACCTTCATGTCCGATAAAAAGCGCTTTTTGGGGTTTCCCCGTCCGTGTGTCCTTCCTTGCATCGACATTTTGCGTAAAAAAAAGGAGGTATATTTTTATTCCTCGCCATTCATCATCGTAGGTCACTCCAAGGTCTCAGTCTCAATCTCGACTGCGGTTCGGCGTCCACCTCCTCACATTGACATCCCGGATCTTGTACCTGGAAAATAGCCAGCCTATATCGACATCCTTGCGCTTCTTGGCGTCTTTCAGCGGCGGCGGGACATCCACGTAGCAGAGCACCAGCTGTTTATGTACCTGTGCCTGTACCCGATTAATCCCGTGTAACCACCACCAATTCTTCTTGCTTGTTCTCCTTTCGGTGGCTTTCCGCTGCTCCGGCGACGCTGATTGTGTCCAGAACGGATCGGTGTACGAGGGGATGATGACAACTGCAAACTCGGCGTGGGAGAAGGCCGGGCCACGGTTATACAGGAGATAGTCGGTGGAAAATTTGACGCCGCTGCGGACAACCCAGCCTAAGGAGCGGTAGTGGTGGTACACTGCGTAGGAAATCATGAAGGGGTCGTCCGGTTCGGCTGGGACAGACAGTGACCGGGGAGGGTGATATGAATGGCGTCGGAAGAGGGAGAGAAGAGATGTCGGAGGGAGGATCGTGTTGCTGTCATCGCAGTAGATATCGAGGACGCCCAGGGCGTAGGAGAGGAAAAATGCCTCTTCGAGTGAAACATTCAGGTGTTCCTGGTTTTCTTGCTGGACGGGCTTTTCGCTCTCCGGTTTTGCATCCTCAAGTGGAGACGTGCCGGGACTCTTGATGGGTGATATCACAGGGGAAGTCAGGTCAAATTCGCGGGCTTCGATGGTGGGCGAGAATCGGACTGTTTTGGTTCTCTGCAGTCTCTTCACCGGCCGACCTTCAACCTGACTAGTATCTGAGCAGGTGGATGTGGGCGGCGGAGTTGGGATCCCATTCGCCTCGATTGCTTTTTTCCACTCCTCGAATCCTTGGATTGAGCCGTTCTCCTTGTTGTCTTCTTCAACATCAGGCGTCGCAGTCCCACTAGCTGATTCCAGTACACTGCCAATGTCACAGATATTTTGAGCATTTGTTTTGAGGACATTTTCCGTGAGAACGCCGTTAATGTCGCCGTTCAAACTCCCGTTCCGAGGCAGTTGGTCCAATCTGGGTCTGTCGGATGCGTGAGTTACATTGACAATAACGTCGCCGTTCTGCTGTGATTTTTGGACTGGTTCTTGCTCAATGGCACCATCCACCTGGCCCACCCCATCACCGTATTGCTGCGACTCTTCTGATAACTTTTGATCGATCTCTTCTTGCTCCTTCCGTGCCCGTTCTTGCTTCAACTGCCTCCTCTGCTCCCTGCGAGAGGCTGTGTTCTCTTCGGCTGTCCGACCTTTCTTCTGTCTATTCTCTAACCAATTCGGCTCACTTCGGCTGAGGCTACCTCTTCCAAAGAAACCCATTTCCCAGAGTTTACGTATCGTCTCCGGGTCGGTGACGTGGATGGAGGAAGTGGCCGAAGAGAAGTAGCCATTGTACGTCGGACGGGTTGGCGGCGAAAGAACTTGGACGAGGTACGAGAGGGCGATAGCAACCAACGACAATGGGTTGTGGGGGATCAGAACAGGGAGTGGATGGACTTCGATGGGCAGCAGATGGCGATGGATCTGAGTATAGTTTGGTCTCTTGGGCCGCCTCGGAGGCTTCGAGGAAGGTGGTCTCGTTGACGAGGCCTCGTCGCTCACGGGAGTTGTGGGAGTTGAGGCCATGATGGATTCCTTGTTCAAGGTCAGCCTTGTTGGAATTTTCACATGTCTCAAAAGACAAATTCAGAGCCAGCAGTCAAAGGTCGGTCCCTCAGATACCGTTGTAGTCTAATACACGAAGCCCACATCGGAGAGAAGCTGAAATCAAAGTGCAACCTCCTCGGCAAGCAAGAGTGTCATCGTCGGGAAGATGGAAAATATTATGTGGTGTGATCCAGGGATTGGGCATACTCACTTTCGTATCCGGTCTGCCGTGTGGTAGAGAGGGAAAAGGAGGATTCAAGGTCAGATGAAACGGTCCATCGCAAGCCGCCCTCGTCGGTGGAGGGGAACAGTCGTACTGCACCAGACGAGCGTGCAAGTCACTCAAAATGGAAGTGTTCTTGTCAAATCGTAGTTACAATCGGCCTGGTTGGGCGCTGGAAAAGGCCTCACTCATCAAGCTTGGGGCTGGTCAAACTTATTGCAGTTTTCGGTGAGTTCGCGGGGAAATCTTTGGCGACGGAAATTTTGGGCGCGGCGGGTGCTTTGCCTGGTTCTGAAATTTCTCCAACACAAAAAAAAAGGGCACCCAACCACGGTTCTGCGATTTTGAATCACATCTACCCACCTCGTACAGCAGACTGCTCGAAACATAATCGCCAGCAAATTCAACAGCACACGAAAGATGCATCTCATGTACACCGAAGACCCTGCTACCGGCAGGCGAATCTACACGTTGAAAAAGGTCCTCGATGGCACCGTCACAAAGTCCGCCCATCCTGCGAGGTTTTCCCCAGACGACAAATATTCGAGGTAACACATACCGTCTCCTGGATGAGGGAATGACTCTGACGCGACTCTTAGACACCGAGTGACTCTGAAGAAGCGATATGGGTTGCTTTTGACGCAGCAGAGTATGTTTCGTGATCGCGCCATCTGACCTCGGAGAGCACGACGATTGATTTGTTCGCAGATAACGAAAAGAAATGATGGGTTTCTATACAGGCGTTTTGGGAGTGCGGCGTCGTCGCGAAAGGGCCAGAGAAGGGGAAAAGACATCCAGACAAGATTTGGGGATATCATTATCATACGGCGCAGTCAATACACTCTTTGACAAGTTCAAGTCTCCTACCGCTTTCTCGAGTTGACATTTCGACCAGCCCCTACCCTGGGCCGTCCCGCGGTATGACCTCTGTCGCCTGACAGGATGCCGGGCAGGATATCCTCATCCATCAGATCCTTCTCTCTCCTGGTATCCCTCTTCATCTTCGCCATGGCTCTTACGTACTCCTTCTGATCTTCTGCCAAAATCAGATCATTGCCCCATCCGCTCTTACCTCCTCCCCCGTGCCTCGGCCCTTGCCATTTCTGATTTGCGCTCCCACTCGTGGGTTTGGGGACTGAAAAGACATTGCCTTTGTTGTTCCATTGCATATTCCTCTTCAGATGCAGCTTCACTTCTCCTTTATCATTTGTTGTACACGTTACCCTGGTCAGTGAGGGTTTCCCGCACCGCGAGCAGAACTGTTTCGACATGTCTTTGGTGGTGGAGAAACATGCGTGACACCGCAGGATGAATTGCTTGATCTGGGAGATCCGTTGGCAGGTCTTGGTGGAGATGAGGTTTAGGTTCATTTGGAGGAGAACGTTTTGCATGGCGAAGTCGCCGGTCATGGTGGCTACCTGGAGATGTTTGGGTGAAGATTTAGACGCTCCGCTGCTGGCGGACTCGTCCTGGGCTTGTCGGCGTTTGATGTTGGAAGGGGTGATCCATCCTTCGTCGGAGTCTGAGCCTTCGGACTCTATTGGTTGTGTGGATGATATCCCTGTCTGGTGCTGCTCTGAAGGTGGCGTTGCTGCCTCTGTGGTTTCGTCGTTGACTTCGATGGCTTCGCCTGCTTCTGCTCGTTCCCTATGGGCTTCTGCCTCCTCGAGCCTCAGGTTATCCACCTTTTCCTCAATAGAATCCAGCGCATTTTCTGCTTCCTCTTGCACATCCTCCACGACATCCTCTGTGTTCGGAGTCTGATCTTGACCGTCCTCTGCCTTCACCTCATTCTGCGGTGGCGGAGGCGCCCCATTAAGTCTTTTCTGTCCCGGTGTCGTCCTCAGCCTCCAGTCACCTCCATTCCTTTCGCACTCGATCTCGTACGCCAGCGCCAAAATCTCAAAATCCGTGTGACTGAGCACGGCGCCGTCGCCCGTCTTGCGCGCAAAGTCCTTCACGATCTTCACACTCTCGGGATTCGGCGACCGGACGGTCAGAAAGGGCTTGTAGAGTGTTTCGACCCTGTTCCTTGCCTCCTCGGCTTTGATTTCGGCGAGGACAGAGGGCGTGGTCACCAGGACATGGCCGTGGGCGAGGAGGGTGGAAATCCCGGGCGTGTTGAGCAGGAGAGGCGAAGCGTCGAGGATTATGGTGTGCACGGGTTTTTTCTCCTCAGTTCCCGGCGGTACAGAGGAAGAGTCGGTCATGCTGGAAGTGCTGGTTGAATTTCCGCGATTTTTGGTAGACTCGCTCACACTGGCGTGGTGGCATGTAAAGCCAGGCTTGTGGGCTCGAAATTTCAAATTACGAGCACATGCAAATACGTCAGTCACAGCAATACGGTCAGTCCAGGCCCATGCACGTGCACGTGATCTGACGACGAAATCCAATTGTGGCTCGCCGTGTCTTTCTGTACTTGTGCGACTTGAACTTGCTATATGTTTTGCTGATGTCTTGGATGATTCTAGAGCATGGTCATAATGGTCATGAATTGTATGTTGTACAGCAGGCGCGAGTGTAGCACAACTGCGCCTCTTCACTCTTTCTTTTATCTTATCTTTTTTTCTTCTCAACACATAAATCATGCTCAATGCGCCACAGGCATCAGCTAGACCCAACCCCTTCCGAACGAGAAACCAAGTGGGATCGAAGCATCCACAGAAGACGTGAACAATCTACTGTGGGGCAATCCCAAAGTCCGCAGCGGAAGAACCCAACACCTTTTCAGTCCATGAGAGACGAAACTCCAGACCGAATGACGAAACGAACATAGCGTCCCAACACTTATCTTACCATTCCGCTTCCCATCCGTGGCATACTCTGTCTTCTGACAAACTCGGCCTGGCTTGTCCTCCTTGAGTTTAGATCTCTTGATGCGCCTGTATTCGTCCTCGAGAGCCTTCTAGACTCCGAGGTTCCTGAAGCAGAAGGCAAGTACGAGAGGCGACGCCCTTCATTATCGGCACGCGCATCTGCAAGGGACTGCGCGAAGGGTGATCTCTTCCGAAGGGTAGGACCATAATAGTAGATGACGTAGACGGCGAGGACGAGGAGGGTGGCAATACAGGCAAGAATGGTGCAAGCATAGTTAAGATGACGGCGACCTCCAATATCTGCGGGACTCCAAATTAGTTCCCAACGTTTCTCAAATGGAACAGTCATACTCACTTGTAAAGAACGGTGTAGCAGGAATAGTAAGCACACCAGCAAGGAAATCTCTCGACCATCCGTTACCGCCAGTGGCAGACGCAGAGTAGGGACCGTAGGCGCAGATCATATAGTCAATAGTAGCCATGTAGATGGCATAGTTTGCTAGACCCACAAGCGCAGCAAAGATCATAGAGCCGATCCAGTGGATTGGAGGTCCTTGAATTGTCCAGGCAAACCCAAACAAGCCAATTGGCAGGCAAGGAGCCGTCCACAGCAGCCACCAAAGCCGAGATTCATATTGAGCTTTCTCGTTGCCGGGCTTGGACTGTCTCTCGTGAATGTTGCGCTTGATGGCTGGAATGAAGGAGATCCAGGCAATAATGTATCCAATTCCCAGGGGCAGAAAGGCCAGGCCAACTGCAAAGACCGCAAAGTTCCATTGCGCGTATACCAGGGAGAAAGACTGGATGAACATGAAGATGAGTGCGTCGCTGAACCCACTGAGGAGCGATAGTGTGAGAACAATGGGCTCTGTAAGGAACATTTTGAACGGCCGGATCCAGGTGATGAGAATTTCCTTAACGGAGAAACGGTCTCTGAACGGTTCGAGTTCGTTCGGGCCCCAGATGTTCTCACCCGTGGCCTTGCGCCTTCTCTTTGCAATTCGATCCATCATGATGGTCGAACGTGTTTCCGGGACCAGGAAGAAATGACAGGCCTGGACAAAGCCGCCGAAGATGAGCTGGATCCAAATCGTCCACCTCCAACTGCTGACATATTGTTCAACGAACCCACCGACGATGGGACCGAGGACGGAGCCAAAGACAGAGGAGAAGACCACATAAGCAACGGCGTATTGCTGGTTATCGGAATCCCACATGTCGGCTGGGAAAGGATTAGTGATATGAACAATAAGTTGAGTGTGAAAGACTAACCAATCATTCCCAGGGTTACCGAACCTCCAGCAGAACTGAGACCACCCAGAGCTCTTCCAACCATGACGGAGGCGAAGTTAGGGGCCAGGGCGACGGGGAGCTGCCAAATATTGACCAGCGTCAACGAGAGCTGAAGAATAGGCCATCGGCCAAGTTCCTCGCTCCACGGAGCCCACAACTCACAGCCGAAGGCATACAGCACCAGGAATATCATGGCACCACATCGTGCAGCTTGTTCACTGACATGGAATTCTTGCGAAATACCTTTCAGGCCGTTGGAGTAAAGGCTAGTGTTGAAGTTCATGGACAGTTGGACCAGGAAGATAACGGTGAGGATTGTCCATTTCTTCCATTCGGGGAAGGCATAGCCCAGCTCGCTATAGCAGTCCTCTTCGGTGATTTCGATCTTGTCAAAAGTTTCGGGTTCGGGTTCGTCTTCGGCCTCCTTTTCGGCCTTCTGTTCAGCTAATGTGCTGCCAACGTGCTCGGTTTGTTGCTGAGCATCGTCATCTGGCTTCACGGTAGATGCTCTCTCCCATTCTCCAGTTTCCTCTTGGGCCTCGGGTGAGGTCTCGGTCTCTGCTGTCGGGATATTGAATTGCGGATGGCGTTCATGGGGTGCCATGATGGGTAAAAGATGCGATCAATGCCCTGTTGTGGCTCACCCACACACAAAAATGGAAGGATGAATAATTTGTCCCAAGGTCGCGTCAGCAACCTGCAACGGGGAAATCTGGGGGGAATGGAGCAAGTATATACAAATTATGTCTCATGGATAAGGATGGGACAATGCCACCACAAGGGCACCGTGGGCACCTCGGTCAACAAAGGGGTCCTGGGCAGTGAAAATGTGATGAGCTATGATATCAACAGTATCCATCTGATAGCCTCGAAGTGGAGCCGGAGGATGGCGGTTCGAATGAAAACTCACACCTCTGCACAATGACGAAGGCACGGTCATGGTCAGCTTTCTAGAAACACCCTGGCCTGGTCAGGCGCGACCTGGAGGGCGGGAAGGTGGATTGTGGGGAGGCGATATCCCTTGCCATCCATCCCTTGATATTGTTCATTTGTGACTTCCAGGCTCTTTTCAGTTTGCTGGATATGCAGACCATGTGCCGGACACGAGGCCAAAATGGCGGAAGTTAGAACAGAGATAGGAGGCGGAAATCCCTCTTGCCTTGGTGTTGCCTTGCCCATGTGGAAAGGCTGGAGCAGGCTGCGTGGCTTGATGATGGGATCTATGGTCGATCTCCCTGCCCGCCGGTCGAAGTCCATGATGGCGGCGATGGCGTTATTGGTGGCATCTGGTGGCATCTGGTGGCACAGGGTGGTGTCTGGTGGTATCAACCATGAGATGACGTCGATGGCTCGCTCTTCAGGCACCATCTCTGCTACCAGACTTTCCGCCGTGTGAACTTAGCGTAAGGCCGGAGGTCTTGGGAGAAACAAGCAATGATCTGCTCGGGAATCGGCCATGATCTGTGTTGGAACTTGGAAGTGGTTGCCGACCAGGTTCCCCCCGAGTGAGGACGACGATGATTGCCGTTTGCCGTCCTCTACTCACTCGCATTTGGCGCGAGCCGAGTGGTTGACCATCCTGATGCCCATCCTGAGCGCGACGTAATCTGACAAAAGGCATCTCGACGCTTCTTGGCCAATAAAGATGAGGTAAATCGACACCGAGCGCACTTCGACGCTCACCCGAACCTACGCCGCTTTTAAACACCATTCGCCTCCTATTCAGCTTTAACTCACCTTCGATGTACCTTTGACTTACCTATAATTCGCTCTAGGCCTACCCCTTCCCTATTTGACAATAACTTCTACTCCCGCGCTAGACTAGGATACTAGTCCCTAGTAGGCAAAATCACTAACTACCCTATTTTTAGGCCCTTCTATCCTCTCGACTTTCTCGTATGTCCCTTCTCGTTCCCTCCATCTATGACGGGGTCTACCTACCTAGTCTAGTACGAGATCTTAGGAGGTCTTTTGTAAATCTTCATCTCTTCTGCGCTCTCCCTAATCTTCTACGTCCCCGAAGTCTTAGACAACTGTCACGCACAAGGGGGACATTTCGCCTTTTTCGCTTCTGCCGGAACTCACACAAAACAAATCACCACCACACTATGCACCCCTCAAGTGGACGTTTCTCAATCTCATATCCTTTGTCGCGGACTTTTCGGACCACCTGATCCCCCGCAGCTTTTTTTCAAGCCTTCATGGGACAGGTCAGGAAAAGCTCGTCTCGGTCCCGTCTTGGGTGTTTGACCTGTCGGTAAGCTATTGCTGAGCCCGCCCCCTCCCCTCGGTGGCCACCTCGCGGAGAGGGCTGATGCGCGTCAAGGGTTCGACATGTCAAGTGTGACGAAACGAAACCAATCTGCCGACAATGCATGGTGACAGGACGCACCTGTGATGGCTACGCTGTCATTGTCCAACCACGCGAGGCTCTCTCGCTCACGTGGAAGCCTCCGGTGACCGTCGTTGGAATGGTGTTGTCAACCCTGCCACACGACGAGAAGCCGTGGGGACTGGGGCTCCTTTGTCTCGATGCCTTTCGTTCTCAGGTCATCAGCGCACTTTTCGACGACCCTTCTCGACGCCTTGAGCGCCTGATCCTGCAGGCACTTAACCAGGAGTCGTGCGTGCGCCACGCCGCGGTCGCGCTCACAGCCCATCAGCTCCAGGCCTCGTCGCGGTGGCCAGCTGGCGGGAATGGTGATGGTGCTACGAATTTTGGCCTCAATTCCTACAGCCTCTCCATCCGAGATCTGCGGAAGCTATTGCTGCGGCCGCCCGATCGACACGCCGCCGAGGTCGCCTTGGTATGCGCTCTGCTGGGCATCTGTTATGAACTCGCGCAGGGCGCCTACAACGGGGCACGACTCCATTTGGAGAATGGTCTACGTGTCTGTTCGTCCTTGTCTGGTGAGAGCTCAGTGTCCCCCCCCTTTCTTCCTTTACATCCTTTATATACCAGCCGCCTTCCTCTTACGTGTAAGGTCAACAGTCGACGACGACATCTTCCACGAATTTGCGCGCCTTGACGTCCAAGGGTCTACATTTATCGAAGGTTGGGTGCCACGGCTCACGCCACTTCTTCCCACCAACACCACCGCCGCTGCCGACAATGACGACGATGACTACGACGGAGATGGAGTCCGTTTTGATTCCCTGGAAACTGCCCAACGCTACCTCTATGCATGTCTAAGTCGGCTATGGTCGTTCTTAAGGGGCACTCTTGACAATTCCCACCGCTATTGGAATCCGGACGATCGGCCTCCGCATATTGCGAATCAAAGCCGGAATCTAGTGGCCCGTTTACAGCGGTGGGAGCTGATCTATGACGAGTTTGTGAGCCGCCTGGATAGATTTCCAAACACGTACACCCAAGCACACTCAAACCTTCTTCGCATTCATCACCAGACCGCCCAGGTCTACTTGGCGACGGCACTCTCTCCTGACGAGCTCTGCTACGACGATCATGACGATTCATTTCGCCTCATAGTTTCGTTGTCTCGGTCGCTCCTGCACCACCGTCAGTCACATGCGATTCCCACCCTATTTTCCTTGGGGCTAGGGGTTGTCCAGCCCCTGTTCTTTACCGCCACGCGATGTCGGAACCTCTGGGTCCGGGACGAAGCGATTGAGCTGTTGTCGGCAGTCCCGTGTACTGAGGGCGTGTGGAATGCTCCCGCCATGACCAAAATCGCCGCCGTCGTCAAAGACTTGGAAGAACGTGACCTCGACCGAGCCTTCCTCGAGCAGCACCGTATCCCCGAGGCGAAACGAGTTCACTCGACCAGCACCGACATCGATCCTCGGCGACGTTCTTCTGAGGTGCGATGTACGCGGCTGCCCAGTGGTCGAACGGGGGCGTGGGAGCATCACTTCTTCCAAGTCTGCTGGTGATGACCATCGTGGCCAATGGACAAGCGCCAGTAGACACGCCATCCACCGTGTATGGACGGCCAAATTGGACCATGATCTGCATACAGCCCTAGCCTCGGAAATTGCGCCCTTCGCACCTCAGCCGGGCCAAATGGAACTCTCCTAGAGCAATCGGTCTTACATGGGTACAATTAGCGTCTTCGTTAAGCTGCAATACCGTGGGAAAGGCTACCCTCACCAAATGTAAACCCCTCTAACCCACCTTGGCGACACAGGACCCATGGAAACACCAGCCATTGAGCGACTTAGGATTGAGGTGCTCCTGGATTGGGAGACAATCCACTCTTTAACGCTGGTGCCTGGCCAGATCTTTAAGGAATCCTATCCTAATCCGCAACAGTTTGACGGCATGGCGAATCAGGTAGAAGCAGTGGGACCTCACACCTTCTCGACGGCATCACGTCCACTTTCACAATATGTATTTGAGTCGGTACTCTTCTCGTGGGACGAGGCTCGAGAGAGGCATCTCTAGAATTCTATCGCCCATTCAGAATCAGGGGCTTTGATTCGAAATCTTTCCCCTGTGGCCATTGAAAGCACAAGAGCACCTAAAGTATTCCTTAGTTCGACCTCCCGCACACCGGAGTACGCAGCGAGCCTGAGGGATGCGACTCGTCAACTTGGCAACGTGGCTAGGATTCGCCCAAGTTGGGTTGAGCGCCGCCAGCCAAGGGTTCGACACTTTCTTGGGAACGATTTTCGATGCAAAACTCAATCCGATGATCTACGCACCTCTGGATTACCACGACATTGCCGACGAGCTCTCCGCACTGTGCCAGAATTCGACAAACGGGTCGTTGCTGGTCGCAGCGCGTGTAGAGTCGATTCATGCCAACGAAGCCCTGTTTACATATTCATACTCGACGGATCCGAAGCAGACTGTCCAAGCCGACACCGTTTTCCGCGTGGGCAGCATATCCAAACTGTTCACTGTCTATACGATGTTGGTCTCTCAGAGCCACAGCATCTTCTCTCGGTGGATTGGAGACTTGATCCCGGAACTCGCCACATCCGAAACCTCGAGCGACACTCGCGAGCTTCCAGCAAAATGGTCAGAAGTCACCATTGGGGCACTCGCATCACACTTGGCGGGCATTGCTAGAGATTGTAAGGATGCTACCTTGCCACATCATCTGGTCTCTTTTGGCGTACTGACGCTCCCTCTTTTTTCCTAGACAATTCGGGTGACTTGGCCGCGCTTCCCAACAAGCCCAGCGGCCTCCCCAATATCCCGACGTCCGACCTCCCTAGATGTGCCAACGACAGCCACGTACCAAGTTGTTCTCGCTCAGGTTAGACGAACATGCCCAATGCCCTTTGCTAGTTTTGGCGTGCGAATACCCTCATCTGACTGGGATATGACACAGACTTCATGACTACTTTGAAGCAGCGAGACGCCGTCTTTAAGACGTTTCACACCCCGGCGTATTCGAACAATGCCTTTCGACTGCTCGGGTATGTCGTGGAGACAATCACAAATACGAGCTATGCCGCTGCCCTTCAACAGTTGGTACTAGATCCGTTAGGTCTGAACATGACCTTTGTACATCAACCACCGCAGGACGTCCGTGGCGCCATCCCCGGAGACACGACGAGCTCTGGCTGGTCCCAGGACCTGGGAGATGAGACACCGTAAGTGAAAATGTCGCGACCGGAGCAACCTAGTATTTCTTCTGACCGCCGGCAGCTCTGGGGGTCTCTACTCCACCGCCAGGGACCTGTGCTCCCTTGGTCTTGCGATCCTGAGCAATAGGCAGCTCTCATCCGGGGATACGAGGCGCTGGTTGAAACCGTGGACACATACCTCCTCACTATTCCTCTCGGTCGGCGCCCCATGGGAAATATACCGCGCCGAGGTTTCAGGCCGTGTTGTTGACCTGTACTGCAAATCCGGAAGCACTGGCGCCTACAACTCATGGTTAATCTTGGTCCCGGACTTTGGCATCGTCATTTCAGAACTGGTCGCCGCATCCGATACGGCCGGCGAGCTGCCTCTCTGTCTGGCTGACGTGGTCACGGCCCACACCCTCCGTACCATCTCTGATCGCCAAGCGCAGACTCGAGAGCTGCTGGGGTGGTACGGCACTGCCAATGTCACCAACGCGACGACGGGCGGTAGCACGTTGGAGTTGACACTTCCCTCGAAAGGGCCGGGTCTTGAGGTTCGCAGCTGGGTCAGCAACGGCGTTGATTTTCTGCAGGTCGCCAACGAATACTCTCGCTCCACTGGGAGTGGGAGTCTTCAGTCTGTGCGACTTTATCCCGCCATTATCGGCCGGGGTGGCAAAGAGCTGAGGTACCGCGCAGTCTTCCTGACTGAAGACAGCCCTGAGTCAGGCCTGAGCATTGTTCAATCTCAGGGCATCCCTCGCCTCTTTGGCCAAGCTACTGAAGCGTGGGACAATGTGGACGAATTAACATATGGCGGACAGCCTCTGGACGAGTTTATCTTCGAAGTGGGCCCGGAGAGCCGTGTTGCTAGTGTCAATGTCCCTGGGTTGAGGGTAACCATGGCTAAAAGGGAGGTTTAGAGCTTCGAAAAAATCCCCCCCGCGCTGGATCTCCGTCCCATCGGCGTCGAGTTAGTATCTGTGTTTTGGGTAGTACGTATGTGATTGAGGAGCTATGCCGAGAGATCTGTGCTGTAATTGTCTTACGCAGTGTGACCTGAAATCCGTTGCGGCCAATACTATGACGCCCTGCTGGTCTCCCTATAGGGAGGAGCATTTCGGCGCTGGCAATTGAGGCAGGACAATATCCATTAATTTTCTTGAAGAACAAGACGGGGACGCGCGTATGCGGCCAGTGTTCGACCTATAAATACTTCTGCTGTCACTGAAAGTGTCTCAGCACCTTTTCAAGTCAGTGGAATAAAGAGCCCAATGCTCTCGAGTGAAGACTCCGCCCCCTAGGAACTCAACGAGACAAAATGGATTAGAGTCAGAGCACGCCATTTTCCCCAATCGGATTGCTTCCACAGTTTGAACTGACACGATGGACCTCTATCCTGATTCGGTTCGATTCGCGAGGTTCGAGTCCGTAAACAAAGAAGTATCCGGCCACTATTCCTAACCAGGCATCTCCTAGACGACATGGCGAATCAGAGCCCTAAGACCAAGATTGTTGCCTATAACGTACAGGGCTGAGCAAAACTGGGTCTGTACCTGACTCCGTCTGTGCACCGACAGGAGCAATCCTTCACCTCTACGGTGGCAGTGCCAGGAGCTCCCATTTTCTCCTCGAAGCATACCCATGACATATAAGGGCTCTCAAGGCACCCTCGCCCTGGTAAACTTTTCCTCGTTGAATTAAGTCTTCGAAAAGAGCGTCGAGAGAAGCTGTTTTCCTTTTTTCTCCCCCAATCAGTCTGTTGTTCATGGGCAAGGAACCTGCTAAGGGAACTCCTCCAGGAGGCCAGGATATCCGGGGCTTCGTCACTATGCCAGTCGGTCAGTACCCCGTTCTCATAGATGACCAAAAAAATTTCACGGCTCACAGTGTTGCAAAATATCCAGATCAGCCACCGACTTATGACGCCGGCCCGCCTCGCGTCGCCATGCAGGCTCCGGGGCAAACGCCATACGATCTCCGAGTGTGCATCCCATTGGACCAGCTGCGCGACGTGCCTGGCCCTATTCAATGCCCGTGCTGTGGGTTTCAGGGTGTGACCAGAGTCGAGTATGTCGCTGGTCGACGAACCCGGTAGGTTTGTTATTTGGCCGGCACGGCCCCCGATATTCTACTCCTACTGTCATCTGAGAAGATATCTGACCTCCCGTGACCATAGACGATCAGCCGGACTCCTTTTCGCCGCCACGGTGGTCCTCGCCCCGGTTGCCTATCTCACCAACGGGACCAAGGATGTCCGCCACTTCTGTGCAAACTGTGGAGTGTGCGTCGCAGTCTGGCTGAATGAGAGAAACTCCCCAGGCCAAACTCACGTCATGGCATATCAAAACCGAGCTGGTACATAGGGCCTCACCGCAGCGTCCTTGGTGGGAGTGAGACACAAGGCAGGAAAAAACAGCACATTGCCACCAAATGCCAGAAAGCTGCAGCCGGACACAAACCCCTATCCTAGCGGAATCTGTCCCAACAATACGTCAACGAACATGGACGAGTCCCCTAATTCTAGAGGGCGGCGTCACCCTTGTCCCGAAGCAGGGTGTGCCCTGAGCAGGTTTCACTCCGCTTGGCCAAAGAAATCAGCTCTTTCCTGGTCCAAGACAAGAGGGCAAAATATATGTCACTCTCATTATGAGATTATGTCTACCTTCGGAAATTTGACTTGTATTTAATATCTACCCATTCCCGCTATCACATCAGTTGGGCCGCTAATTATATAACGTCCGAAGTACTCTGGCTATTAATGGCGCCATTACCTCTGCCCTCATTGGCAGGTTCGGCCGACAAGAAGGATGAAGGAAACTCCGTCATCTCGTGGGTAGTGAAGAGAGAAGGATTGAAGTGTAACGAACCATAACAATGGGTTGTCCTCGTTTATACATCTCTGTTGCCGCGGAGGATTTTTGAATTTCGTCTCCGGCCTCGTGTGCTGTCTATCCACTCTGCTTTGAGCTTGAATTCGGGCCTTGTTTCACCCCTAGAAAAAGTCAAAGACGAGGCCAGCACGCATTAACATTCGCAGAGTCGTTCCCGTTCCGAACAATTGTTTGCGGCAGCTTCTTGCACGATATCAGCGAAGTTAAAATCGTCTTCGTCCTGGCGTCTAGACATCCCTCAAACGCTGTGTTGGGTCTGGGTGCGTCTTGTCTCGATCCCGGGACCAAGAGCATCCTATATCTCCCGCTCGGAGTGTGGGAGATGCGTTCCACCACCAAGGCAGTCCTGGAGAGCCGATGGTGCACCTGTTCTTGGGCCCGGGACTTCCTACTGACCCTCAAAGCGTGGTTCGTGGAAAACACTTGGACACGGCTGGCCCACGACCACAGCTTCGTCGGGAATCGAACTGCAGAGCTGGCTGGGATCGCACAGCACCATGATGAAGACCTGGCGTACTCGGTTTTCTCGTCTCAAACTCGATCACGGAGCGTCCTGTACCCTCGACGGCGCGGGACTTTGACATTCGACTCCACGCCTATGGAGTTCAAGAGGAGGATGATCTCGACCCGTTTCCCCGCGCCTTACCGGGCTTTTACGACCTCGCCGGACACCCCTGGTGTTTGAACAGCTCCAGTGGAGATTCTGCGGCGGCTTGAGCATGGCGGTGCTGGCCGACTGAAGAAATAGATATACGCCGGAGACGTCATCGTCGCCACCACCACTCTTTCGACATGTCGTGTACGACATGGTTTTGTCGGTCGTCGAACATCCACGGTCCTTCTCAGCCATGCACGACTGCATCGTGTGTGACCTCCAAGCTGCATGTCCACCGGAACGCATCGCAGCGTACCTCGCTGTTGACTTCTATCTATGGCCAGAGGACTGGCCTTTCAAAATCGACCCGTTATGGTTCCGCCTCGTTGCCATCGCTGACACGAATGGCGAGGGAGACGGAAGATGACTCTCACTCCTATCTACCGGCCCCTGGACAGGCTGCTGTGCGTTCTAGCGCGTGCTTGCTAACGAATTCGATCCCCGTACAATAGGAATGAAGATAACGCTCTGAGTCTCGAAATCTGTTTAATACTGAACAGTTACCGGCGTCGGTCTGTGTGTATAGTCTTAGCCTTTAGTTGGGAAGGTCAAGATGGCTGAAGTTTAAAATGTCCAATAAACGGAGCTCCGCCTTTCACCGTCAGCGTTGTCTTTTCTTTTTTTTCAGACTACACAGAGATTCGTCACAACCACCAGTGACAAAGTCAAGTATTCTCCATATGTCAGCCACTCCTGTACTTTCACGCCTTGATGACCACCAGTCCAAATCAGATGGGCAGTTGCGATCTTTCCAAAGGAGGTTTCTTCGTTCCAATCCAATAACGCCCCCTCCAATACCCACTGGAGATGCCGCGCCAGAGCAAGTCCCCGGATATCCACTAGGAGACCTTCTCAATCTTTGAGATTGGGTGATAATAAAGCGGCTGCATTTCTTGACGGGGTGGAACGCAAGCGAGTCTCGCACCATGTCGCTGATCGTCAAGTCTGGGGAATCCTTAGGATGGTATTGCAATCGATGGTGGGTCATTCTAGCCCCCCCTTGAGTTGTGCTGCTCTGCACTCTCATTTGCCATGTGTCGCGCCTGCTCACATATGGCTGGAGCTCAGGACGTTCTAGATCTCGTCAACCCACCGCCTCCCTTTACCGCAAGGTTTGAGACGAACTAGACCGTGATGATCTCGAGACCACACTTGTCGTTAGATGACTCCCCAGAAGACTATTATGAACGGGACGCAGTCCTATTACTCTCTACCCATAACTAATGAAGGATGCCTAACACAGGGGAGCCCGTCGCGCAGTGGTAATAGAAAAGTAGGGGGCAAAGAGTACTTGAAGATTATGCAAGTCACTATCATCTTCGTCTCTGGAACCGAGGTAAGACGTATGAAAGCTTGTGGATGGGGTGTTACCCACAGCCCAAATTCACCACTTGCTCTCAACAGGCAAGGAACGCCAAGGGTATCTATCCAGCCCTTCAGCCACTTATGCCGGTCCTAATGAATATTTTCCCTATTTGGATAACATTTCCGTCGGGTTGGCGGTGTCAGAGGAAGTTGAGCTGCTGGCTGGGGATATGATACTTTTTCCTTCTGCAGAGACTTTCTTTGGCGCAGCTTGGGCAGACTAATAGGAGCCATGGCCCCCTGTGTAGGTCACCCGCAAGACTATCAAATGATTCAAATAAGGGAGATCTTCCAAGGTTCCGCCTCTTCCGCCTCAAAATCATTTCCATTGCAGTAAAGTTAGTCGCCGTTTGCTATCTCTCTCAAACGTGGTCCTGAACCCGTGAAAGCCACCGACATACCAAGAAAGGAGGAAATGAATCGGATTGATATGGCCAGTTGTACTTCTCGATATAGTCGAGAGGTAGCCCTCCTGAGGGGGTGGACACACGCCTACCTACCTACCTTCCTGTCCAACTCTCGGCGGTGGGAATGAAGTCATTATCCATGGAATACCGGGTTGATGAATTGCCGAGAATCAGGCGAATTGCCGTGAATCAGGATTCGTTATCCAATGACTCGAGGTGCCAGAAGTCCCCCAAATCCACCGGGCTGCGTTGTGGCGTTCAGTTAAACTTCTATTGTTGTCACTTCCATGCAAGCAACCAGGGATATGGTTTTGGGTGGGTCACAGTATGGCAAGGGGTTAGAAGCGATTCAATAGCCACGGCTGTGCTGACCGCCCCACTCATCTGTTAATCTCCATACAGAGTACAGAAGTCTGGAACATAAATTTCGCTAGTTAAAAAGCCACTGACCAGGGTATGACCAGGCTAAGAACAATGGGCCAGATCACGTGTTAGAGCTAAAGCCGAATGCCCCCACTTTGCAGAATTTATGTCGATGACCTCCCGTATGGCTGTAGATCTCTGAGAGCTGGTATGGCGTGTAACTCGACGCAGTCCCTAGCTGTAGCTGGTAGCTGAAGGGCCATTCATCGATGCCATATGGTATATGCGTTGGCAGAAATTCCATATTCTTCGCGACTACATTACTAGATAGCACTAGCATCCTGTCTGATAGGGATTGTCTTCTCGCTGTGTGCCACGAGTCGCTTTCCTTTCTTTATGCCCAAGGAAACCACCTTTTACTTCTGCTTTGCGGTCGTCCTGTTCGTGATGTCCGGTGGTTGGAGCGCAGAGTGTAATTGACGAACTTGGGCCACGTGTTTGTGAGCACCAAATGCCTGATGACGGACGTCGCCTCTCGAAAGACATTCTCGTCGAATGTTTCGGGGATTGTGATGGTATCCCGACTCAAGATAATGTTGGCCTTGCTGTTGGTTTCCGAGAGGTTACCTTCTGATGGGGCTGGTGAGACAACGCGGGATGCTGATAGGGACCGCGGCGCAGAAGCAAACGCAGCACCTCGCTCAGTACTCTTATCATCAATTGCGCCCAGGGAAAATAGGTTAGGCTGCTCTGAATTAATGAAAGCATTGTCTGTGTCCAACGGCAGCAGCGGCAGCAGCGGCAGTTGCGGCAGATTCGCTACACTGTGTCGGTTTAGAAGTAGAATGGTAGCCTCACCGAAGACGGCATCCAAGCCTTTCCGGACCTTTGATGAGAGATTGATTGGAAACTCGGCGCTTTCCATATTCACGAAGGACATGTAAATGTGTACAGCTTGCCAAAACTGGCGGTAGCGTAATTTTCGCTCCTGTTCGACTCTTTCACTAGGGAGTATGAAGGCGTGAGCTTGATTGCGGAAGCGTGCTGCCAACCAGGGCTTTTGCCACTCTGCGACATGGACCAAGAAGCTGATGTTCTCTCCGCTGAAGTCCTGTAGCGCAGCAAACTTCTGCAGGGGTGCGGGATTTAACCTCAGTGTGTGTTGAAGTGCCAGGTCTGTGAATAACCCTCCACGCCGCATGTCCGGGGAAACGGGTGCGCAAGGCTCCGGTATCGCGGTATCTTCTGGAGTGGTCTCATCGATCGAAGACATAAACGACTGGCGACAAATTGCAGAAAACTTCGTGTCTTGAGATTGAAAGGAGCCACTGAAGTTGTTGCCGTGATCCCACGCCTGAATGCTGGCTCTGATCTGAGCTTGGAGACTCCTTTGCCTCCATATCTCAACACAAGGGAAATGGACAGTCATAAGTTGCATGACAAAGATGGAGATTGCGAACCAGAGTGGCGGGGCGAAATATTTGTTGACCGGTTCGAATGCAGGAATGTAGAGTGCCGCGAGCCATAAAGGCGAGGCAGGAAGACTTGACCAAATTAGATTGAAATAGTTCGATTTGCGGCCAACAGAGAACAACATAAGAGGTGAGGGTTTCCAGGAAGTAAGAACAACGTAGATCCATTCGATACGTACCCAGCTATACAGCAGCACATTGTCTGGAAACGCCAACCATGTGTATCATGAATATTTCGAGCTTTCCAGAGCACGTATGGGGCATAGATCCAGGACCAGAAAAACTGCCAAGTGATCGAAAGGCACCTGACAGAACAATTTAGTTGGGATATCCCTGTTCTCATGTAGACAGATGATGAGGAGAGTAGTTTTTGAGGAATGGAACCTACCATTGCCATCCCTTTTTGCAGTGGGCTATTTTTTGGGCGTCATCCCCTCGGAAATTGTCTGGAATGAATCCAAAGTGAGGATGAAATTTACGAGAGCCAAAGTAGATGATAAAGGTCGAGATAATCTATAGTATCCCTATCAGTCTGAACCGAAGTAAATTTGTTGTATCTGGTGGAATTTCGAGGGCGGACTTACTGTTACGACTATCCCCGCGGCGATGAAAAATGTCAGCCGGGTGACAATGTCTAGGACCTTAAAGCGATAGAATAGCCCTCTGGATCTGGTAGTCGATGATTCTGGTCTGGTTCGAATAGATGCCCAGTGCTCCGAGTTCGTCTCTTTGGTCGGGCTAGACAGATACGCGTATTTGCGCTGTGTAGAGGCAACATAGAGAAACTGACTATTGGCAGCCTGGAAAATGGCGATCCCAAGGGGTAAGAGAGTACTCATGACCCAGAATTCAACTGCACACGGTGTCATTGGTCCTGTAAGTCGATATATCATGGTGAGAATCCAGTATATCTGGAGAGTCCAGACGGCCGTTAGAGTCAAAGGGATTCGTCTCATATACAGGAAGGGCAAGCAACGGTTCTCCAATAGTATGTATGATCCACCCGCGAGGATGAATGTCCAGGCGATAGCAAGGCCTAAATAGGTGCAGTTTAAAGAGTCGAAGTTGGCTTGAGTGGCCATCTTGCATTGACCCAAAGAGAGATGGAGGAAGGTTACCGGTGTCACAACTATACAGAATCGCGAATTTCTTCCCACCACTTTGGTATCGCCAGGTTAATATAGGTGTGTGAAACATCTGGTTTCTTTCCTCCTCTCCATTTATTCTGACTTCTTGTGACCTGGCTGAAGAGGGCCCATATCTTCGTCATAGCTCAGTACATTATCGACACGACCCAAGCACAATGTACGTCAACTATCGCCTGAGAAACAAGGTACTTTGCTCTGTCATGCAATATGAAAGAACAAGGGTCGAGAGCCTGGCTATCGATATCCCTGCCGCCCCCTTACTCCCGCCCCCCAATGCTTTTTCTCCTCCTTTCTTCTCCTTCGGGTCCGGGGGCAGGTGGCAGTGTCTCGGCCCAACAAAGTTTATGGCCTCCCTCCAGGGGAGGTGGTTGGTGAAGTTGCGGGATGAATTCCCTAAGAGCATGGCACTACTGACTCGAAAAAGGCGCACTGATCGGTACGTACCTGGGGTATTCATTTGCAGTCTTCCTCAACGAACAATACTTATCATCGGAAGTCGTTCCAAGTTTGTGACCAGCAAATTGCTCACTCACGCCTGCTATAACCTCGCCCTCAGGCGTTGACGTATTACATGGTAATTTGACCTATAAATTCCTGATCTGCTGCGGTCGACTGGGCAGAATACAGGGATAAAGGCCATTTCACAATTGGAGCTTTGTCACGAACTGCCTCAAGAGTCCTAAGACACCAACCTGAATTAGGTGAGCGGCGTCAGGAAGGTCGGGTAGATATATCCAGTGCTACATAAGCTACATAAAGACGAAATGCATCAGGATTAGTTACCTTATACGCTAATACCTCGTATACTAGAGAGAGAACGGAGTCCATCACAATATCTCGCTTTCCTCTCTTAAGCATTGAGTCGTTGTCAACAGGAACTACAGATAGGCCAGACATTCAACTACCTCCTGGTCGGCACTGATCGGCACCTACTGCGTAGCGTAGGTCCCGATAGGTCTCTAAGAAGCTAGGTCTTCCAGACTTCAAGTGGAGTAGTGAAAGCACAAACCACTAGGTAAAAGGCCCTGGCAACTGGACCCAGAACGGCCTGGACTGGAAGATAAGGCGAGCCTCTGAATGCGATGCCCCGCCTTAGTTGCAATGTCGTACTCCAGACTGCCTGGACTTGCCATGTTGGGAATACGTCCTCGCCAGCGGCTGCCGCAGCCAGTGTGCCTGCAGCAAGATGACGCAAATCGTGATCTAACGCGCGAAATTCAAGCTCTTGGCAAGGTTGAAAGTACCACTATACTCAGCGACGAATCTTGACCTCTCCAAAGTCCGTTTCCGTTTCTAGACCTAAGTATCTCGCTACTTGACCTGAGGCATGACTAAGGTATTTTGAGCTATAGCTATACAATCCTCTGTACAGCTTCGCGATCCCTGAGGCGTGCCTGAGTTAGCGTGAGTACAGCCCTGAGTCTGTGAACGTTCCCATAACTTGGGACTCGGGATCTGTGTTTTTAGTGTTTTACATCAACGGAATGCCTAGGTTCCGAGCTCCTACTCGGTTATTATTGCCAGGGTGTACGGGAGTCGTTCACATAACTTTTCACTATCAGCCATGCTACTGCAACTTAGGTGGCGCAACTTTAGGGGGTGACCCGCCTGCCAACTTGTTGACTAAGATGACGTGGGTCGAAGAGGAGTACAACTGCACGCTCACGTATTCTTCAGCTTCGAGCCCACCGGACGCTCTCCCTGGTTCCCCCGGCAATACTTGGCATGGCGGCTGCTTCCTTGCGAACACTGGAAGCTTGCCCTCAGACATACTACAATGATCCAATGGGATTCTCACGTAGTGATCACGCACTCCTCCGACTACGCTTCAACCGATATCATCCTGTTGTCTCGAAATCGATTGTGCACGAAATCGAAATCCCTACAAACCTTGACATCTACCTCATCATGGAATCTGAGTGCAATCAATACTCGGCCGGAATTGACAAAGATGTTCAGCCTAAAGCTGCTGGAAATTGGCCATCCACAATAGTATTTTCTGCCGGTGGCTGTCCCTTGCTTGTACTGAAATAATCTGGGACGTGACGCAGTATCGAGGAGGCGGAGTACGGGGAAGCGCCCATCGCAGATGCCTGTTCGGGCTCATGGCCCCCTGGGCTACAATTGCCCAGCAGTAACCCCTTATTCCTTTTAGCCAACCAGGCCTGCTGACTGGTAACTTTCGATCCTTTCGTCAACTTGACCTGATCTTCTCGCTGAGATCCAAGGAAGCACATAACTACCCCTTCTCTGTCCTGTGACGGGGGCAGACCTTTGCCAGCGGACTCTCCGAATCCACCACTCAATTAAATTGAGGTGGACCTCTGAACGCGAATTTTCTTTTTCTTTTTTACATGTAGGTGAGTTCTAGACACCTCATTTTACGTGTCTGTAGGAAGAATTCCCTTCACTAATCTCATTTAGAACTTCTGGCTTTACCGCCGGTCATCCTGGAAACCTCCCACGGGCTGTACTTCTGCTAACCTATTTACGTCGAGTCTGCTTCCTGATCGGCTATGGCCTCCCTACGCGTACGCGAGCTCGATTCTGCTTCTGTTCCTCCTACAGACAGAAAAGCGAAGGAATGGGAAGAGATCGAGGAGGAAGATGACAATGTGCTCGTTAAGTGACAGTGGAAACCTTGGAAAGAAGCCTTCTTCGATGAACTCGAATATTAAATACCCAGCGTCCGCCGTCTCGTTACGATCTCAACAATGTGAGGTTTCACATAAGTCCGAATGGCAATATGGCGATTTCAATGTCTGCGTCCCTATCAACATTGCCAATTGGCGAAAACAGAGGCTTATATTGAGGTGCCCATTTCCGTGCGTACAGGGCGGATCCGATGGCTTAGACGAGAAAATCCGGTGTGATGCCCGACGGTACATCTGGACTTCACAATCCTCCCCTCGGGTTCCGCTCCCTCAACTTTGGGGGTTTGGACTTCCGAATGACTTTAGCGTAAGGTTCATACGATATACTAAGATTGGAGCTCACCTAGTCCTAGCTTACGCCTATTATACATCTATCTTGGATTAGATGAATTATCGAAGCGTTGAAACGCTGCTGGGCCTGGCGACTGTGATAGGTTGAACCCTAAAGGAGGCTCGGTTCGGAGGAACCAGCGCTAAGCCACCTCCGAATTGGTCAGCCATATAACTTCTACGCAAGGGATACACGACCGCGTAACGGGTGCAGACTAAGAGAGTCTTGACAACTAGAACACCGTACGCAAGGGATAGATAGCGTATACAGAATAAGGAGTCAAGGGAAAGAGGCAAGACAACGGGTACACCTTACAGTGGGGCGTACGATAAGAGGAGAGAGAGGGAGTATGAGAGCGTTATTGTGTCACGAGTTCTTCGCAATATATGGTTAAACTTACTTTGGATATGACGGGTCCGTAGGAGAACGTGCTCATGTCGCTCGTTGACAAGGCGACCTGGAAGCAGGGTGAAGGAGAAAGGGGAGCGATTATCCAAAATGGAACATGGCGGTTCTTATGAGGTTTTCAACCAGCGCGCGATCCTCGAACGATATTATCTCTTACTGTGTTGGTGATGTCCAGTACCTCCCTGAGTTGCGCGATAGGTTTTGGAAAACGCAGGCCTTTCGGTGGCGAGGCCTAGTCAATGACGAATTCATGAAGCGTGCCTCGGCATCTCATAAACCGGAATACTAGCCCTACAGCCCAGACAGGGCTATGGTTCCGTGGAGTGAATATCAGAATAGGACTTTGGATGAGTGGCATTGAGTCCTTCCTCCTAGCGACTACTTCGGCGAAGACGACAATTGGGTTTCGATGAAGATGACGATTGGGATGACGGCGGTCCGACCAGCTGCAGGGACTTCATCAGCAGTTGGGACTACGGCTATTACTACTCCGACTGAGCTTAGGCGAAGAACGACCGGCATAAATATCATTCGAATACCCGTCAGATATCGCAATCAGCCGTGTCTGTCGGATTTTAGTACAGAAGTTTTCAATTGCGGCTACACCTTTAGTCTAGTTTAATTTAGCTTGGTCTGCGATGGACTGGGCAATGGAAAAAATATTAGGGAAAGGGGGTAACTTATTATTAGAGTGTTGTCGATAGTAGCAAGAAATTGACAGGTTGAACTCTAGAAGACATGGATTTGCACTATTCAAAGCCGCGAGCTCTCCTGTATTAGATATCTGAGCCAACCTTTGACGAAATATGCTTCTTTCTTCCCCGGAACAGTAAGATTCCTGAGTCATCGCTATCCGTAAAGTGCTCATATTGCTCCCCAGGAAGCCTCTTTTTGTCCTGTTTGTTGCTTGGCTCGGGCTCATTTGTTGCTGTGACTTCCTGGGATATGCCATTCCCTGCATTCTGTCTCTCAGAATCGCTCGACACCGACACTGATACCCCATGATCATTTGGACTCTCGTAATCGTGGTCGTCATGTGACTGACTGGTATTTCGAGCGGAGCCTAGAAGTGCGTCCACATCAAGCACGACGCTGGACATTCCAGTGGTTGAATCTGGTAGCTTTGCTCTCTTGGGTCGTCTAGACAATATTTGTTCCTGTAAGTCTCGACGGATGCAGATAAGCATGTCCTGTAGCATCTTGAAGGTATGGTGCTCCTGTGGTCGGGCTGTTTGCCCGGTAGCACGACGGTCAGGAAGCGGAAGAGGATATGGAGGGGCCCAGTTGATCCACAGATTCCCATGACAGGGCCGAGGAGCGAATCGACCTGGGTGGCATTGCATATAGATATGGCAGCAGTAGCATGAAGGCTTGCTACAGCCGATGTATCTATCATCCGTGACGAAGTCGAGTCTATTGCGATAGAAGTGCTCGAGAATAAGTAACTCTGCGTGCGGACGAGGTCTGATTTGCGCATATTCATCCCGAAATCTGTCCTCGACTTGGACAACCGCATTTGCTTCTGAAAGCGCTTGACTCAGCTGTTCAACCACTACCATTTGATCTGTGGGAACCATGCGTCTCACGACGCCACCGAGATCAGTTAAGTGAAGCTTGTTCGGCAAGTCAGCTGGCCCATTGGTTCCAATGATTTCGACTTGGGCATTTTCGATCCACTGGGGAAATGTCACTGCACCGAGAATCAAAACTTGCACAGCCTTTGACCAGGACCCCAGCCGTCCGAGATAATGACGAAGGTCAGACCAGACCCCCCGATGTGAGTGTGCAACATGCCGTATGCTCAGAATTTCCATCAGTCTGTGTCTCCGAAGAGTGTGAGCATGTGAACACAGTTGGTGAGGAGTAGATATGAGGGCCTCCAATTGCTGGAACTCCTCTAAAATAAATGTATCTACTGATCGTGTTAAAAGGGAGTCTGCTTCAATCTGGATGTTTCACGCAAAGAGGTGTACCTTCAGCGTTCGAGACTTCACCTATCATCCGGGTTGCAGTTCGGATCGCGCGAATCAGCCATGTAGAATATGCCTTGATCCTTCGATGGCTGAAATCGATGCATCGACTTATTATCTCATCTTCCACTTGCAAACGGGGCTTTTCGTTCGTATTTATTTGGCCTAGAGAAGCGAGAACCCAGCAGAGGTGGCCGCTTGCTTTAGATCTCGATTTTGAGTTGGATGCAAGGGAAAAGATTGGATGTTCAATACCCCTTTGTGCAGCAATTGCGGTCACGGTATCTCCACCCTTTTCGAAATCGCATATAAATGCAAGTTGATCGAGAAAGTTGCGCCAAAGTTTTGATTGTTCGTCCAGGCCACGGTCCGATGTTAAATCAGGACGCTGCGCTCCGCGAGTTGGATCCATCACCCTAAGTAGAGTCAATGGTTCGTAGAAGCGACGGAGGAGTTTGCCATTCATGTCGAGCGGGTGTTGCTGAAACATCGTTAGGATTGACGTTGGCTGTGCCTTCGGCAAAGGAATTCAGTGCTTTTATGAAGCTGCAAAAACACCGTCATATAATCCTGGAGACGCGCCAATCTTCGAGAGCGTGGCAGAGGTCGATCGTTGTCTTCTTATCTGTCGATTCCATCATTGGCAAGGTCCTTGTCATCTCAAGTTTGGGGATGCTATTGGTAACAGTCGTGTCAATCCAGTCTCTGCCGGCGCATGAAAAGTAATTTGATAGGATCGAAGTCTCATCCAGGGTGCATGACGACCAACACCTTATCGTTGCGATCGAATCAAAAATTTACACGTACTCAATCCACTTGCCTGCAAGCGGGTCGTTTTGTGTTCACGGACACGGGCTTGCGCAGAAATTCTGCCAGTTGCATCAAGTGGGCCAAAGTTAGCGTCCCCTCAACACCCCTCGGCACCAACACTCACTCGTACTTATAAATTCCCAGTCTAAACTCCCATATGCTATCTGTTAAACTGGATATCGCTCTCAAGCTCAGAGTCAACCCAGATCAGTTCCGCGGCTCTTGTCCTACATATTTCCCCATGGAGCAACACTCAGAGATGAGCTTCGAAATCCGCGCTTTACTACAGCATGATCTTGACAAGGTGCGTGCACATGCTTCTGATGAGGCTTGAGGTGACAGATCCAGGACGCTGAGTTCCTGACGACGGTGTTGATTGACATCCGGAGGATCATACAAGAGCGTGAAGGTCTCGCTACTAGGATTCCCCTTTGCATCAAAGAAAAAGGAGAGAAAGACAAGAATCAGCTCAATCAGCTGTTCTCATATAAAGGACCTGACAAAGAAACTTTGAGAATTCTGAACTGCTACGAAGGTCTCTGGACGCAAGACCCAAAACAATTTTGGAACACACCCCTGCTGTCCAGCTCGGGCAGACTTACCAGCGCACAAGCTCAGATTGCCAGGTACTACCTCCATGGTCAAGACGTCGACGCTTAGTCACGGATGATGAGGAGATGTGCCTGCATCCTGCTTGTGGAATTTCAGCAACAGTTCCGGTGTGTGTGGACCGGTGATTGTACCGACGTTGTTCGCGCTGCGCACAACTTGGACAAGAGCCCTGAGGAAATCGAGCGCGATGTTGAGCACATGGTCAGTTGCGGCAGCCGCTATCTCAATCTGGAGAAGAGTCTAGGACGTGGATCCTCTTTGCTCTTGGGTCTTGACATTGCCGAGTCAATGTAAGCAGGTTCCGCGTTTTGAGGAAATACTGACGTGAGCAGATGGACCAAAACCTTACCAAAGTCTGGCAAAGTACACGATGCGATGATGAACCACATAAGAGGGACCGGATGGACAAACTTGGTCGACAGGTTTGGGCCATTAAGAGAACGGGTCGTCGAGTGCGAGCTCCGGGACTTGTCAGCAATTTATTCATCAACGTTGGGTGGCAACTCAATGCTTCTCCAGGAGTCGAATACAGCGCATCCAGACGCGACCCTGCCACGCAATCACTATCCTCTCGTTGATCCACTTTACGAAATGATCACAGATGATTTCGACTGGGAGCATTTCGCAGAAGGGCTGGAAATGGAGCTTGGCACATCGTAATGCTGTCCAGATACAGATGGATGGATGACAAAGAAATTCCCACCTGGCCTTGTCACTTCTTGATGCGTTCCGTCAGTGGGGATCAGATCTAGGTTCTGTGCTTCCCAATCCTGTTGTAGAGTCTGGCGGTCGCCTCGTTAGCGTCGGCCCAGACATGATCTGATAGTGCAGATCCAACTTCACAATGGTCACAACGTCTTGCAAAACCTTCTCTTCGCCCGGAATCAACTCCGCGTAAAGTTGTGGCATTGCCCATCCAATCCATACATTACCGTGACTTGAGCGTGGCTGGACTCCAGCGGGATGCTTGCGAAGATATAGGTCGCAGCAGTAGCAAGACGGCTTGCTGCAACCTATGTAGCGGTCGCCCGCGATGAAGTCGAGCCGGCGCAGGTAGAAGTGGTGTAGCAGAATAGCCTCTGCATGGAGACCTGCACGAAATTCGCCCGTTGTCATTTTCGAAAGACACCGAAGAATTCGATCGACCACCTTATCGTTCTGACGGGCATTTAATGCATCCTCAAGTCGGGAACCATGAAATTCCGGCATCAACGCGCGCAGAATATCGACAGGCTCACTCCAAGGTAGCTGAAAATTATTCGAACCGATGGAAGGCATGTCGGCTTGTCTCACTCGAGCATTCTTGATGCGGTCGCGGAAGCGTTCGCACGTGAGGACGAGATGGCGTGCTGCCCGAACCCAGGAACATAATCTACCCAACAGGTGCCGCACTTCAATCCACAAAGCTTTTTCTCCAGAAGCCTGGATCAGTTGACAGAGTCGCTCGAGGAGTCTAGATCGTTTGAGTTCCATCGATAAATCGATCAACCGATCTGGATCTCTCGAAAGATCCAGAAATGATTCCAAATGCTGTTGTTCACTCACATCTGTGTAATTTACCATGATCAGCAAAAGACCACAAAATAGTCGGAAGGGTCCGATGCCATTACCGAGTGTCACCAGGGGCTCTTTCGCATCAATGGCAGCTATGGTGCTCTTCAATTTTTGGCCGTAGTCTCGAACACGGAGACCAGAAAATTCGATAGAATTGCGTGCAATCTTTCGGATCAGCTCCACCGCCGATGACTTATCCAACGGAGTTTCGTGGTGCAGAGCAGACAGCAACTTTTCCACATGTTGGAGCACCTCTGGCCTGGTGGGCGAGTTACTGGCAACCCAGTATGTTGGTCCAGTCGGGGAGGGTTCGACAGCGATGGCTGTGACAGTTCTCCCACCGCATTTGTGGTCGGCCAACCAAGCCAGGCTGTCCAGGAAGATGTGCCATTCGTTCCGCCTCGGGCCTGATAAGTCGACAGACTTGTCCGAGCCGACTCTCGATCGGTTCGGAGTCAATAGCCTTAGCAAGACTAGACATCCGTAAAATTCCTGGATCAACGACGTTCTCGGATCCATTTCTTGTCACTTCGTCAGCGGGAGAAAACAGGCTAGGAACTAGATGAAGCGAAGCACGAGCCTTAAAGACTATCATCACCTCATATTCTGCCCGCATCAGGATGCCGGAACAACCCAACGACAGCTCGTTATCAACCGCTCGCTAGTCACACGCTCGATCTAGTCCTGGGCCAAGCCTGTTCGAGACATGCTCATGATTTTGTTGGTCATGAACATGTTGCCAGGAGTGTTTTCCTGGTCTGCTCACACTTGCAACTTGAAAAGCCTGCACGCTTGTCTTGCAGCTTCGTGCTGGGCCAGTTTCGAATTTGCACCCGTACCTTCAAACGTACAGCCCTTCAAAGACAAGATCGTCTTCCAGAGACCAGGATCCGATGATATCTGTTCCATACTGTACAACGGTTCGGCCCCAACCTTCATCCCGTGATTATTCACAGCGTTGCTGTAGAGACCAGGGGTTTGCCGTAGCGCTGGGTGTTGAATGAAATTCTGTTTCACGGCTGTTGCTTGCCGATCTCGACCTCTTTTCATACCTGCCTTTTTGGGCCCGATAAAAGGATCTCACGGTCTGCAACATCTGCTGCTTCGCGCGCGCAGACCCTTCGTGGATGATCCAACCTACCAGGACCAGTAGCCTTGTGCGGGGATCCCTTGCTGACACCTCAAAACGATTCGACCGCTCAATTGGCTGATACTCAGCGAGTGACGAGAGACACGTGTCATATGGGAAATCTTGCATGTGACGGAACAGTCGGGACTGGGCCACTGGTTAGGCACCGAACAGCGAATATCATTGGAAGGGAACGTACATCCACTTTAGAGGGCGTGTCGTAGGGACCGCAGTCTTGAAGGACTTGCTGCGAGATGACACACTCGAAGTATTTCTGACCAAACCAATAGCTGACTTCGTCACGCATATCCGTTGTTCCAGATGTGAAGGACAAATTCTCTACATCTGAATCGTCGTAAATGGAAGTTCCAGCAGCGTTGGAGGAGAGTTTGGCTTCCATGGTGTCAATTTAGTTCCAAGACAAGAATGCCTGTCAAATGCTGAATGTACATGGACGACTAAATAAGAGTGTGAGCGATAACGGCTTTGAAAGACATTTTCCTTATATATTTTGCTGTGACAGGCCCTGAAGCATGTTGTCATAACCCAGCCAATGAGCCGTTGGGGAATGCCGCTAAAATGCCGAACGGCATTTTAGCGCAGTCTCCGGAACAGGAGAGTCTCCCTTCAAAGTATGGGTCTCCGCAGTGCACGCAAGTAGCCGTCTTGTTTCGTAGTGATTCTGCTTGGAATCCTTCCCGTCTCAAGCGAGTAGCGTCGCGATGCACTTTTGGAGGTGAAAAGCTGCGGCTCAAGGCCGAGTTGTTTCGGTTCAATCAGATCGATGACGTGGCCAAATCCATGGGAGTTCCTGTGGGCGTGAGCTACCATCGCGAATCACAGCTTGCGACGTGGACAGACCTATCGGCACGTCCTTATCGACAGGGGTCAAGGGTCGATGGTCACAGTATTGATTGAATGCATCTCTGAGGCACTTTGCCGCTCGAGTCGATGAACTCGATCGCCACCCTTCAAGTGGCTGCTCAAAGCGAGGCGACAGGATTCCTCGACGAAGGCACTGCGGTATTATGGTCGAAGGCTGGGAAGGCCGCACGGCAGTCGTTCACCATTGACCTCGGATGCTTGCGTGGTCTTGTCGATTGCCCGAATAACAGTTCGAAGATTCAGCTGGCCCTGCGCAGCGTTCATCTATCCACTTTCCATTGGCTTCTTGTCAGAACTTGACAGGATTTCCGGTCGCCAGCAATCGTCAAGAGATCTCGATGCCTGACGCTGTAGACTGCATTGAGATTTCCTCGCGAGGTTAGGTTGTGGCAGTTGAGTGGGCAGTGGACGGAATAGGCCGTATTGCAACTCTGAAGCTTCTGCAAACCTAGCCATGATAGCTCCATGTCCACGCTCCATAGACTATGTGCCACTCAAGAACAGCCCTGGAGAGAAATTTTGCGAAATTGCCGGCTCGACGACAAACCCGATGACATGCTCCAACACGTCTGCGGATCCACCACAAGTGCAGTGGATGTTCGGACCCAATATGATGCGCCACGTTGTCTTCCAATCCAACAGCCATTTTGGGAACTCATCACAGTTTGTCTGGTTGCTGGTGGAGATTGTCCCGGACGCTCAAAGGAGGCAGAAAATATTCCTCTTGCGATGACCTCAGGATCACCTCTATTCAAAGATGGAACATATCCCCTTCCGTTAACGCTTGTATGCCGACACCTAAGAAGAAATTTAGGCCCTCTCCAGAGATCGATGTGCAAAATAGGCAGACAGCTTTCCGACAGGAGTTTTGGACGAAAATGCCCACACGTAGTGCTGTAAGAATGCGGCGATTCTCTTATCCATTGCCCTCGTCTCCATCTGGACTTCATCTCCATCTTGCACATCCACTTGAGCCTCGAGCTCAACCTCGCCAACCGTATGCCCAAAATCTGTCTGGTCGAGTACGATCTTGAAGTCCGAATCTGTGATCCAAACGCGGCGAAATGTGCTGAAACTGGCAAAATGGCTCAAACCAAACAATTGAGATGAGCCGTAATCCCGACCAGTCAATGATCTGATGTGCGCAGAAATGATATCCAAGTCCGAAACTTCTTTAGACTGTGAATTTATGTATGTGCCGCCTCTTCTGATCTTCATCTGCCATTTGCCGTCTCTTTGCCTTAACCAAGTCCCTTTCATCCAGAGCTGGTCGTTGAGATCGTAATACGTATCGTGGAATTTCCGGCATCCGAGATCAGTCAGACTCAAGAACGGTAGATTTCCCGAGTCAACGCGTAGAGGGTAGCACTTGAGGGCTGCGAATTTTCTTTCGACCTCCAGCCAGATGTTGGAGAGTATCCGTCCCATTGCAGGACAGGTAAGGCAGTGCGTTGGGTTACGGAGTGTAGAGACAAAGCGCTCCTTTCTCTACCAAGGCCTGTATAGTTGCCAACTGTGCCGAACAAAAGCCAAGTATCTCGGCCCGCAATCGATGATCGTCGAGTGCAGAAATTCTCGTAATGGCCCAACATCTTAGAAGTATACAAGCTCACGTGCTTGGTGTTGAGTCTCACTGGTCGGCTTGTGCAGTGCTTGGCGCGTCCAGAGTGCTTCGACTGGGAGGCGGTAGCAGGTTCCCTCCTGTATCAATGCTCTATCGATCTCCGGAATGACTCGAGTATTTCCGCCTGTCAGCTCTGAATATTTCGCGTCGAAAATGTCAATCTAGCTACCATCTGTCCCTCGTTCCCGTGGAGTGGGCCCTTTTGTGGGAAGCAACTCTGCCTCGACTAGCGGTGCTCGTCCGAAATCCCTGGTTGCCTCGATCGACGTGCAATTGACGGGTATGGCGGGATCTCATGAGGTCCACTAGACAGACACGATACATAAAACGGCTACCAAGTCATGAAATCATTGTTCTGACTTCCCATCTTTCCTGCCTCCCGGAGCAGTGTGAGCCAGAAGAAACCTCGATAGGAGAGCTTTCCTTTGAGACAGTGCTGAGAGACATTGCTGTATCATCGAGGAGCGTTCAATGAGGTCGTCCAGTGCGACAACATCCTCTCCCACAATGTCATCAGGAACGAACATCGACTTCAACAACTGCCAGATCGGTCGGCCTTCCGTTGTTGGCATTTACGGTATTTCAGGTTCGGGGAAAACATTTGTGCTGGACGCGCTGAAGCATGTCTATGGCGCCGATTACATCCCAGTGGAAGGCTCGGAGGTGATATCGAGACTGGTCGATGGTGGTTTACAGGGGTTTCAACGCCTCGACGAACACCGCAAGAAGTCCGTACGAGAACTCGCAATACGGACCATTCTGGCGGACTGTCTCAACGATGGTAAAATCGCCGTGGTGTCGGGACATTTCATGTTTTGGTCGGATGAACAAGAGGCCATGACCTCCGTGTGGACGCAGCAAGATCTCGAGACCTTCACTCACATTGTCTACCTCAACCCTGCGCCAGAGACGATACACGATCGTCGTCTTCACGATACTGCCAAAGGTCGACCTGAACTCACGGTTGACGAACTGCGACAATGGCAGAGTGAGGAAGAAAAGCAGTTAAGATTGAGCTGTCACCGAAGTGGCATCATCTATTTCACCGTGAGAGAAGATTCACCTCTGGCCAGGGTCACGGCTCTGCTCGAACTTTTCCTTCACCGGGGCCAGGACAGTCACAGGCGAGAAGCCGGGACGCAGGTGGACAATTTCATCGGTCCGTCAACAAAACACTTAACCTCGGCGTTAGTCCTGGATGCCGACAAAACTTTGTCTGCCACAGACTCGGGTCACTCGAGATGTGTGCCACAGAAATTTGTTTCAAACACAACAAGACCACTTGAAAGATATCTTTGGCGGGCTACTCGGCTACACGAGTGCCGCATTCCTTCAAGTAGCTTTACTGTACGAAGAATTGGTGGCTCAGAACGTGTTCGAAGAAATCTGTACCAATGTTGCAGGACAGATATCGCTGTACCCTGATGTGGCGGCGTTGCTGTTGCGATTACGGAAGGATGAAAAGATAGGAACATTGGTCGTCACATGCGGCCTGCGTCTAGTCTGGGAAAAGGTCCTGGAGCGATACGGCCTCCTTGATACCATCAAGGTCATTGGATCGGGTCCCATAGGTGACGCCCATGTCATCACTCCTCGAGTGAAGGCGAACCTGGTTGCTCATCTCCAACGGCGCTACCATCTTCACGTCGTTGCGATCGGAGACAGCGTCCTGGATCTCGACATGTTCGCCCAGGCCGACCGTGCTGTGGTCATCGTCGGGGATCAGAAGACGCGGAGTCAACGCATGGAAAAGGAGCTCGCTGCAGCAATCGTCGGGGTCACTTTTTCAACCAGCCAAGCTGTCCTGTCGCCAGGAAGTCCACCGCGTCTGGATACCAGTGTTCTCCCGCTTGTGGACCTGAATGGCCCCGATTTCGACGATCATATCCTTCGCGGATCACCCTTTCCTCTGATCAACACAATCGACTTCACTAATAGTCGTGTCGCGAAGATCTTGGCAACTCCAATGCGTGACGCTGCGAACAGTGGCCTATCGTTGCGAAATGCGCACCGGCAAACCGGTCGATATTTGGCGCTGTTCACCTTACCGGATTTGCTGGGAATTGAAGAGTACAGGATTCGGCACGTACAAGGCCATCACGTATACGGTAATCGTATCGCGCAACAGGACAAATCGCTGATCGTTGCGTTGATGCGCGGTGGTGAGCCGATGGCGTTAGGAGTCAGTGAAATTCTACCCCTGGCCTCATTCCTGCACGCGAGAAAGCCCGAGGACGTTACAGCAGAACTTCTGCACGTGAAATCAACTGTCATTCTTGTGGACTCCGTGGTGAACAGTGGTCAGACTATTGCCGACTTTATCTGCCATCTGACGATTTTGAACCCGGCCGTGCGAATCATCGTGATGGCAGGAGTGGTTCAAAGTGAAGCGCCCGCTAGGATTGAAGCATTGTGTACGACCAGACAACATCGACGCATTGACTTAATTACACTTCGACTCTCACCAAACAAGTTCACCGGCCGAGGCGAAACAGACACTGGGAATCGTCTCTATGGGACGGAAATCCTCAAGTAGATACACCAATGCGGGAGAGTCGACGCACTGTACCCGATCACTAGTGATGACCCTGAGTAAAGCTGCCCTCTTCGCATGGTTCCTCTCTGCCCAACCGTCTTGAGCATGTTCAAGCTTGGGTCGTGATGACAGTCGGGATCAAGAAACATGGCAGCACAAGATGGAATCTGGGCAGATTCCACATCATCGCAAACCAAACTCTGCCGTCATCTCCAAACACTTGTACAGCAACACAATGATCGCGCATATGTTCAACGGTCAAGTCGATCGAGGCTCGCAAAGCGATCGAGATGTACTACAATGCTCCGACTGTGACCGACAAACAAAGTCCATTCTTTCTATTCGCCTAGAATGGACGCAGGCTCCGTGTATATCGACGAGCCCGACCGCCTCGCGGCAATGATGTCGATGCAGACGACGGAGTTCGTCTTGCCCGCACTCGTCCTCTTCCACAATACCACCTGGGGCAAAATTTTCATTCTGCTGCTGGAAAAGACGGATGCGGGGGGCGATGTCGACCAGTTATGTAGCCGCATTTCCATTTCCGTATGCACAGAAGCCTAGGACCATCTCGGGAGGCCAGGGACTCTTCCGGTCATAGCGACACGAGACAATGAGTCTGGCCGAAAGGATGTGTGCCATGCCAATGCCTCCGGGAGCTCAGTCGACCATATGCTGGCAAGGTAATCTGCATTGCATAGTACTTGCTATGGAAAAGCTTCGCTACCCCGGAAAGAGCTGGCAGCTTGTCGGTCGGCAGAGAGAGTTGTTGAGTCAAGTATTGTTTACAAGGATTGAACCAGGTCTGACGCGCGCTTTTGACTTGGCTTTCCCCCAACTTCCAGTGCCTGTACATGTGCAGAGTGGTCCTGTAATTTGTTGTTTCAAGGGCGTCGGGGCCAGGATCGACAGGTTTACCTTCGGGATCTAATTCACACGCAGCAATCGATGTGCAGTTCCAAAAGAGTCCATGTTGAGTTACATGTACGCTGCGTCCAGGAAATAGCCGCTCTTGCAGAGTCCAGGCTCTCCGATTGAGGGGCGACTGATCCACAGATATAAACAAGGACGGCATACTGGGGTAGAAAACGAACAAGCCCCCATCGATCGATACAATTCGCAGAGCATACTCGAATGCAGACCTCTTCGGGAGAAGCCCGACGTCAACACTGGGCGCACTTTCCGCCAAAACAGTAAGCAGAGAGTTTGAGTATATCTACAATCTGTCAGTGTTGGGAACGATGGATGGAACTTGCCACGAAAATTACGGAACCCTCGAGTGCTTCAAGTACAGCCACTCCACGAGGAGAGAGGAAAGACAGGGAGGCTGATGAAAATCGGACTTACCTCCATCATGGAGCTTTCACGTTCTCAGTCTGACGAGTCTTCCTCGGAAGGTTGGATTATGCACAAGGCGTCGATCCACAGATACATTACCCCAAGCTTATGAGCGAGCCTGACAGTATCTTGTATCGTCCTTGCTAGGCGGTGGATGTCAATGTTGACCAAGTGTTGATCGAAATTTTCGGCGGTTGTCGCAAAATTACGGACGCTGCCGCCCCAGACATAGCTCAACGTGATATAGTCCATCCTTCGGCTGGAGGAATCATCAATCCCGTGAAAGTTCTCCTTGGCCTGCGATGCAAAGATGTCCGACGACCGCAGGAGTCGTAGAGTCAATATGGTACCGTCATGAATCACCTGCAGAAGCTTCGTAGGCACAAAACCGCCGAGTTCCGCAGAAGCTGTGTAGTCAAGACCATCCCCATTAGGGGCTGATGCAGAGGTGGTGTGCGCAAGTTCTTCACACGTGTTACGGCTGGAGGTACATGTTCTCAACGACTGTGCAATGAACCGGAGCCAAAGCGTCTTAGTTCAGATCTGCACAGGGGGGAAGGCCTGGTGAAATCAGCTTTAGCAAGTGGTTCGATATTTAGCCGCCACGAGCCTTTGAGGAGACAGTCGTTATGCCACCCCTGGGTGAAATAAGAGAACCACTCATTCCCGACGAATAATCTGAATCCATGGACCTCGTAAGATTCTTTTGGCTCCTCCTTCTCCAATAAGGCGGGACCGGCAGCCGGTTCTATCCCGGCGTGTAGCCGTCATGATATGAGAACGGAGTAGCGCAGCATCCTGCAGAAATCGCAGTCTTTCGCGGCAAGCTCCAAGTCGGCCCAGCACGCATGAATGAAGACTTTCTTGTTGCGTTTTGTTCTCCATGCTCCAGTCAGCTTTCCTAGGCAGTCCGTCGTCCGGCATGAATCGCACAATTTTGGGTCAGGTTTCGCGTGAGCCACAAGGCGCAGGTCTTCTTCTGGAGAAAGGGGCTCAGGATTGAGAGGTGGCATGAGGGCCTTGCTCTGTTCCTCGGACTCATTGGAGAACTGCTTCATGGAAGTGAGAATGATTTGCAGAGTCGAATCGATTGGCCAGTTTGGTTGTGAGGCCCGCGTTCAAGGCGACACCGTGATAGCTCATTCAGCGTTTCAGGGCTCCGCTTTTGAAGGCTGTTTTAGAGCCTCACAAAGTTCCAGAAGCCATTCTAGAGCGTTGCAGGACTGCTTCAAGGCACAAGTCAAGGTCAGTGGAGCAGATAGGGCGGGCAACTGGCTAGAGCACGAGGAGCAGCCCAAGTAGAGGCCAATGCAGTGACACGAGACAACCCACTTTCCTCAACCGTTCAAGTACTGCGTGCATCAGTCAGCTCTTTAGCAGCATCCACCAGAGATTTGATATGTACCTCGTAGTCCCAGAGAGGCGCAGTGTGAACAAGCACAGCAGACACGAAGGATACAAGGTTGCGAACCCAGCTCGTTAAACGTCAGAGTTACACTGTGATGTCGAGCAGGACAGGGTTGTCTCGTCGACTCACCTGCATCTACCAGATAGCAAGGTCTGTGAATAAAAGAGATCAACCCGGAACCGAGTCCATTTTCTTAGAATGGTAATGAGCTTTAATACCATGACAGGCTTTATCCGACCGGGCCCCTTTTCCACTTGTGTACGAACATTTTATCCTTCGAGCCCAGGTTTCCAGCCTTCGCTACATGACCACCAACGCCGCTGCTAATAGCACAATATAGGACCAAGAGTCTCACGAATAGATTGGGAGGACTCTTTTCCCAGATCTCCGTCGAAGCTTTGGAAGGCGCCCATACTCCGTTCCCGCAGCCCCGCGTTTTGCCTGCACCGGATTTGCCGTTGCGTTGCTGCCCCCCAGACCATCATCTTGGAAGACCTGCAAGGTATTGATGGCCCAGTAAGCATCGGCAAAGTCCGCGGGATTGTTCGCCACATATTCTTCGCAGGTGGGTGCCAGAGATGCGCAGGAAGATGTGTTCCAGACGGCACCAGCCCACTACACAGAAGGAATTAGTATGAGTGCCATGGCGCCAAATTAACGTGTTCTGCTTACCTGACCGCAGAAGGTCGTGTCGAACACGATCTGGAGATTGTTGAAATGATCGTCGAGATTGAATGATCCTTGGAACAGCGAGTTTGGGGTACCCCAGTTTTCAGACGGGGCTGGATTACTGCTGACAATGTCATCGGGAAAGGTGCCTCGCGGGAAGAACCATATTTTGATGAAATCTGCCGTCCACTCAGTTGCAAACACACCTCCCCCGGCCTGATTGAATTCAGGCCCAAAGGTCAAATTGGACATGTCGCCGATTGAACAACCTGCGTTCATCGGTTGGTCGGGGGCGTTGACGTCGCAGTTCGATGTAATCAGTTCACCCGAGAAGTCGGTGCCGTTGCTGACCACTGCGCCTTGTCCGGTATGCAATGTCATGGAGTTGGTCGGTTGATCATTGACTCCCTCGACGATGTCGATTTCTCCGTTGTTCGGCCAGTTTGCGCCTACCATCCAAAACGCAGGCCAGCTACCACAGACGCCCCCGGGCATGTGAACAATATCGGCAATGACCAAAGCATGTTGGAAAGATTGTGACGATGAGACGCGTACACTGGCTCGACCCTGCGGAGCGACATTTTCAGTGTCCACACCCATGTAGATGGCGAAAGATGCATTTCCTCCTTCTATAAATCCTGCTATGCCTGTTGCATTTGCCTGCTCCAGAGATTGGAATTGTACGAGGCCATCGGTTGGATCCGGGTCGGTGAAGAAGTCGAAGCCTTGCCAGAAGGCGTCGCCGGAGTAGTCTTGGATCAATTGGTACACGGCCACTGCAGGTTGCAGAACGGTGCTGACCAGCAGCATGAGGAGTGGAATCCGCGCCATCCTGATGGTAACGTCTTCCAACCGAAAGGATTGTGGATTGGTCGAAACAAGGGCTTCTTTGGTGGCTGAACTCGCAGCCGAAGACGAAGAAGGGTGGAAGGTGCAAGCCGTGAATCAATCAACGAGCGTGAGTAGGAAAGGCGAGTAAGAAGGAAGGAAGACGAACGTCGCAATAGAGGCAGGAAAAAAAGGAGTGGCTTGCAAACTGAACCTGTCAAGAAACGAAAGAGCAGTGAAAGGAGGTCAATTGACACCGAGTGAAATGAATAAACATTCCCAGTGGCATTCTCAGGGAAGGGGTGCAGGTGGGAAACCTCGTCCATTTTTCTGCCGGTACCTATGATTTTGAAGGAATGCCATCTTCGAGAATGCTGGCATCCAGCCTGCTGGGCCTGGAATCTGCCAACCTGGAGGCGTTGAGGCCCGTCTGGCCATCTGGGCAGCTATACTCAACCCAAGGAGAGCGCTGTCAACGGTAGGTGGTCGTAGTCGATAGACAGTCTCGCAGTTTCCAAGCGGGTGCCTGATTAAGCCAGTCGAGATGGAAACGAGCGGACGCGTGTGAAACAAGATCTTGGAGGAGTGAATAAGAGGTGAGGCTCAGTAGTAGGCTGGTCATTGAGGTCTGAGGCTGTGAAACGCGTTTCGGCAATCGATCTCCATCCATCCCGCCGCATCGCGACCGCGGGCGGCTAAATCGTCTGGTCACTGTTGCTCCGCGCCCTCACCCGACCGCACACCAAACATCCCTCGACTGAAACACTATTCCAGCTTCCAAAAACTCATTTTTCTCTGCTCCGGCTCCGTACTAGCCATTGTGCAAGATATGGCCGTCCTATTTCAGACCTTCCCTTGGCCGCTATCATGACCGCAGCGGTACAGCCTCATCCCACTGCGCGCACAGCCAGAGCCAACTTCGATCCATCGACTGAACTCCCCATTGCCGACCTTTTCCCATCGCAAACAGGTCCCGATGCCCACATTCTCGCACAGGTTGCTCTCGTATGGCCCTATTCTAGCTCAACGGGAACATTCGCCCTGCTGTTAGCTGATCCTGACATTCGCCGACGGAAATCCAAGGGTCAGGTCAAAGTCGTATTCCGCAATGGGTGTGCAAAGGAAGTCGCAAAGACAAAAGTGGGCATTGGGGACACCATAAAGCTTGCATTAGTAGGATGTGAGTGGAAAGAGACGGGTGATGTGGTTTCTACCCCGGGCAAGAAAATAAACTGGGATCTGGAGTACAATACGCGTGTCCTGCTGGAGGTGCTTCGAAGTAACCAAGAGGCAACTACAGTTGACTTCACCGGAAAAGAGACCGACTCTTCAGCTACACACGGATATCTTACCTATCTCAATGGCAAAGACCACGAACAGCCTGTGCTGCACGGTGTGCTTCATCATCAGTCAAGCACAATCCATGTACCATACCTAACGCCCAGAAAAGCAGCCGGAAACCATCCCGCGGGAACTTTTATCGATACTGCCCTGGAATATCTAGCAGAGAACGATGGCTATGTTTTGGGTCGAGGTCGAAAGCGTACCAAATTCGCCAGAAACAGCGGAGCATGGAGTTTCGTCGATCTAGAGGCGGAAAACCAGCCGGCAGAGCCCAGGAAAGTTGAGGTGGACAATGCAGATGCTGCGCAGTGTCAGAGTCCCCAAGCTAAAGAAGTTGCTCTGGCTCCAGGACCAGCTGCCCTTGACAGGGAGGATCAAATCGAACACCAGATCCTCGCCGAGGTCTCGAAAGAGGTTGTACAGCCAACATCCACGGTTCAGGTAACTGAAGAAGACATAGTCGACGTCTCCAGCTCAGTCTCGCCTACTGAATTCATACCTCCTCCTATTGTGACTCAGCCACTGGTGATGGGCCCGCCTCAGACACCACGCAGAGCCTCTCCCCCTCGACAACCAGCGATAGACAATACAGATGATTCCAACACCAGCGATGGCTCAGAAGCTGCGACCACACCGCGACTGCTACCTATACCATCTCCTGGTCTCCCTCTAGTGTCTCCGTTAGTCCATCGTTCAGGGGTTGAGATCGGATATTTTCCGCCATTTGACATGAGTATATCACATTTGGATGCGGCTGCTATTCCAGGGGCAGAGATCATTGATTTGGCCGATCGCCCGTCGCCACACTCTGATGGGTCGCCCGTTGTTATAGTGGGCGCATCAACATCAGAGGCAGCAGCCAACGGTTTCGAGGCTGGGGACATTGCACATGGAGATACTGTGCTCGTATCTCACGAATCCGAAGTAGCACTCGAGGATCAGGAGAGCACAAAGAAAACTGCGTATGAAGCGCCGCAATGGCTTTCATCACTGGAATCCAGTATTGATCGAGAGCTTCTTCTTTCGCAAGACCAGTCAGCCTCTCACAGTGTGTCCCAGCACGCTTCTCAAGCTTTCGAGGTTGAGGATGATGATCTCTACGGCGCTCCTGTTGAAGTACCGAAAGCCAACCATTCAGTTGCAACATCACCTTCAGTTGAACGCCCGAAGAGCCCGCTGGATGTCCTTGAACAGTTTTTACAAATTCCGCCAACTACGGCTCTTGGCTTTTCTCTCCCCCTTGAATCAGATGGCGAACATAATAGGCCAAATACACCTCTGGAGCAGGATGCGCCTGAGGGTATGTCCATAGACACTCCGCAGGAAAGGGTGGAGGTGTCCGCAAACTTGAAACGGTCCCACAGCACGTATCCAGAACCACAGTCGCCATTTAGGCAGAACCAACAACATCAAGCGAGTCCTGTCAATTCTACTCGCCCTCCTTCAAGTCAGGCCTCACGACCACAATCACTCGACGGACACATGGACGAGCGAGAGCGCTTCCAGGAATATATCGATCATCTTGCTCAATTTTCTGCAAATTCAGAATCCTCAAAGCAGCTTGTACCAGATAGCGAGTCTTCTCACGGCAACTTTCGAAGTGAGACACACCTGAAAACCGATGTATCAGTGACAACCACGAAAGTTGATGAGGCGGCCCATGTCGACTCTTCCGGACATGTTACAGAAGTGGTGAAGCAGGCGACAGACCAGTCACTGGAGGCAAAAGAAGCCAAAGAAGAACCACAACATCCTTCTGCTATTACAGCAGAAGAGGAGATCAAGACTGTGTCTACTCTATCCGAACATGTCTACACACACGAGCCTCATGCACAGCTACCAACTCCGGTCCAGTCCCAACTGCACAGTTCGTCAACTGAGCCTGAAACGCCAAAACCCGTCCAGGAGCTGACCCAGGTTAGCTTTCTATCTCCCCGTCATACACAAGAAGAGTTCGACGGAGACTCGCAGGAACCTGCACTTCCCGCGCGGAATGAAATGATCGAAGTCTCAATTGAGGATTCAGTGACAGTGAAGACCATACGAAGCAAAGCGAGGCTAAGTGAGCAAGAGGAAGGAGCTGACGGCAGTCAAAAAAGCCCATCGCAAACGACTCAGAAGGAACCACCCGCCGAAAACGAGCCTCCCGCACAACCCTCCAGGGTAAGCACGAGTCCTACAATTGCCAGGCCTATCTCCATGTTGCAACCAGATACAGCTACATCTCGTAGAAGCTCTCAACGATTGTCAGCAAGAAAGCCTACCATGACACCGAACTTATCTAGTCCGTATTTTACACCTCGCAAATCCACTCGACAACTTTCCTCATCACCACCCCGCAAAGAAAACATAAATCCCAGTGGAGACGACACCACTCTTGTGCCGTTGCCAACGCAGAAGCAAGTCGAACTACCTCTTGCATCCACTGCGCTCCAAGAGTCCGAACAGTCTTTTATTGATGCCACACCTGTTTCCCCGAATCTTACGACGAGTGGATCGGTATTCAGCAGAGACACGGGCACTACAACGCCACTTGCGTACTTCCCTCACCTGCGGTCGCTGCCTGAACAGTTCGGCCACCTAGTAGACGTCATCGCCGTATGTACAGATTCTTTGCCGGAACCAGAACAGTCGAAAACAGGACGAAAGGACTACCACACTGCGCTACAACTCACGGATCCTTCGATTGCCTCTGAGAGGCATTCAGCCATAGGTGTTCAAGTATTTCGACCTGTTCGGACGTCACTTCCCACAGCTCTTCGCGGCGACGTAGTCATTCTTCGGAACTTCAAGGTCCAGCCTTTCCAAAGACAGTTCATCCTATTGAGCACTGACACGTCTTCGTGGGCAGTGTTTAAAGCCACAACCGGCGCGACCGTGAGACAATCAGAGGTGGTCATTTCGGGCCCGCCCCTAGAGTTTGGAAGCGCCGAAACAAGCCAGGCCGGGCTTTTGTTTGACTGGTGGAACAAGAGCGGAAAAGCACTGTTCAATGTCGAGCCTCCAGAAGTCGAAAACGGTTCGCCAAACCTTCTGCGTAGTTCTCCCAGACTCAAAGAAAGACCACAACCCAATTACAATATCACACCTCCCAGCCGCCGCCGAAAAGCCGCCACAAGCGACGGCGATGGCAAAGGAGGCGAAAACGTCGAAACCTTGGGACAACTGACGGCAGGATCTCAAGCGAGCGGCAACAAACGAATTTCTACTAGCAGTGATAGAAACGAGGTCTCCCCGCAACAAGCCGACTCGGCTGGAAGCTTTTACGATGAGAATGACACAATAATTGTCACTGCACGCCCATTGAATCGTCGACGGGCCAACAGGACCGACAACATTGGCAACGATGGAGATGAAGACGTGGCTATGGTTGGTGATGACTGGGAACAAAGCACCCCTCTTTCCGACAAGACCAACCGACGCAGAGAATCCACCATTTCCACAGCCCCTTCAGAACCTGGCAGATCATTCACTCCACGACGAAGTGCGAGGCTTCAGAAGTCTCCCAGCCTTGTGCACGAGCTGCGGGACGGGACCAAGTATGTGGATGACAACCGAAGGAGGAGTGCCAGTGTTGTACACGAACTGAGGGACGGGGCGTCTTATGTGGATGAATAGGACAATAAGTTCGCCCACACCGTTAACGCAATATGAACTAGCCACGGAGAATATGTTCAGCCGCTGAGTCTGATGGTCTTCTGCACCAAAGCGTCGCCGTTGAAGACTCTCGATGTCGCAGACCTTACGGCTGCCTTGTCTTGATACATAATTTTCAGTCTCATTGAGGCATATGATACGCTGTTCATGTACACCTTTCTTCTACTGTATCTGCTCCGCAACCCTCCGCTTTTCTCCCAGCGCTCACAGGAAAGTCAATCCCAATGCAGATATGACGCTCAGTCCTACGACCGTCCATCCCGTCCATATGACCTGCTTGTTTGTGAACGCCGCCCCCGTGTCCCACACCAAATGCCTAATGCCATTCAAACCGTGGAATGTGAAGGGGAACGCTACCAGTGCTTTCAATCCGACCTTGAGGATCACGGGCAACGCGGCGAAACTGGCAGCCAGGCTGGCGGACTCCAGATGCCAGCCGAACAGCGGAGCGACGAGATAGGCGGCACCAAAGACGTAGATGGCTCCGGACAGCGAGGCGCCCGTGATACGGTTCAGGGCACTCAGGTACCAGGTTATCTGGGGTCGGTAGATTCCGAGGTGCGGAGAGACAGGGCGGTGGAGGCGCTGGTTGGCGAGGATTTCTTGACCGGTGGCTTGGGAGACTGCTTGTGTTGTAGCTGGTCTGGCAATGAGAAAACACACACAGAGAGAGAGTCAGCAGAGTAGTTGGCTATAGCATCGGGGATTCCGGAGATCACAGGATCAGTGGACCGGTAGATGTTTTTCCACCTCTTTTCCCAAAGGGATCAACTCATGATGCTGGCAAGAGGGCACTGACCTGTATTGAACATTCTGGAAGGTCGCTATGGCTGCCGGAGCGGATAATCTGGACAGAGCAGTGGTGCTCAAGGTGGAGGGGTTGGCCGCGGCCACTGCGAATCCAGTTCAAAGGGTCAGTTCCTGTTCAACACAAGGTGGTGCCAGAGGTGGGAGGCAGAGGCTTACGTCGCCGAGTCGTCAACTGCAGCGCCCTGCGAGAGAACATGTTGGCCGACATGGCTGCTGCGAGTGCTTGCTGTGGTCGGTGATGGAAGCTTTGGATCTCGTGTCGATTGAAGCTCCAAGTGCAACTGGCATGATGTCGATCCGCTTTCCGAGGCAATCGCTTGGCATGTCACGTGCGAGAGGTCGGATTATGTTTGTCGCGCCTTTGATTGGTTGTGACCGATCAAGGGGCTTGGGGGCTCGACTTTCTTCCCGACATTCCACAACGTTTGATGTAAACATGACAAGCATTTGTGTTGTAGCATAAAGACTGAGACTACATCCGCGGGACATCTGCACAGTCATCTATAAAAGTGGTGGGATTTTTGAAAGAGGAATCATGATATTGAAGAAACAACCAAGGTGATAAATGCAGTGTCTGCGACTGCTTCGCTCCTACCAGGCACAGAATGAGAGGCCTGCGGACAGCAATATGACAATTCGTCTGTAGGTTTGCGATCTATGAGACCATGTCCGTGAAAAATACCCTTTCATGTATAGGTATCTAATGCGCCGCAACGCCCACAATGACGACCAAGAAGGTGAAGACAGCAGTCAGAAGGCGAGCGCCGATCCAAACCCAGGGCTACCTGAGCGTCACGAGGCACGATGGAGTGGACTTATTGATACAATCAAGAGCACAGTGAGAAAGGTCTCAGCAGACGGTTTGTCTCTGTCAGGTTTGCCGATACGTGAAGACTCGCTGAGCTTGCCAGTCGAAGACGCGTTGGCGTGGGCGGCAGCGACAACAATGAAGTGCATGCGATTCTGTCGCACCCGCGACTTTTTCGTTCACCATCTCATTCGCTTTCTACCTTGTTCAGTGCCACGACTGTCATCCTTACGTGAGTATTGTCGTCGATTCACCGGGCAACACTACCTGTCATGCAGCATGTCTTTGACGCCTTCATCTCCCCCGGCGCCACCGGACAATAACGACACCGCGCTCTACGCACCTTGCGCTCCTTTCATCAGCCTAAAGTACGCTCCGAACAAAAAGTGCATCTGCTTCCACCAAGCCAAGTTCGAGCTCGCGACCTCGCTCTGTCCTCAACATGGGTACCACGACTCTAAAAGCAAGGTAACCGAATGGAAGAACTCGCATGTCGCTGGCAACGTGCAAAAGAAGGGGAGAGGTACAAGAGACAGCCGCGACAACCGGCCTCGAGCGAGGGTGAGGAGAAGAAGAAACACAGCAGAGCCACAACCACGAAGGTCTCGGAATCCCTTGTATCCTCGACATTCCTATATCACCAATCATGCTGAGCAAAGTGCTGTGGGGGCCTTCGCCGCAGAACTCGGTCTCATGAATGACAATCTGCGTCTAGTTCTGACCTCCAGAAGTCCCTCTGACGAGTTCATACGCTCCTTCGAATTCTCCGAACGGCCACCTTTGACCCAAATCGACTTCCTCGACTGGCCACTCGATGCACGAAAGATCATTTACCGCTTCTTGCTTGTGCCGACCAAAAGAGCTGTGATCTTTCCGGGCAAAAATAGTCTCGAGACATTTCGCCAGTTGAATCCTGAACTCGACACGAGAATCCTCCACACGAACAGTCAAGTCTACCGCGAAGCCAGAAGCGTGCTGTACGGCGAGAACAACTTCATTGCCACGGAACCTGCAGACTTCTTCTTTCCTTGTGGCATCCAGGGTCTTCGAGCCAGCACAACCACACGGATAAAGCATATCACGTTCCTCAGGAAAGGCAGCGGCCCGACAATGTGTGACATCAGCAGCGAAGTCATGTCGACGTCCATCCTTTCGGTGATTCGCCAATGTCCGGCATTCCTCCAGCTTGACACACTCACCATCCGATTTGAAGTCTTCCGGCCCGCGACTGTGAACATGCTTAACTTACAAGTGCAATATGCAAATAGCGGTATGGACAACAATATCAGGCTGGCATACAACAAAACTGATGTGGTCATGACGGCGGCGGCAACAGTAGCCTACAAGGCATTGAGAAGAAAGGCACCGTTCCAAGGGTTAAAGGAGGTTGAAAACCGCTATGAGAGTGTCTACGAACCCACCAAAGATGGAGCTATCAAGCATGTCATTGAGATGTGTTTGTTCCGAACCCGCAAACCGGTGGTCGAGTACCAAGAGCAGAGCCAGGTTCTGCGTGAAGCGATCTTGGACATGTTGTTTGAAGAGAAGGAGAGAGACCTACAGGGGGCAGATGAGAAGTTCCGGAACTTTGTGAGACAGTATCCTGCGTAAAACTCGGAGGATGTGGTGCTCTGTGGGAAAAACAGGACCAAGACGTGCACATCTGACTGGTTGTTGGAAAAGACCAGGCAAACAACGTGTATTCCAAGCATAGTGCTGAAACATTCTGTATACCGTCTACAGAGGTAGAGAGACGTAACAGACGAAAATGATACCCATGCGAGAAAGCCTTGCCCTTGGACGACCACTGCCTTGATACTCGTAAGTGGGACAGTTGATAGATGTGGTCTTATGGTCTCCCGTAAAATATACGGTGACGCACGCAGGGCGCATTGGCAATGGGCAGAATAAATTTCAGATTTCGCTTGCTTCCACTTTTCGCTTCCTTTTCTTTTTCCTTCTCCATGGACTTCAGCTTGGCAGCTCACATTCGCGGCATCAACGCCCCGTTGCTTTCGAAGTGGTTTTCATCAGAATGAACACGGAGTCCCAGAAGGATGAGGAACGTCTCTGTTTCTCAAGACCTGCCGTTAATCGCCCGGTTGTTCTCTCAATGAATTTGCTCGGGTTTCATATTCAAGGTTACATTTCTTTCCCCTTTTCTGTCTTACATAGATGCGGCCTGTCTCGGGAGCTATACACACACCCAAGCGCCTGGCCTCTGCCCTATAGCCTTACTTGTCTAACTGACTACTCCGGTGGTTGGGTTGATGGGTTGCTGGTGCCTCAAAATGAGAGCTATGACTCGTTGACAGACGTGTATGATTCTTCCCTGTGTGTATATGCTATCTATATATTCCTCGTCGGCCTATATTCTCTCTCTTCAGATCACAACCCAAGCACTCAACCGCTAGCTCCTTTCACTCCTGTGCTGTGGCGGTGTGAGCTTCCACAGGCACGGTGATCGCTCTGGTCGATCATTGCGCTTCGAGATGAAACGGTCCGACGTTGTCATTTACGCACTTAAGGAATGATTCTATCGCCGAGCCTCCTCCTCTCCCGGCCGAAGCCTTTGCCGAGCAATCATAACTGAATGCTTGGATGAGGCTAACTGGCCAGACTCGCGGGTTCTCGACCCATTTCCGTATCTACAACACGAGGGTGCCAAGGCACCAAGCCCTGCGAACTTGCGCCTACTGTCCTAGTACCTGGGGCCGAGAGACGACGGTAGGTCGGAGGCGGCAGGCCACCAGAATGATACCGGATCGAGACCGGTCTTGTTCGTATTCAATAGAAAGCTTATTGGCACAACCACGAACAAACTTGCGAGAGCGCCCACGAAGCTTTTGGACCTTGCCGTGTTTCAGCTGAGACCAGTAGATGGTGCAAGATTTGGACAGAATTGGCGATGAATGCAGCCAACAATGCCAGCGACTACATCACATCTAGCTCTAACGAGCACGGCAACCGGCACAATCGCTTCGTCCGATGTTGGAGGGCTCAGCCGCAACTTGCCAAAGATATCAATTGCGCTGCCTCTCCCTGATCATGCAGTTTTCCCACTCAGGATTTGTTTGGCCGCTGTTGACGGTGTCAGAACTTCCTGCCGCATAAGTCTAAGCAGTCAACAACCACATCATGGCGGACCAAATCGTCGACGCCGTCGAGTCGTACGACCCATCCGCATCGTCCATCTTGAACAAACTCCCTGGCAAACGCCTCGACGCACACATCCGCAAAGTAGCTAGTCGAGGCATTCCAGCGCAGGGCGAGACAACGGGCGGATATGTTGAAGGCTATGCTCACCTTTCCCACATCCCCTTCTTCTCGCTATACTCAGAAGAGCAACGCAAGATCTTGGCCAAGAAATGGGGTGACACCAGCAAATGGAACGACTGGGGCAAGAAAGACGTCGACCTGCAGACCAAGGCAACCTTAAAAGGAATGGAGCTCATGGGCGGCGGCCACGGCACCCTCACCACAGTAAAGTGGATGACAAGGACCATAGCTGGGCTGGAGACCATGGCTGCAGGTATGGTGGTGGAGCAAAATCAACTCGTTGTCATCACGAGATGGATCGTGCCTGTGCGGCAAGGGGTGCCTTGGCTTGTTGATGTGCTTGAGCATCGATGGCTGGATCCCAATAGGTGCGTTTCACTGTGTAACTTGACCCGTCTGTCCCAGGACTCGCACTAAGTTGGAGTGCAGCACTCGGGGCAAGATGTCCAAGATCTCCGGCAACGCCGTCCTCTTGAAACCCGGCCTCCCCACCGACGGCAAGGTGACATTCAAGGTCTTTGAGCACGAGGCGAAGGGGCTGAAGAGCCAGAAGACGTGGTCAAAGAAGCGCGGAATGGAAGCCTCGTGTGACGCAGTCGTGCTGATCGATGGCGGAGTAGACGTCCCCCTGGAGATGGTTGCGCGGTTTCAGCGAGTGTGCAGTCTTTACGAAGGCCGAGAGATGCAGAAGCGGTTTGAGGATCAGTGGAAAATCCCGATTCTGCGCTGATTACCCTGTTTGCATTCATGAGCGTTATGTGATGTGTTATATCTTGGTATGGCAACGACTCGCCAAAGGGGTGGCTGGTGATGATGTGGGATGGTAAATAAATCCTTGACACTTTTTCAAATTCAGAGGCTGTTAACTATACCGACCTTAAGGACGCTGGCCGCAGACCATGCTATCTGACCATAAAAGGGGAGTGGTTTTATCTGAATACGGCACCTCGAGAGGCATCAAATCGCAAGTGTAATATATGGGGACTCTTTTTATTTCTTAAGCGGTATCATCCTCGCTTGGGACGAGCCTCGTATTAATCAATTACGGAAGAGGGGTATGTCACAGCTATGTAGTCCACGTATTCATAGCCGGCCCCTGACTCTTATGTCTTCTCTCACACATCTCCCTGAGGATAAACGTCCCTATGCTGCTCCAGCAGATGCCGGCAGGCTCAGGTAGTAACTCGCATCTTGATTGAGCAAATAGAAGCCCTCCGGCTCGGGCTTGTTGGATCCCCCGTACCTGGCCAGCGTGTTAGCCTCGATCGCGTTGGGTGGATAACCTGGTTCCACCCCCCAATCTCGACACCCCGCAAAAGGAAAAGGGGTTTGGGGGAACTTAATATGGGCACGTACCAGGTGGGCTGCGGCAGGCTCTGCAGCGGGTCCGTCTGCGGCGTGTCGGAAAAGATGTGCTCGAAGGTCATGGCCCACTGGACGCGGTTGTTCATGCCCTCAAGACCCCACAGGTTCTGCAGGAAGTGCAGGAAGGACGTGTGCGTGTAGGCCGAGTTGTCCGCGTAGCTGGGGCCGGGCCCGATGAGCGTGTTGGCCGGGATCCACGGCGAGATGACCATGGCGGGGACGCGGACGCCCAGCCGCGTAAAGTCGTATGTCACGTTGTGGCCGTCCGAGAGGCCCGAGAAGGTCAGCCCGTCCTCGGGCGCGGGGATGTTGATCGGCGGCGGAACGTGGTCGGCAAAGCCCCCGTGCTCGTCGAAGTTGATGATCACGAGGCTGTTTCCCGGAAATTGTGGGAAGAAGTTAGCTAGCTGTCCTAGAATCATGCAACCCAAGGGAGGAGGAGAAGAACGGAGGGAAAGCGTACATGTTGTCCCAGTATTGCGACTGCCGGATCGAGTCGTAGAAATGCTTGATCATCAGTTCACCAGCAGCCATGTTACTCGTCGGGTGCATCGAATCGATGGTGCAGCATTCCGGATTGTAGTATGAGAAATGCGGCAGAGTCCCGTTGGCCAGGTCCGAGTAGAACTCGTTCGAGTGGACCAGTCTGTCCATGGCATTCTCCTGGACCCATTCGTACATCCAGGCGTCGATGATGTCGGTCTCGTAGTAGTTCTTCCACGTGATGTTCTTGTCCGACAACGCCTCGAAGATCGACTTGGAACAGCTCGCGCCCGTCGAGTTCAGCTGCCACCCGTAGGCCTGAACGGTGTTGTCGACCAGGCCGCACGTGGATCCGGACGTGGCGAACTGCCGGTTAGGGTCAGTAGGTCCAGGATGCTCGGCGTGGTAGCTGTCCCAGAAGCCGAAATTCTGCGCCAGGGTTGCGAGGATGTTGGTCTTCTTCTGGTCGTACGCCTTGATGACGAACGACGCGTCGCCGGGGGTGGCGTTGTACTTCTCCGATTGCCGCTCGATAAAGCCGTCCATGGTAGGGACATCGCTGGCGGTGGGTTCCCATTTGCGGTAAATCTCATAGCTGGTTCCCGCAAAGTTGTGGTCTGGATCGACCAAAGGGACCTCATCTTCAAACGGGCCAGCACATATTGAAAGGGGCTGGCTCCAGACAGTCCAGTTTGGATTGGTGTAGTCGTTGCAGTAGGTCACATTCCGAAGGTTGTTGATGTCCGGATGGAAATCCCAGTAGCCCGCAATATTGTCAAAGGAATGGTTCTCCAGCATAAGATACACGACGTGCGTGATCTATCGTGAAGTTAGGGCAACCCCGTCAGCTACCGAGAGCAATGTAGGAGTTCATACCTTATCGCTCAAGGGACTTCCTGTGGAGTTTGTCGATGGCTGACCCCAGCTCTGGCGAGGCGCAACGGGAATGGCATGTCCCACGGCGATCAGTGCCCAGAAGGCGCTCAATCTCAAAGTATCCATCATGATGATCCCGTTCACTCTGGAGGCTGTAGTACACAGTCTGCTGCTGCTTGGATGGTGACCTGGTTGTCTCCTTATAGTAATGACCTCGTCTCTGGGTCGCCCGACCTCCGAATCAGCGTGCCAACGAGGAGAGCCATCATTGGAGCTCCGGCAGTTCTTTCAGCTCGCAGCTAGGGAACAAAATCTTGTCAAGCAAAGGGCGAAGGATCCCGACGTTCCCGCCCAGAAAGTCGAACAAAAGCGAATAGACAGGGCACGTGGAAGGGAGGACGGCATGAAGACAACGTTGCAACGGAGGGTTGGGGATTGCAATGGCAGAGATGTAAAGTCATGCTTCCGAAATGGATACACACGAGCGAGGTCTATCAAGGAAAACAATGCATAAAAGATGAGGCTGGCAGCAGGCGAGGATGCGGAGCTGTTTCCCCTGGACGAAGGCTAATGCATGAGAGTTGTACCAGAGCCAAGGGCATGGGTCCCCCGTTGCCATGCCGAAGACTAGCTAAGCATGTTGATTGCTTGGCAGGTAGGGAAGTAAAAGCTTGGTGCAATGCTTAGCAGAGGTTTAAGTGCACTAACGCCCGCCGCTCCCTTCCTGATTCGCCCAGGGCAAGCACTTTCCCCTCTTGTATACATGGAATCCCCACGACACTAGAGCCATGCACGGTTCCTGGAGATCCTACAGCAATGCAACCCCCACAGCTCAAGCTTCGGCCTCTCACATGCCGGCGATTCCAAACCACGTTGCTTCTTTGGCCACTTTGATAAGCGGTTTCGCCAGCTTTTGACTGCACCCAGTTCCCACCTGAAGCTTGCAAAGCATCCTCGGCTGCTTGGCCCCGGTCAACTTCCTGCTCGACCCTGGTCATTTCTTCAGATCTTCCTCTTTTGGAAGCTTGCTCACGAGCACATTTTCAACCACGTTCCCGACTTGATAGGCAGTCACGGCTTCATCGACGCACAGCTGTGCTTGCTTCTTGCTTCTAGCCAAATGACGCATGTCTTTGCGATCCCGCCGACAATGCAACAGTCAAGGTCAAGGATGGATCGACGAGCGTCTAGCAACCCGCCGGACTTCCGCAGGCCGTGGGAGGAAGACATGAGCAAGACCACACGAATTACTTATGGAGAGTAGCACGGCCGATAAACCGTTGCACCACCCACCTGTATCCCATCTACCTGGCGAGCACCACCTGAACCGCTCTTCCCACTCTGCCTTTCCACCCAACCCTCGTGCTTTCAGCGTCAAGAGTGAGTCCGTGCCCAAAAGCACCTTGATCTTCACGCAAGAATGCTCGTGTCAATGTTCCGGTTTATCTTCTCTCGACGTTATGTGCCAGTCCTCAACAAGACCCCAAGCGATCTCAGCGAGAAAGAGTTCGATCTCGAGTCTACAGGCTCCGAGACGTCCGAGGCAAGCACGCTTACCGGCAGTGACAAGCCGTCCTTTAAGCCAGATTCGCGAATCATCTCCGATGCCATAATTGGCCTCTCAGACGGCCTTACTGTGCCATTTGCTCTCACAGCTGGACTGTCGGCTCTGGGAGACACCAGGGTAGTCATCTATGGCGGACTCGCAGAGCTCATCGCGGGAGCCATATCGATGGGCCTGGGAGGGTATCTGGGGGCTAAGAGCGAAGAGTGAGCCTTATCTGCTTTTGCCTGTAGCGGAGACGAGACTAATTATTGGAACACAGGGAATCTTACCACGCCACGCGAAAGCAGACAAAGGATCAAATTCTGAACAACCCAATCTCCCTCTCTGAGAGTATCTCAGCCATCTTTGAGCCTTACAACCTTCCAGAACCCCTAACAGCCGACCTCACTACTCATCTTGAAAAGTGCGACCCAGACAAGATAGTCAACTTCATCATGTCCTTTGAGTATACCCTTCCTGAGCCTGCTAGCTCCAGGGCCTTCACCTGCGCTCTGACGATTGCCCTCGGGTATTTCATCGGAGGATTCGTCCCGCTCCTACCTTATTTCTTCACCGATAACATCACCAAAGCCCTGGTCTGGTCTATTGGGACAATGGGCCTTGCTCTGTTTCTGTTTGGATACGTCAAGACTTGCGTGAATGTTGGGTGGCACCGCCGCAGGCACATCTGGCAAGGCGTGCTTGGAGGGGCTCAGATGGTTTTCGTCGGTGGTGCAGCTGCTGGAGCGGCAATGGGCATCGTGCGAGCATTTGATTATCATCCTGTAAGGGACTAACAGGCCGCTTCGAATTTCAACAATAGCAACAGTGTTTGGCTGCGTATAAGGAAAATCCGGGAGCTGGAAGGATGGGGAATGGTTGTGCACCGCGGCACGGTCGGGGTGAGTCGCACCTGAGCTCCGTTCCATCTTGTATAGCCAAGAACAATGAATGCTCTAGTTCAACCCATGGTCTGTCTCATTGATGCGCTGATCATCTCCAATCTCCGGTTTCTCCCCGCACGTTTCGCCCGCGTATCCCCCGCGTGAATCGGTATAGGACATGACAACAACACCAGTCCCTCGGCAAATACCTTGCAAGCCAAATCGCCGCGGAGATTTCTGAAATGGAAGTCTGTCCTATATAAACGGGCGGCTAGGTGGCCCGGTCAAGCCCCTCTCCCCGCCTCATTCCTGCTATTTGGGCTGATCGTTGTTGACCATGGCGAAGGCATTTGCAGCACATCAAGCCTCGCTTGAGAAAGAAGGCGTCTACGTCGGCGGTTGGTCATTTCGAGACGTCTTGACCCCGAGGAAGAAGGATGGCAAACACGACACGAGCGAGGACCGCATCCAGAATGCCACCGTCTTCACCCCGGACTGGACCCCAGAAGAAGAAAGGAGACTGGTTCGCAAACTCGACTTCCGTGTCTTGTTCCCGGCGTGCATCATCTACTTCCTCGCCTACATGGACAGAGCCAACCTTGGAAACGTGAAGATCTTAGGTCTGGGGACGAGCTCCTCCATCGAAGGCGCCCTGGGGATGAAAGGCTCCGACTTCAGCTGGGCTGTTTCCATCACCTACTTTGCCGTCACGGCAGGTCTCTTGCCCTCGAACATCATGATGAAGAAGTTCTCCGCAAAGTACTTCTTCCCCGTCGTCATGGTTCTCTGGGGCACCATCGTCATGTCGATGGCGGCCTGCACCAACAAGGCAGGACTCCTGGCAGCTCGCTTCTTTCTCGGCATCCCAGAGTCCGGTGTCGTCCCAGCATGCGTCATGTACTTCTCCATGTGGTACAAGCCTTCTGAGAGGGCGTTCCGCATTGGCGTCTTCCACAGCGCCAATGCTCTCGCGTCGGCCGTGTCGGCCTTCATAGCCGCAGGTATCGGGCACCTGAACGGCCGTGACGGACTTGACTCCTGGCAATGGGTCTTCATCATCGAAGGCGTCTTGCCCATCGCCATGGCGCCCGTCCTGTTCCTCCTCCTGCTGACCTTCCCGGAGACGTCCACGGCGCTGTCGGAGCGAGAGCGGTACATCGCGATCAACAGGTTCGGGAGGGGATCGGCCAGAAAGACCGACGTCAGCTGGAGCTGGCCTGCGTTCCGCCGCATCTTCAAGCGGCCTTCGACCTACGTCTTCTTCGTCTCGTACGTGTCGCTGTGCATGGTCGCCGTCGCCCAGGCCACCTTCCTCCCGACCATCCTCAAGGTCTTCCTCGGCTACTCGACGACAAAGTCCAACCTCTACACCGCGGCCTGCAACCTGAGCATCATCCCCTTGTACTGGGTCTGGAGTGTGCATTCCGACTGGACTCGAGAGCGCATGTGGCACTACCTGCTTCCTGTCTTTGCCTCTGTGCCATGCTACGCGGTCTGGACTTATACCTCCATGCACCCGGAAGCTCGGGGAACTGTGATTGAGACAACCGCACTATATGGCATGGCATACCTTGGACAGATGGTCCTGATCTCCCAGCCAATCGTCCTGAGTTATCGTTCTTCGACTTTGTACGGCGCCGCCGAGCAAGCGGTCGGTGTAGCCGCTGCCGTTGCATCCTTGACCATCGCCAGCATTATCGCTCCACAGGTATGTTTTTCCCTCTACCCCCCGACGGTGCATAGGGCTGTGCTGACCAGCTACAGATGTACCCCAACCAAGACGCCCCACGATACCTGGCAGGGTTCGCCGGCACGCTAGCCCTGCTGGTCGTGTGCATCCTGTCGTACCTGACCCTGCCACTCTGGCTCCTCCGGGAAGCCAAGATCCGGAAGAAGAAGACCGGCCACGCCATGCCGCTCCAGGTATCAGCTTCTCTTCCGTTTTCTCCCTCTTCTCTCCCGACACTCCACACCTTCCAGATATTGATCTTGATCTGCTAACGTCTATTGTGCTCCACCCCAGGCCATCGAAGACGCGGAGCGGAGCATGGTCACGGACGCGGCGCACGACTTCATCCACCGCCTCAACGAGCAGGAGGAGATGGAAATGCTCGCCACCAAGGGCGTCGAGGCCGGGGCCGCCGAGGTCCAGCACGTGGAGCAGCCCAAGACCATTTAGGTCTCTACCAGCGAGGGTTTCGAAGCCAGGGGGAAGAATACGGGCATGGGTTCTGCTCGACTGTGGCCAGGCCTTTGGTACGGGTGACTGTAGCGGGTCAGAATGCTGAACAGCGTAGTGCCTATACAACTAGAGCGCTCTGCTGAATGGGTCGATAGGGACGGCGAATAAAAACGGGAAGATATAGAGTCTAGGATAGCAACCACGGAAGGATTCAATTCTTCATGCATGGCCAAGAGGGCACATTGAATCCCTGCAGGAGTCCCCATTGCGCATCGAGACTCTGGGTCTCCTTGTCTTCTTGTCCTCATGCCACGCCACGGGGTATGGATATCTACCTCTCCTCTATTCGATGCGCTTCCAGCATTGTCCTCTTTTTGGCAGCCGACTTTCAGAACTGTAGCAGTCCGACCCGAAGGAGTCTGTGCGGTGCTGCTCACAGCCTCGCCATCCCCGTCGTGTCCCTCTTCGGCGACGAGGCAGCCCAGACCTGCACGTCCGGGATCTCGGCGTAGTTCGCAGGGAAGAGCACCGGGCCCGACACCTTCTTGGACACCTTCCCCGTCGCGTTCTTGGGCAGCTCGCCGTCGATGACGCGCAGGAGCGTGGGCAGCTTGTACCGCGCCAGCTTGCCGCCGAGGTCCTTGCGCAGCTGGGCCAGCGTGAGTGCCGTGCCGCCGCCGCCGCGGTACGAGTATGTCGTCTGGTCGTCGCGCAGGCTCACGGCGGCGGCGACGCGCTGGCCCCACTCGGCGTCCTCGACGCCCACGACCATGACCTCGTTGACGTACGGCAAGCCCAGGCACTCGCGCTCGACGTCCAGCGCCGAGATCTTGTACCCGCCGCTCTTGAGGATGTCGACCGACGCGCGGCCCAGGATGAAGAAGTACTCGCCCTCGCGCCGCGCGATGTCGCCCGTCCTGTAGAATCCCTCCGAGTCGTGCGCGGCCCGCGTGGCCGCTTCGTCGGAGAGATACCTGTGGATTGTTAAGCGGTGAGAGAACGAAGGAGGATCGCGCGAGCCTTGGGAAACATGGACGGGCTATGATATGACGTGACGTGACCAACAGACAAACAACGACTTCGAACGTAAAGCAAACTTGTCGGTCGATTGTGGGAGGGAGGATGGAAGTGCTTTGCTCGGGGAACCCAGGGAAGAGGACCGTAATACATACCCCATGAACATACTCGGGCTCTTGATCAGGAGCTCGCCTTCATCGCCGCCCTCTGCGAAACGCACTTCCACCCCGGGAGAGCACGTGCCCACCGAGCCCGAAGGAGTGTTCCCCGGGTCGAGGGCCATTTTGAACACAGCCCCGGACTCGGTGCTCCCGTAGCGCGTCAGGATGCGCTTGCCGCCCCTGAGGGTTTCCCAGAACTCCTCCACCGGTCGAGGCAGGGCAGATGTGCCGCAGAGCATGCCGCGGATTTGCGCCGCGGCAGCAGCAGCCGTGACGGAGTCGACGGAGCCATCAGAAGGGGACGGAGGGACCGAAGAAGAGCTTGAGCTTGAGCTTGAGCTTGAGCTTGAGCTCGACGACGTCACCGCACGGCTGCTGCTCTGCTGGAAATGGCGCATCATCCGCACATACATGGTCGGCACGCCCGTGAAGAAGGAGATCCCGCCCTTCTTCCACCGCGCCCACGTCCACTCGGCGCTGAACGGGCCGCTGCGGAACTCGATGCAGGCGCCGCGGATCAGGAACGGGAAGAAGGACAGGTACGCGCCCGTGGCGTGGTGCACGGGCAGCAGGTGCAGGATGCGGTCGTCCTCACCGACCTTGTAGTGGTCGGCCACGGAGCGCGCGACCTCGTGCACCATCGCCCGCCGGTGCAGCGCGCCCTTGGGCTTGCCCGTCGTGCCCGACGTGAAGATCACGAACGCCGGCGCGTTGTCGTCCGGGTACCGGTCCGAGGAGCTGGCGATGTCGTGGGGCCGGAGGCTCCCGCTCCGGAGCGAGGGGCGGATGAGCATCTTGCGAAAGTCGGCCTTCTGGCGTTGCCTGCGGACGGCCGTTTCCAACTCGCTCCCCTGGTGGTCCAGGTTTGAGGCGGTCAGTACAGCCACGCACTGCGCCTTGTCCACAAAGTAGCACGCTTCCTCCAAAGGGGCCTGCGGGCCTGGCATACAATCCGCGTTAGTTATCTGCCAAAGCATGCGATCTCAACCAGAGGGGCTGTTGTGTGGCTCTCGTTTGCTTACTGATGGGCACAACGACGGCTCCTAGTGCGAGAACGCCCAGAACTGCAACCGTGTACTCATAGCCGCCAGCAGCCAGGACGGCGATGAAAACAGGTCTGCCGCCGCCTCGTGCCAGGTCCTCTCTCGTTGTCCCGTCCAGGGCTTCAAGCAGGCCATTCCGCATCTCCAGCACGTCCGTCAGCAGCTGGATCCGCGACTTTTCCACACCGAGGTTGACGTCGGCGATGATGGGTTTCGAGGGCGCATCGTGAGCCAGCCGCAGCAGTTGGTTGAAGAATGGGCAGTTGGGGAAGACATTCCGGCCCCGGTGCGGCGGCACGAAGTCGGCTCGGTCTGGAATTAGCATTTCCTCCTTCTATTGCGCTCTGGTAATAAGCAGCGCCAAAGGGTTCAAAGGCACAGTGAAGCTCGGTAGCTTGTATGAGTTGGATGAAAGATAAGGCACGGAAATGCGACTATCAAAACCCATCTCTCTCTCATTGAAGCCGAGTAGGTGTTGAATCTGTTGTTGTCCAATTCGACCCACATATCGCCGAGGGTGTTTGGGAGGAGGCGAGTTCTCCGTTCACCGGCTCACGAATGCCGAAGTGAGGACAGCACTAGTACTGAACTGGGAAAATAAAGGGGATATCGATCCATTCACCGTCCGTCGCTTTCGAAAAGCGGGAGGAGGAGATAATTGGAGATGTCGCAGCTAACGAGCCGGTTATATGATGGGGTATGCTTTGGGCTGTTCCTCTAAAGGAGAGCCTCGAAAAGGCACCCGACTTAATTGCTGGATGCTGCTGTAAAGTCAAATATAGGGCCCTTGTCGTGAAGGCTATGAGATGCTCAGCAAAGATGGGAAGGATGTAGAAAGCGATGATATTGGAGTATCTGTCATCTGTGTAAATCCTGTGGAAGGAGATCACTCATTCGGTGATCTGAGGAGGTCGATACAATGCACGCGCCAGGACCAGAGTATTATCCTTACCATACGATTACCCGCATTTGCCGTGCCGTCGGCTTGTGATCGATCTGGTCCAATAAAATCGTCTGAACCCCTTCTTTAGATATGTTTTCCATGGCAGAAAAGAACTTCTTTGTGGATCTGGAGATTTCCCCAAATAATCCCCTCCGCAAGACGTGCAGCAAAGGATTCCAGAGGCAAAACCATGCTTTGGAGTTTGCCGCAATTCCGATCTCTTAGTCAAAGCCATATGAGAGGAGATAGATTTGAGAAGTATTCGATGTAGAATACCGTTGGAAGTCCAAACAGGGGAATAGAATAATATATAGAGGCACGAAGCCAGCAAGATGGGATCTACCTCAAGTCTTGCAGAAGCCTTTCGTGAAGCGACATAAAAAAGTCGTCGTCGTCCAGGCCAAGTCCGGGCCCCAAGGCTTCGTCAATGCCTGTCCAGTCGTCGCTGTCGCGTGTGAACCATGAGTCTGCAGCTGTATATTCTTGCATCTCTCCGGATGAGGCATCCAAGGCAGTCGACAGAGATCTCAGTGGGGCAACCATGGTTGGCTCCCGCGTGGTGCTATCGCAGACTGCTGTTGGGTCACGTCTCAGAGTCACGAGACTGGGGTTCGCGAGAGCAGAAGTGCTCTGGAATCGGGCGTCGGGTTTCTCTTGCGAGCTGACTCCTGTGGCATCTACTGCGGCCTCAATGATATGCCTCTTCGGACATAATTCCGCTGGGACCATTTCAAAGAATGACAATTGTTCGGGGGATAGATCCAGATCTGTTAGAGGTCGATGTGCTTCCTGCCCGCGCCTCACAGCATTGACGAGGCTTGTCAAGATGCGCAGGGCCCGGCGTGCAGAGTGCCAGGTCTTTGCCATTTCATGAAGTGATCGTTGAATCACAGACAACTCAAGTTTGGAGATGTCCCAGAGCGAGCCGAAGTTGAAGCAACATAACTGCGGCAGCGCAGCCACTCGGAGGTAAAATATGGTCATCGGGGCCAGACACCGGAGCTGGTCGCGAGCCAAGAAATCCTCGAAAATTCGGGCCACACACGAGGAGGCGAGGATTGGCGCAACAGATGTACAATTACCAGAGCGCCCGGGTCCGTAAAGGATGGAGATGGCGGTAAAGTATATCAGGTAAAGCTGGCGCACCTCAAAATCATAATCCAGGGCGTTGTTGAGCTTCAGGCACTCGGGGAGGTGGGAGATCCATCGCTGGAGACTCCGACCAACCTCAACCGGCGCCCAATGGGAATATCCTCCGCTCAGAGCTTTGCCACATTGCCCGAGGATTGAACAAATCTCGACGTACGCGACAAAAAGGCGAGCGTTCTTGTTGTCTTGTGGGAAGTCCGCAACTGTTGGCAGACTGATATTGCATTCAACCAGATTAATGGCTCGAGGACGGCCTTGGGCTATGGACAGCAGACAGTCTCGTGCCTGTTCCGAATCAGTGGATTGAGGGACGAGCAAGTAGAGGTAGAGGCACTCACAAACAGTGTCCAGAAGAGCCTTCTCCGCAATTTGCACTTGGCGGATCTAGGATCTGGCTCACGGTGCAACCCTATCTGGAAGCCCAAGCCCACGGCAATCCTGAGCCAGAAGCCGCTGGAGTGAATTGAGACGTGTTCCGGCCCGCTTGGGTTGTACCATTGCATCAAGCACAATGCGCTAATCGTGTGCAACGGATCCGGCTCCAGATCCGCGAAGAACAGCGCCTTGGCCTTGTTGTAGAAGGTCGCACAGTCCGAATTCGGTAACAGGGCTGTAGGCTGGACTCTACTGCCTGCAACGAGAACAGCTTGAGTCAGGAGTAGCGACCCTCCTTGAGTCGAATCGGGATGTCCGGATCCAGCACTCTGGAGCTTGAGATCCTCTATTTCGACCACCGGCATCCAAGGACTGCAGATTTTGAGAAAGTTATCGATCAGGCCGTCACGCACCGGTCTCGGTGGGAAATCAAACGCCTTCAACGATTGTAGATACGTTATTTCGGCGTCGCCTCTTGAGGTTTTGGGTGGGTCGGCGTCAGGTTCTCTTTCTGTGGCAAATTCCCCTGGTAGATACTCTGGTCTGCCAACATAGGCGAGATTTTCACTGGCGGGTGAGCAAGAGTTGCCATGCTTTGCTGTTGTTACGGTGCTGCGTTCAGTGGCGGCTTCTGACATTGGAGGTAATGTCGGGTGCTCAACTGGCCTGATGAGTGACGCACTGCTCGGTGCCTTGACTGCTGCCGGTATGTTGCGCAATCCGTGGAGACGTGTGAGGTCATGTCGCTTCCTCTTGTGAGGTCTTGAAGCATTCATCATCAGCAGAGAACTGGAGTGGTTATTGAAACCTGATCTGGCCCCCTCTTACGTGCATTCAATTCTCTGGAATCGACAATTGGAACAGGATTCTTCCCCACGAACCAGATCGCAGCGAACCTATGTGGCAGTTGTTTAGTGAGTTCGTCGACAGATGCCCAGCTAAGAGCCGAAGACTCGCCTTTCGTTTATGGCACGCGATACATGCCTGTCTACTCCTCCTCACAGATCCTGCTGCTTCTCCTGTGCGGGCAGGGCTCGACGACATCTTTACCCAAGTGATAGCATTGCCAAATGTAAGCTCTGGCCGTTCCTAACATGCCTGTAGCTCTCTGTAGCTCACGGTGTGAACTCCTCGGTCTTACCCCGCCCTATAGTCGTGGCCCATGCGGAGTGTAAACTTACCTTGTTCTGTCCTGGTGTACGACATGCATCTTGACTCGGCGTTTGACTTTGATGCATCCCGCAAGCTGACACCATTTGCATAGCGGAGGCACCGCTATAACGTTGGCATCACTTCTCGAGCCCATCTGTGACCCATTGGCGTGATAACACTGCGTTGTCAACTAGGTGGAAGGAAAGTGAGAAGCTGGAAGTGAGGAGATGGACAAGCCGCCAAGCTATGGATTTGTAATGACGCCAAAAGACGAGCAAATATCTATTCCCCCACCTTCAGGTTATGCCTCCCTCGAAACCCGCTAAGATAAAGAGACTGCCAGATCCCATGAAGAAGAAAAAAACAATTCACAAATCCTTGAGCATGATCCAGTCCATCTGAATGCACTTGCCCATCTTGAACTCATGGTCGCCGACCTTCACAAACCCCAACCCCTCGTAGACCTTCTGGGCCCGGAAGTTTCCCTCCCAGACACCCAGCCACAATGCCTTGTAGCCCAGACGCCGGGCGACTCCCTCGATTTGGCTCGCTAGGACCTTGCCGACCCCGTTGCCATGGAATGCAGTCGAGACGTACAGGCGCTGCAATTCGACAATGGACGCTACGTCGGAGATGCAGGGCTCTGAGGTGCCTTCCGTGAGCTGGGCGAAGCCGATGATTTCCTCCATGCTGACCCCATCACCATCGTCATCGTTGGGTGTTAAAGCGTCGGGGATGGACGACTTGTCGGAACAGGCGACGAGAATATGCTTGGTCGCACACCGAATGTCCTCTTCAATAGCCTCGACACTGTACGCCTCGGTCAGGTAGGCGTTCAGATCGTTTGTGGGGATACTGAAGCCAAAGGTGGTCGAAAAGACGGTTGATCCCAGGCGTGCAATTGCCGGTGCGTCGCCGATTGTCGCTGGACGGATTGTGAACGATTGCTTCGTCTTTGGTGGCGGCGAGTCGGTATCTACCGGTCTGGAACGTAGCTGAACAGCTGCGGGTGATGAGATATGTACATTGTAGTGACGATCTAGATATTCTGAAGTTGCTGGTGGAGCTGAAGGTGGTGGTGTTGGGAGAGGAACTGGATGCTGGTGCTGAACAAGCATTTCTGCTCCGTCTATATGTTGTATCTGCTCGTCGACAGGTGTAACAAAATCTGAGTATATCGTCGAGATCAAACAATCCGATTCATCGACGAGAAAGGGCCACTCTAGCGTGTATATATCTATGCGTGCTCAATCCTGAAGATGAGAGGTACCTTGAAGGTAGGCGAGATAAGCCATGCCCCTAAGCGGCAAAAAAGAGAGCTGCCGACTCTGCCCTACGCCCTACGCTGTACAGTCTTCTTGGCCCACACATCAAGAAGTCAAATCATTCTAGGGCCCGCCTCATCACGGAAGCGGGGGAGGAGAGAGTATTTCTGATCCGCCCTGAGGACGATAACTTCTTTTTTCCTGCTGGTTTTCCTGAGCAACACTAAATTAGTACGCCCTTTGACCAACAACGGAATGGCCCCTCGCCCTGTTGTGGCAAGGTTTGCGCCCTTGCGACGATGATTGACCGGAGAGGAGCGCGTCATCTCCAAGAAGCAATAAGTCAAATGACCGGACATTTCCGGGCAGGTTTTTGCTGTTATGAAATTGTTACCTCAAGAAAAAGCTGGAGAGACAAGGGGCTATAGGAGTGCAATGCCGCGGGTATCCGACTCCAGCCTGCGCCTTTCGCTCTAGAATAGGAAGAGGTAGGGGAGTCTGTTGCAAGGAAGGAAAAAATTAATTCTCGTCCATGGTCGTATGCGTGCTTTTAACTCCATCACAAAACAGAACTCGAGCAGCATATCACTGGTCTCTGGGGGGGAGGAGGGGGAGGGGGTTTCTATCACGAAGATGTTCCAAGCGTCAATAATCCAAGTCGACATGCGACAACCAGAAGGGGGTATAGAACAGGGTAATGGTAACTGACCAATTTGCACAATCTGGCGCCTCTGGCACACTATTTCTTTTTGCTCCCGTCCTTGCCATTCTTCGAGTCCTTCTCGTCGCTATTGTTTCCCTCCTTTCCCTTATCTTTGGCCTTGTCTTCATCTGCTTTTCCGTCCGTCTCATCGGACTCATCTTCCTCCGACATGGGCTCACTGTGGCCCGTCGCCAGGCCCTGCCAGACGGCGTACCCCGATAGCAGACCACCGGCCACAAATGTGATTTTGAGAAGGGTTTTGGCAGGTCCGCCGTACTTGAAGACCCAACTGGCGAGCCATTGCATGGCAGGCGTGACCAGCTGCTCTCTTTCCCTGACCAGGTCTGGGTTCACGGTGAACAGCAAGGCTAGCAGAGCCAGCAGGATCAGAATCAACGTGATGACCGTCACGACCTGGATGACGGCCAGCAGAATGGCAATGTCTTTGGTCGTTTGGAGCACTTCGAATCCCGCGGCGACTAGCGGCGTGACTTGCTCAAAGGCCGAATGGATCTCCTTGGAGTAAGGAAGTCCCATTTTGACGCTTTTGAGTGAAAGGGGCACTATCTCTGTGGGGTATTCGTTTGTTGGATAGGGGAATTTACTGGAAAACTTACCGGAACTACCAGCAGATCCCATGCCGCGACGTGGCGATCTCATGGTCTTATAAACAGGGTCATCATATGGAGGGGGTTTTGGGAGCGTGTCAGAGTGATGTCATACGCCACAGGGATAGAACGCCGAAGCCAGACTCAGCCTTGTCACACAGCCTTGGCTTGGCGGCCAACAAAAAGAAGAGAGGAAAAGGTGTCCCGCGCTCAATATGCGATTCACCAAATGCCTCCCGCTATTATAGGTCGACCTCGCCATCGAATCTACGTCGGCTTGGAAGTTGCCATCCCCATCAGTCTTCAGCATTAGTGGCCTCCTCAACATGGCCTTCCGTCCCCAGTTTCTCCACATATTCGCGCTTCTGACCTTCCGATTGTCTCCTTCGAATCTCGCCTGCTTCCATGTTAAGAAGCAAGGCCGGGGCGTTGCCAACTTTGTTACGCGTGCGGAAATCCTGCTGAAAGATGCCATCGATTTCCTCCAGGCTGTTGAGCATCATTAGTTGTTTTCCTTCACAATTTCCCGCGGGGTTCTGGAGACTGACCGTTTCCGAGATGTTTCCGGGAAGCAGAAGAACACTGATAGACGGGCTGTTAGCCAATGCCTGAAGGAGAGAAGAACGGATATGGCCGATTACCTATGACGATAAAAGCCACATTGAAAATTCCGAACATGAGCTATGACAGGTTAAAAGGTATGAGACAAAAGCTAGGTTCAGGAGACTTACGTAGAGTCTCCACCCAAGATGAACGATCGCCGGCGGAGTGAATTCGGCCACGGCAAAACTATGCTATCGGCCAGTGCCGGATGACGGGGTTTATGGAGTTGGATGTTCCATACCAGGAAATCCAGACCGAGAAAGTGGCGATGGCTGCACCTTTGGACCTCAAGCGGAGTGTTGTGATCTCCGTCGGGTACAACCAGGGAATCGGAAGCCATGTTGGCCCAAAGAAGGTGTTGAACAGGAACAGCATGGCAGCAGCGACCCCGGCAACTGTTTTGTTATTTGACCCCTCATCAAGTTTCTTGACCAGTGCGCCTAGGACAAACAAACTGAGCGCCTGGCCTGCGGCTCCGACCATCATCAACTTGCGTCGTCCAAAATGGTCGATCGTGAAGACGGCAAGGATGGTCGCAAGCATGTATTCGATTCCATTGAAGCCAGCCATGAGCCGGGATAGATTGGGAGAAAGCTTGATCGACGTGTTGAACACCACTGTGAGATAGTAGGAGATGACATTGATGCCTATCTTGGATATCAGCGAAACGACTACAGGCCATGTCACACGCCCAAATTACCTGTGAATTGTTGCATAAGTTGCACCGCGAAGCACAGGGCGATTCGGTAAAAGTTCTTTGTTTCGCCCAGCGTGAACAGTTCAGCGAGAGCAAATTCTTTTCCGACCTCAAGTTCGAGCTCGATTGTCTCGCGGATGGAACGGCTTTCCGCGATCACGGCGGGGTCGTCCATGGCCAGACGTCTCTGACCAATGGTCTGAGCAAGTATCTTGGTGGCTTGGTCTTCGTGCCCATGAAACATGAGCCACCGTGGCGATTCGGGCAAGAAAGGAAGCATTGCCAACACCGCAAGAGCAAAAGCAATCTGGGTCCCGCGTTACTTACGGCCTGTCACAAGGGGAAAGGGTACGCGCTCGACGAACCTGGAAAGCAATTGGAAAGCGAAAGGAAAAGCTCGAATCGATAAACGATGTCCCATAGCCGACCCAGTAAGCCACTGCCAGGCCGAAGATATTGAGTATGAATCCAATGGAGACGTCGCGACCCCGGGATACTGGGCGTGTAAGCTCAGCCTGCCAGACCGGGATGGTGGAGGTGTTGATTCCGTTGCCGATGCCAGTGATGATGCGTCCGGCGATGAGCTGAGGCACGCCGTAGGCGGTTGTCTGAATAATCGCACCAACGATCATTATAACCTGACAGAGATTGTGAGTCGGCTTTTCGGAAACGAGACATCATGGACAGAGAGACATACGCATCCTAAGCACATGGCCTTTTTCCGGCCCAGAGGCTCTCCAAGGGGGATGATGCTCAGTGCTCCAATTGCACATCCAATCTACCGCGAAGTATAAGTGTCCGCTGGAAGTTTGCGACCAAAGCCTGGGAGAATACCTCGTAAAGGGCCACAATGTTGGCGACCGTACTGGCCTTTGACGATCCGTCAGGGTTGATCAGATTGAACTGGCTTGTGAATTGATTCATCAAGAGTAGTCCACTCAGCACTCCTTGATCCTGTTGCAAACGATGAGCCTCGCTGATACTTTTGCTTCCCCTGAATTTGCAAAGAAGCATACATAGCCAAACAGTGCATATCCGAAGCCGGCACATATCAGAACCGCACCTCGGAGGTATTTCCCCTGGAGACCCATTGCGGCGACGTGGTTGATAGTGATCCTTCTTGTTAGAGGGCGATGCGATGAACTTGGTACGAATTGCAGGTGCTCATCTGGGACCATATGGCTTCCTACATATAGTGACTGTCCCAGCCGGTCTTGCGTTTCCCACGGGCCAACCCCATGTCACAGCCACCCCGGTTATCGGATCCCCGTCTGTCCCCGCATTCGTGTTCACTTTCCTCTTTCGATATTCTGGGGTCTTGCGAGCGTTTTTGGCGAAGCTTAAACACAAACGATTGGGTTTAGCCTCGTCCTCACCTTCTCGTTTTGGACGTTGTGCGGAAAGGTACAACAACAGGCTCCACCTCGACATCGGCTTTATCGGGAATCTTATCTGTCTTGGTCTGGGTCGTCTAGCGGCGTTTAGACGAGGCGAAAAAGAGCTGGGGAGAAAATTGAGGTATCGTTAGAGGTGCTTTCGCAAAACTGCCCTCTTGGTCCAGACTTCTTTCAGCTTTTGTTTGGCCTTTGTGGAAGGATGCCCGGTGGTTGCCTGAGCCATCTCCAGCAATCTGACAGTCTCGTGCTGTTCCTGCTCATCGGTAAAGAATGCCCCCGCAACATTGATCTAGCGATCCTGGTAAGTAAGAGCAAGGGAAGTTTGTTGTGGATTCCTTACCATGTGACAAGCAATTATGAGGGCTTGAGCAATGGGGTTCGTGATGATGATACCACAGATGGCTCGCGCGTGGAGCAATATTTCATCCATCGAGTCGAAGTCGTATCCAGGGGTCATGTCGGATGCTTTCATTCGCCAGCTACTATAAGGCCGATGGGTTTTGAGGAGAAGTTTGGCTGTGTGGTAATATAGTGACGCGACAACTGAGAATTTTCGGTTAGCCAGCAAATGTCGTAAAAGGTGATGGATCATTAACAGACCATGCCAATCACATGTTAACCAAATTTCAGGAAACACCCTATTCCGGCTGGGGTCTCGCTCTCTCTCACAGTATGGCTTAAACGAGGGCGGTTTCTCAAAGCACCACCTTTCGACGTCGACCCATAGTAGCGTCCAGGTCTCAAGGGTTCGCTCACCCTCTTGAAAGCAATAGTTGATCACGTCGCACAATAGGCTCACCATGCGGTTACCCCACGCACAGTCGATGGCTGTCTGTGACACTCCCTGACCCTGCACCTCCTTTTCGAGGCTGGACAATATCTCATCTTTCCGAAGGCATGGCTCAAAGTCACTACGGATCGGGCATTTAAGCAGCAACGCAACGTGAATGTCCTGGCGAAGGTGGACCCAGAATGCTGCACGCATCAGGGACTCTTCTTCGGATGGAACTACGTCTGAGCTCGTGTTCAACGCTAGAGCAGCGGTGAAGAGGCTGTCAGGCTGGCTATCCTCGAGGTTGTCTGCGAAATGTCAGCCATTCTTTACCGCTATCCTGGTCGAAAGTAGGCCGGCCAACCATTGATATGTGCATAGCCTCTCAGAAGAACATACGTTGCGAACAACGTCTCTTCGCTCGAGCTGGGCCTGTCATGACTCAAAAGGATGGGCACCAGAGCTTTCGAGCAACGATCTCGATAATATTCTGCTGCGGCAAATGGGTACCCAGACACCCGGCTGAGTTGCAACGCAGAAATTGCCATCATGGCGTCCAGAATGGGAGGGAATTTTGTCAGCGCAACCTGGACAATGCTGGTAGAAAAGTGGCGATCCGGGTCCAGGCAGTCAAAGATCGGACCCCAGGTCTGCGTGAAAAGCTTCACCAGATGGGCTTCTCTGGGATGCAGAACAACGGTATCTTCACACGATATCTGTGATCTTCTGAATTTGGAAGAGGTAGCAGCACTCGTTGCGGTGGCCTCATTAGGAAACGGGCTCTCCAGAGGCGTTCTACCAGGCCTAACGGCAGGAGGTAAAGATGGACCAATAGAGTACGACTGACCACCCAACTCATTTGTGGCTGTCGTTACATTCCAAGGCAAATTTCGAAATGCATCGGCGTCGCCTAAAGGATCCGGAGAAACAACTGGGTAGGGTTCTGAGTTTGGGCGACCATCAGCGTGTAGCAAGGACCCAGTCGACTGAGGTTCTTGAGCGAAGCTAAACAGAGTCGCATTCAGAGGAAGGCCAAAAATAGACGGCGGATTGTTAAACAACCGCGCTGTGGAAAAGTCGTCACTGCTCTGTATGTCGGGTGAAGTCTCATGCGCCTGCGTTTGCTCGTGATCCGGGGAGGCCAAGTCAACCTTGTCCGCGTCCGTACGAATAGCATTGGAGTCACTCCGGCGCAAGTTCTTGCTCAGCGAAACGGTTTCATCAACGAATGTGACTGTAGCCAATACATTAGCTCTTCCCAGATTGCTTGTAGGAGTATACCTTAATGTACTAACTGTTCTGGAAGAAAGTCCGAGGGGCGTCCTTGTTGCTAGCGATCGGGGTAGGAATGTTTGTTGGGGAGGTTCCTTCTGTCCCACGCTTCGCGAGGGTCGGATGAGTGGTGGTAAAATTGCGGAAACCTATGTTGAGACCATGTGAACAGGGCAGATTTGCCCTTTGACATCGCAAGCATGAGGGTAACAACTCGTCGCCTGTACGATTTCTCAGCCAATGACCATGTTCTCACGGGTTGAGAGAGGAAACTATTCACGCACATCTGAGATGTCGTTGTCTGCATGTCAGACTGTTCAACGTGTCCACAATCAACACCAGCCCACTCTCGGTGAAGCAACCATTGGTATGTGGAAAGGAATCCGCCGTATCGAGCAAACAACTTTACCTACCACGCATTTCGAGACCTCAATCGACCCATCTTCCTCACATTGTTTACGTCCAGCCTCCGTCGTGGATGCGATTAAACATAGTCTGACAATGTGTGAACGTAGTCGAAAGAGAACATCCCTTTCTGGAAAGTATTTTTATGAAGTCACAGGCAGTCAGTCACGATGGAGGTCGTCAAAATACCCAAAGGCGGGGGAAATGTGGAGTAGACCCCGGAACGCCCAAAAGGGAAAGTCTGCGCGGAGCTAGGTCTTCTCGCTTATGTGAATTTTTCACCGTCTTTGTCCTTTTGACTTCTCTCCCACCCGGTGGCTGTAGCAAGGTGAGTGTTCTCTTTGGCAGATCTGGTATGATATCGGCCTAGAAATTTGCATGGATCGCCTGGGGCACCAGGGGTACCCATGGCCCTCCGTAGCGCTATTCTCTTGTAGAACAATACGACCGTGGCAATGATGAGGCCTTCATCCCTCGGCTGCTTTCGGCGGGTATTCTTGATTTAACCCTCTTTCATTGCATCGTCCTCACATTCCTTATTGGGCTATTGCGTCAAGATGAATCCGAAGCCCTTTTCTCTTTGTGATAAAACGTGGTGCTGGCTGGCAGTCATCCCATTTGCAATGCGACTCGGAGGTCGACTCACAGGTTCGACACCAACTCGTTCATCATGCTAACAACAGTTATTTCAGGTAAGCCGACTTTGCAATATCTCGTCTGGCGGACAACTTGGCTAACAAAATGATTACCAGTGCTATGCTTGTCTGCGGTTTGCTATGTACTGGCGAAACCGGTCTGGGACTATTTCTATGATCCGCTGGACCTTCGAAAATATCCTGCCCCCAATGTCTGGGCTGCTGCCACTCCCTTGTGGCTAATGCGACAGAGCTGGTTGCAACGTCGTTCCAGAGCCATATGGGAGCAGCACAAGCGTCTCGGTGACATCGTACGGATTGGACCCAAATCAGTCTCCATCAACGATCCTCGCGCTATCAAAGAGATCTATGGGCATCAAGCTATCGACAAAGTCAACAAAGACACCTTCTATGAGCTGTTGAAAGGCGAGCACTACGACATAGTACAGGTCCCTGACCGTGCCGAACACACAAGAAAACGCAAGTATCTCGCCAACGCCTTTGCCCTCAAAACAGTGGTGGAGATGGAGCCTGTCATCCGGGAAAATGCATCCAGGCTTATCCAAACGTTTGACCGCGCCTGTAATGCCGTCAAAGAAGAGGCAAACCCCATAGATATCCGTCTCTGGTTCAACTTTTTCACATTGGACGTCATAGCGGATATGTCTATGGGCATCAAGCTGGGCTTCTGTCAAAATGGCTCTGATGCATCGTGGGCCCAAGGGAGGACCGGTCCTGTCTATGTCCTTCGGAGCACGATAAACACACTGCAACAGGGAGTTCGGTTCTCTGTTACGCTGGCCCAAGGCAGCTCCAAGATGTGGCATCGTTTTTGGAAAGACCTCCTTGAAGCAAATGCCACAATCAAGCGTTGGATCCACGCTCAAGATGCGGATGATTTCACTAACTTCTGCCTGCACAAAGTTCGCACAAGGATTGCTCAGGGGTCGCCGGACCGTCCGAGCAAGGATTTCTTTGGAAACATCCTCGCTGATCCCCGAACAGGAAAACCTCGAAATCTTCCATTCATGGAGATGGTAATAGACGCAATTGTCCTGTTGAACGCAGGCAGCGACACCACCGCAGCAGCTTTGTCAAGCGGCATGTACTTCCTGATCAGCCACCCACAATACTTTCGAAAGCTCCGAGAAGAGCTAGATCAGGTGCTCCCGAACGACACCGCCATTGCGCCTTACGGACTGGTCAAAGATCTCAAATTTCTCAGGGCTTGCATAGACGAGACGCTTCGTCTTCGGCCGCCAATTGCATATGGTCTGCAGCGAATCGTTACGGCGCCGGAGGGCGTAACACTTGCTGGTCGCCATTTCAAACATGGCACGACTGTCGCGGTCCCTACTTACGCCGTGCATCGCAAGGAAGAGCTTTACGTCGACGCGGAAAGCTACAACCCGGATCGCTGGCTAGACGACAGTGATCCCCAGCAGATTCAGAACTTGAGGGAGTACACCATCCCTTTCAGTGCGGGCCCCCGCGCGTGTCTAGGCAGGAATATTGCCATCGTCGAACAACAGATCCTCGTCGCCAGTTTGGTTTTTCGATATGACTTTCAACTTTTGGAGCCAAATCAGGGCTTGGAGATATTGGAGCGCTTCAATTCCAATCCTGGACCTTTGCCAGTGAGGATTTCCAGGCGTGCTTGGTAGGGATATGACCGGGTTGGGTGGCACGGGCCTTCTAAATTCGGCCTCCGTCTTGATCCCAATCACCATACAATATGTGAGTAGAGAGCAGAATTCAACCCTATACTAGAACAAAATCGAGTGTCTCGGTCCGGAAACAAGGCGACGTCTGCGGTGGAAACGCGCCGACGCCGTGTCTGAAGAACATTTGTGCGGATGCATTCAACACACCCAAGAATCGCTGGACAAGAATGAACCGTGCGGTTTCACGTCGAGAGTCTTCGTCACCCATCGGACTCTGAGTAGATGGCCTGTGAGGTCTGAGTACATGTATATCGTGGGATCCAAATATCATGGCTAACCAGTCTCCTTCTCTTATGAAGGTGGGCTCGATGAGATCGGGGGGGATGTCATCGAGGTAGTATCGCCGACGAGGGATGCCCATTGACTCCTTATTCTCATCTCGTGGAAGACCAATCCAGTCAAGGAGGATCGAAGGTTCAATGGTTGGCTCCGTACGCTGGACGTGTGAATCTCTACTGGGCGAGCTTTTCAAATACCTTTCGAGGTACCAGGTTTGCCGCTTGCTTCGTGACGTAAGGGACACACATTTCTCGTCTCGAGCAATTCCAGAAGAGCAATGCGATCCGTCCAGATTTTCCAGAGAAGATGTGTGGCTCAACAACGACGGAGAACCTTTCCTGGAGCCTTGGCTAAGCTCCTCATATCGAGCCGCTGAGCCTCTTTCATCTGTTTCGCTGTTAACTTCCGAGTCTTTAGCCCGAGGGATTTCACATAGGTAGAATTGACCAGAGAAAACCGAGATGTGTCCGAGAACAAAACCGCGAAGCTGAAGACAGGAGCCAGCGGTCTCGATTCCAATAACGGGTTCGTCGAAGTACTTTGTTTCGGAGGAACTCGGTGGGTAAACATCTTGAGGGGCCGATTGTACAAGGTTTCTCAGACCAACAGGCAAATACCAATTGGGGCACCATGATGGAAGGTTTTGCTCAATGTCGAGAGCCGTTTCCAGCCTTGAGGGAGACATCGAGCTGCGGAGTAGCTCGACCTGTTTTGGGTATCGTTTTTGACGGTCTAAAATCCGATTCTCTAAGCCGGCAGTTCGAAGCATATCGATCCTATTTTCGACCTTGATGCATGCCAAACAAGCGTCTGCGTAGACCTGGCTAGTGGGCAGGCTGTAGTCGACTTTGATGGCATAAGTGTTGGACAGGCTCAGAACACCTAGGACGCCGTAGATTTTATCCCGAGGGTTCGAACAATTCCTTTGCCAGTTAAGACTTAGCTGGTCCAGTAAGCAGCATGGAGATCTGTCAGAAGCATCAAAAAAGGGCCCAAAGTCGGTGGAGGACTTGACCCCGAGGAGCATTCTACCCCTCTCAATGTCCCAGGCGTGCGAGTCTGCGGGCCCCTCGAAGTATCCCGCGGCGATGTTCATTGCTCCTTTTGCAAATTGGCTCCACTCCATCGAGAGTCTCCCACAGTGAACGATTGCGTGTTGAGCTAGCACAGCTTCCTGAAAGATCCAAGTTCTGGTAAACCACGGACCGGCAATGAGCCAATATATAGCAGCCCAAAAGGCGTTCTCTGTCTCTTCATCGCGTGCCAGATGCTGAGGGATCAAGCGGCGGTCTTGGTATTCCTCGTGCAGGCGCCCACCTTCGAGCTCATATGTGGACCATTCCTCCAGCTCCCGCCATGCTTCCGTCGAGTATTCGGGACCGTCTCCGAGCCAGGCGCGGACTATGGTGGCTTCAGAAAAAATCGGGCCCATTAAACGAACCTGCACAGCCTTCTCGATCTGATCTTCTTGATTAATGCAAAGAGCATCGACCCACAATAACCGATCGGGAAGCTCCGTCCAGATCTGAAGGAGCGCGTTAAGTAAATTCGTTGGGATGCGCACACAATGCTCATTGCAGACAACTTCGCTCTGCTCTTCCACTGAGCCCCAAACGTAGGAGACTGCATCGTATTCCTTACTCCCGATCTCTGCCACTTCGATTTCGCAATGAAGGCGGTTGAGGTGTTTCGCACAACTAACTCCCTTGAACCGAAGAAGCCGGATTGTGTTTTCGCGCAACCGAGAATACAACGGCCTCGCCAGGGACGTTTCCGAAGTTGTGATGCCCGACATGTTGAGAGTTCGTCACCAAGCTCAGTTCTCGCATGATGACACAACGCTTCGACTCCAAGTCGGGCTGTGCAGCGTGCATGTCGTTGAAGCCAGCGTGCGGCTGAACAGGAACGCATCTTGCCAATCGGTAAGCCGTTATTGGTAGAGCCTCGTCATGATTTAATTGGCTCTTCAGCTCTTGGCGGCAAAAGACGGAGCAAGTGTGCCGAGGGCGCAAAGATAACAACTCAACAACAACAGCGCTCTCATGTAGTGATTTCTGTGTCCACCATCGGGGTGAGAAGCGCCTCTTCACGCCGAGGCGGAAGGGAAGGAGATAAATGACTGATTTATGACCTGGAACAGTCTGCCTACGAGGGAGGTCGATGAGGGTCATCTCAAGTGGCATATCGCAGCCCATTAAGATAGCAAATGAATCCCCCAGTCTTATTAAAATTAACCTTTATAGACTCTATTGTCTCTCTTGAGAGATGGTATGGTTAAAAGCAATGCTCTCCTACACTGTCGATGGGTTCAAAGGGTACAATGGGTGAGAATGCTCGCGAACTTTTCAACGTCGTCCGTGACTTTCATGCTTCCTCCCCTTTGTTGCGATCCAATGCCATTCGGGCATCGATGGCGAGCAAAAGCCCGTAAACCAATCCCAAAGTTGGAGTCGAGACACCCAGCTCACGCCCTTTTCGGACCGCAGTCCCAAAGATCGCTTCCACTTCCATTGGTCTTCCAAATTTGCTATCGTAGTACATGCTACTGTAGATAGGCCCCAACTGACTGATCTTCATTAGGTATTCATCAAGTAAGTCGTCATCTACCTCGGGAATTCGTAATGCCTTGGCCACGCTGATTCCCTCTGCCATCAACGTTCTCGTCAGTGGAACCGCAAAAGTGGATGATGAGAGCCATGACGCTGTGTCCCAAGATGTGAGAGTTGTGATAGAGTTCCAGGCCATGTTCCAGATTGTCTTCTTCCAGCGAGCGGTCTGAATGTTAGGGAGAACCTGCACCTGAGTCCCCCCTTCGCGGAAACATGATACAAATTGATCGAGGCTTTCTTGTTGCACGGTCGCGTTGATGTCCTGGCTTTCGAAGAGGCCAATCTCCGTGTTTTCGGGCGGATAGTGGTGGACAACACCCGGAGACAGTTGGGCGCCTCCTACCCATACCTGAACGCAGAGCATTAATTTATTGTCTTGAGGGTAAGGTGGCGATATCAATTCAGCCTCAACAACGTTGATATATCAAGGGATAACTCACCACGCCACTAAGAATTGGACAAGTAGGATACGCCTTTCTAAAAGGCTCTTCAATCCCGATGCCATTTTGCATCAGCGCAAAGGTGGTCCTTCCCACATCCACCACGGGGGCAAGGTCACGAGCCACTCGCTCCGATTCGACAGCCTTGTTCGTGCATACAACATAGTCAAAGACACGTTTTGCATCGGACGGCTGTCTGAACACTTGCACTGGCCGGAAGACATGTTCTCCGTGGGAGTCGCTCTTGACAGTAATTCCATTCAACTTGATTGCTTCGTAGCCAGACCTTGCAACAACAAATAGACGGACTCTCGGTGACCTATGAAGGATAAAAGCATAGAACGCTCCGATGGAACCTGGCCCATAGAGGAGTACGTCAAGACACCTTGACATTGTGTTTCTATGCTGTTGAGACAATGATTAAATGGCGATCCGAGTAGCTCTCATTTGAGAATCTAGGGGATAATCGCCCGGGTTTGGTCCACTATTTGATGCCTGAGACGGGGGTATTTCGATCTTAACCTCACTCGTCGACAAGCACTTCAGATAATTTCAAATCCGCTAGTTGTGTGCAGAACGGTAGGAAGTCGTGGTTGGGCAACACGTTGCGAGCACGAGAGTAAAGAACCTGGGCTCAAATCAAAGGTAATTCGTGGAGCGTTTGAATATCTCAATCAGGAGAGAATATGCCGATAAATAGCCACCTGTGAGGGACAGAAGAACTTTGTTCGTCGACGGGCGCTCTGGGAGCTGAAAGCACCCCCAATCGGACGATTTTTGGTAGTTCCAATGTGTTCCGAGGATTGCGACTCAGAGAATAGAGCTAGGAATAGATGCTGACTCGCTCCAAATTGTTTGCTCTCATGTATACGGGGAGTTCGGAACCATCTTGATTTCGACAATGGTCCTGTCGGAGGCACCTAATATGCAGCCGTGGTGGGGGCGGAGCACCACCCAGTCATATCCTCTCGCAACTGCTAGCGAGAGTGGGGACGGCATGAAGGGGATATGGTCATCTTGATTGGAAAATGTTAGCAAGGCTAATGCTTTTTTACCCAAGGCTGAAAGCCTCTATTTGCTCCTCGCTACATCTAGTTAGTAGGGTTCCATGGGAAATGGCCGCAATCCATGAGAGGGTACGAAGATCATCCCTTCCTCCAGTAATGTTCCTGGCATTTATACCTTCTATTTGACGGGATGGTAGAGCGCTAGCATTATCCACCAATATTTGTCTGTGAAAACGACACGGTCACCTTACAATATTATTGCGTCAAATGCAAATACTCAAGCATCACGCCTACCAGCGAACTCCGAGCACAGCATAATTGTCCATCCGTAGACATGGCCAATCCAGGCAAATGGGTCTCTACAACTCATTACCAGCTTCCGCGTTATGCGAAGGAGGATTTGCCTCCAAACCAGGCAACAAACTGGTCCCTGAAACGACCAGAATACTTCAACTTCGCTACCGATGTTGTCGACAGATGGGCAAAAGATGATCCGCATCATGTTGCCATGCTTTGAGTATCCCAAGACATGACTTCTCACCATTCAATGACCTTTCAATATTTCTCGAACCAGTCCCAGAGAGTCGCTTTCATGCTTACAAAACTAGGTATAAAGCATGGCGAAGTCTTAATCGTTCTACTACCTAGAATCCCAGCATGGTTAGTGAATACAGAAAGGAGAATCATAGACGATATCGAAGCTGACAAAGAAAAATCAGGTGGGAGGTCGCACTCGCGGCTCTTCGACGTAGTATAATTCTCTCTCCGGCACCTCCGATGATAACAAAACGATCTTCAGTATCGCTGCAACAAGAGCAAAGCCACTGCGCTTATTGGGGATGAGACCACAGTCAAAAGGTCTCAGACGGTTAAGTCGCGGTGTCCTTCCGTGAAGACTCTTATACAAGTGGGAGGGCTTATTCCAGAAGACACGGTTGATTATTACAATGCTATTGGGAGCATCCCTCCGAGCATCCGAGCATCCAATTTGAGTCTTTTCATCTTCCTTGGGATCATCCGGCAGTAATATATTTTACCTCGGGAATGTCTGGTCTTGCCAAAATGGTCTTTCATAACCAGGTGTCATTTCCACTGGTAAGTGAAAAGGAAAATTCTATTTAGGGCTCTCTACTGATTTGAGAGCACTCAGCAATACCAGTAAATTTTGGATGCAGCTAGAACCTGCGGAGTTCTTTTGGAATACAGCGGACCAGGGTTTGTTCACCAATTTTGATTCATACGCGATCTGGCTCTGATTCAATTCTCTACGTTGGGGAAGGTAGCATACCCATTTTATGGAGCATGGAACAGCGGTGCCACCCTTTTTGTCTTCGACGGGCGCCAACTTACGCTTCGAGATTCGAAAGATTATTACTGATTACATCCACCAAAGTCGCACGAGCAATGTTTGGCAGCATGTGAAGCTCTCAAACCCGAAGTAATCAAGCAATGGAACCAACTCTCGAGTCTGAACATCCATAATGGTTATGAACAAACCGAAACTGTCCTACTTTGCGGTAACTTCAAAGATTGCCATATTCAGCCAGGCTCCATAGGGAAGCCTGAACCTATTATCCCGCTAAATATAATCGACGTAGATGGGAGAGAATGTGCCCCAAGTGAAGAAGGCAATATCGCCCAGAAAATCAAATCGCCAAACGAAGCTGAGAGCTTTTTCGGTATCTTTGACGGCTACATTGACGAAAACGGCTGCGTTTCTAGGCCAGAGCACCAATTTATTGTGAATGGTAAGATGGATACCTGGTACCGCACCGGGGATGAGGGCAGGAAGGATGAAATGGGCTACTTCTGGTTTGTCGGGAGAGCTGATGATGTGATTAACTCGGCTGGTTACCGCATAGGTAAATCCCACGCAAAGTCTATATACGCGTAACCAGCAGTGAAGCCAAATGTGCCAGGTCCGATTGAAGTTGAATCGACCTTGAAGCTGCATCCTGCCGTGGCAGAATCGGCGGCTATTTCCTCACCTGATCCAAGAGGGAGGAAGTTGTGAAGGCATTTGTTAAGGCATTTGTTGTCTTGACAGACGAATATTCCCACAGAACCTCGACGCAGCAAGATTTGGTCGCTCTGATCAACGAGTTGCAAAGATTTAACAAATCAAATGCAACCCCTTACAAGTACCCTCGCAAGATCCAATTCGTCGACTCGGATTTCTTGCCAAGGACCATATCTGGAAAAATCCAGAGAAACTTGCTAGGTAGATGGAATGGAAAGATGGAAGACCCAGAATATGACAGCTCTGCACATGGAACAAGTCCACGGCCGTTCATCACATGGGGCTTTTGATGCCCAGGAGCAAGTGCGAATTCTGGAGAGAAGATAGCGATAGCTTTGTGCACTCTTGTCTAGCAAAGTCCTCAGGTAAGGCCCTTCCCAGGCTGTGTCTAACAAAATGGTTCATATTGGCACCATCAAGCATTTCCCTACATTTGATTTGCCTTTATAGTCACGTTTTAACTCGCGATATTTTTGACTAGGAATATCTTTCTAGTACGAGGTACAATAGGCGAAGCTGACCGCTTCTTGGAAATCCTTTCCATCACATAATTAAGCGAGAATTACGAAGGGTGGGAGGCGGGGTACGCCACCCTCGGCACACCCTCGTTGATTTCTTATATGTACGAGGTGCATGCACAATCCCCGCTTTCTTTTCCCAAGCCAATCTTTGGTACAAGGACGACGACAAACACATTCAGATCGAAAGTCTCTTCATATTCGAACATGTTTTTGACTAGTTCAATTGGCACTAAGCGTCCACATCGCGCTTGCTTGAATTGTCGGTTAGTTGAGTTGATTTATGCCCCCATCCAAGGCTTATCGAAATCTGCTCTGCTCGCTATCATCCACCTTCTAAGAATAAACAGACGAAAGAAAGTGCGCTGTTACGGGGAACGGCCAGCATGTGGTTTCTGTGCCCGTCTCGGCCAACAGTGCATTTATCCTCAGCATACGCCAACAATGCAGCCAAGATTTCCTCCATCGCAACTACTTCCGGCACAGAATCATCATTATTTCGTGAGCCCAATGCGAAAAATTGGCCGCCAAGGGTATTGCTGATTACTCAACAGCCGAATTTTGATATTGGTGACGGCCAAGAGGTCACCGAAATTCTCATTGAAGAGGATCGAATCAGGTAATGGGATTCCACTCCAATAACATTTTTTGCTGATGGTGACCTAAATCTAGTGACCGGTGTCGACCAAACGATATAGCCCAAAACGAACTCGGCTCTTCTGCTCATCACTTTCATTCCAACCCTTTCAATCGAACCTCTCTTATTCCTGCTACAGAATCCAATCTTGACCTGGGGCCTTCTGACGGGCAGGCGTGCGCGACAGGATCGGCGGGTTCTCCTGTACTGGGCAAACCCTTAAATAAAACCAGCCAACAACTCGCGATTGATACATATTTCAAATGTTGTCATGGTCAACCGTATTCGATGTTTCACGAGGAGACCTTCCGGTCCGACTTTTCTCGAAGCACTCTACCTCCATATCTCATACTTGCAATTGTTGCCAGTACTCTTCGGTACTCACACGATCCGTGCTACAAGGACAATCTGTCATTAGCATCCAATCAATTCGCAGCACAGGCCTGGCGTGCTATCCTTGCGGAGTGTTTTGAAAGCGAGAGTGGCCCGGACTATCGTACCGTGCAAGGAACCATCCTTCTTGCCGTCCATCAATTTGTCGGTAAGCTCCTCCTTAGGTAATTGGGCATTCACTCAAATAACACAGCTAGGATGCAACTATCGAAGTGCGTGGATTCGTATTGGTATGGCGATTAGCATTGCGCAGTCGCTCAACCTGATGAGTGAGCCGCCCGATTTGGCGATTTCAACCCGAGAAGAGCACCGCAGGACACTGTGGTCAATTTATATGTTGGATAGATTGGGCACTTGTGGTACAAATCGGACCGGATTATTTCCAGATTCGGCATTGAGGCTTCGCCTCCCATGCCCCGAAAATACGTTTCGAGACGGTTCGCCGAACGATTCACCAACACTCAAACTATTAAATGAGAGCCCCCCAGATCAGCTAGGTAACGTTGGCGCCTTTGCGAGGGTCATCTTGCTCACATCAACTTTAAGCCGTATTGCGGGTTTCTCTCTTCAGCAGAACTGGCAAGCCCAAATGGAACCACCGTCGACACAAAATTCCGAATATGCCCAACTGATTACAAGACTACGCTCACTTTCAACTTACTTTGACAAACGTCAGCCGTTTGATCCAACTAACTGGAGTTCTGGTGGTCGCGAAGATTCGAACGACATCGCGCTGTGCATATTCTCACACATTCTTTATCACCTCTGTTATTGTATATTACAACACCCGTTCGTATTGAAACGGCGACACCGCCCGGGCGATGCCCCATTCGCAGGCGACTTCCTCTCTGATAGCCTCCAAAAAAATTGGCAGAATGCGCAAGATCTCACGCATACCCTATCATATGCCACTCAGAAAAACATGCCCACCTGGTCTTCGTTCTACGCCTACTGTTCGCTTGTGGCCGGAACAATCAACTGTCTCCACTGTCTTTCGAAGGATGAAAACACGCAGAACATGTCCAAATTAGCCGTTCAGATGAACTTTTTGTATCTGGAAAGACAAGCCAAACTATATGCAAATTCGGCCCAAATGGTAGGTCTTCTTTTGATGGCTGTTTCCCTCCTGTCACCCTACTTACACTGGCTCTTAAAGTTGGCGGCTCTTAGGAAATTTGAGAAAGATGCCGAAGCGTTGCAGCATTTGGTCGACCCCGGTGATCAAGAACATATTCTCGACGAAGACGATGCAGGTCGTCTTTACCGGCTCCTTGATTATAGCGCACAATCAACCAGAGCAACGTCTGAAGATCTGAGTCGGCCAGGGACAGAGCTACCCCTTTTGAGCCCTTCCAGTCTTGATGCCCTTGATCTCTTCGACCTCAATTTTACTTCTTTCGACAACTTTACGCCAGGAATGTTCATCGGAGAGAGCACACAGTGGAATCTTGACTAGTCCTTGTTAAATTCAATTTTGTGTTTATTCGACGCGGGTGTATGACAGATATTGCCAGCAAGTGGAATGGCAATTCGAACAACTTGGGCCCAGGCTCCTATCAAACCTGCGATCGCATTCAATTACGTGCTGACATTGACGGATCCGCCCGCCATCAACATGTCTGGTTGTGCAACTGATTGGTAAATTATTGGTCGAGTGACCTGTACGGCCATGAGAGTTTCGTTGCTCTTACTGCTCAGCAGTGTTGAGTGCCATAGCCGTGAGAAAGCGGGAAGACGTGTTGTTGGGAATAAAAACACAAGAACACATAAGCAGCCGAAAATCAAAAGCAATAATAATAGGCAGTTATCGCCTTTCAGATTGTGAATTCGTGATAAATTGGGGTTTTACGTACGCATTCCGCGAAATACATTCCAGGAGCAAAGTGGCCGCTCTCACCCAAGGTTCTAGTGCTTGTATTTATCACCGACTTCTTCGGCGATGGCATCGAATAGAGGTTTCGCACTGAACCATCCAGCTTGAGGGCTCCCAATGGCCTTGTGAGTAAAAGCTGCATCTTCGTCATCAATCTTGATTGTGACCTCACCACGCCCCCCAGCAGCCGCGTCGGCCAAGAGTTGTCCATGGCAGCACTTGTCAAGGCTCACAAACCAGAAGACCGCCGCCTCTACCGACTGCCCGACGGTCAAAATCCCGTGGTTTTGCAAAAGACATGCCTTTTTGCTCCCGATTGCCTTTGCGATGTTTTCTCCTTCTTTTGCATCAAGCACGGCGCCCTTGAATTGATTGTACACCGCCAGATCATTGTAGAACACGCAGCTGTCCTGGGTGATGATATCAATTGGCCGGCCCAAAGCACAGAATGAGCGGCCGTAGAGACTGTGTGAGTGGGCTGCACAGACCACGTCAGGGCGAGCCTTGTGCACTGCGGCGTGGATGAGATATGCGGCCGTATTCAACAGTCGGTTTGACCCGCCACCGATAACGTGTCCCTCGTGGTCGACGAGTATCAGGTCCGAGGACTTCATCATGGAAAATGCCACGCCAAAAGGATTCACCCAGAATGTAGTAGGATTGACAGGATCGCGCACAGTGATGTGTCCCGCGAAGCCTTCGTCGAAGCCACGTTGACCAAAGATGCGGAAGGCCAGCGCCAGGCGCCCCTTTAGGTATTCGCGCTCTTCAAGTTTATCCGTGAACTTGGGGGGTGCTGGGATGAATAGCTTCTTTGGCCCGGTATCATTCTGCGGCGACGTAATGTTATTGGTAGCAGAAGCTGCTGAGCTTAGAGCCTCAAGCTTGTTGGAGCTCAAATAGTTTCTTGTTGTTTCAGTGCCGGCTGTTGTACAAGTAGCCATTGTGATTAGGAGTACGGAGTAGTCGACAATTTAATTGCGTTATCTTCTGAATCGGAGGAAAGATGAGATATAATATATGGAGTATCGCTTCATTTGTATAGAGATGGGATGTCTATAGAGCCAGAACACATCTAGAGCTTTGGATGCTACCTTTATGGTCAAGTGTGTTTCCTTAAGTCACACCACGGACAAGAAGCCGGGGTGATTTCTTGTCTTTTCACTAGCAAAGTCCATTCGATTCCCATTTGGTTCACTCCTTGTCGACTACCTTTGCGAAGATTCTGACTGATCAAACAGTGTTTCCGATGTATCGCCGGGGGCTTAATGAAGCAGTCGACAAGCCAACTAATATTATTGGTCAAACGTTTTGGTCCGCGCGTCCGCCAACTCCTTTAGCCGCTGCCACCGTCTTGATGTCCGTCTCCGTGGCCCAAAAGGGCCACCACGCCGTCCCCACACTTCCGTATTAAGCGTCCCTTCCATGAACCATTCTTTCGAATAGAATTGGAGGGAAGCATACCCCTGTTGTAGAATGGCCTAGTCGCTGCGAAGTCCTCAGTTCATGGATGCACATTCTAGGCCTATAGCTGACCGTCTCTTTGCAAGCAGTCTAATTCTTGATGAGGATAGAGTCCGTGCGCTAAGAAACCTTGTCTTGTACCCTCCGCATTTGCGGGACTTTGTATCCAACAGGCGGAGATTTTGCGGGGTGCCAGGGACACGCGGTCAAATGCTGGAAACATACACACGCACACACACATATATATAAACACATATATATACCTGGGCCATGTATCAAGCAATCATCAATTACTCGCTTACGGCTCACTTTCAAGACACTTGGTCCTACTCCTTCGGCCTATTTACAGACTCACCAAAGCTACCTTTACTTCTTTCTTCGTAACAATGTCAGAGAAGGAAAGTATTGTCCAGTGTGAAGAAGCCAGCATTCATCGGGAAGGGATGAGCGAGGCCGAAGATGGGCCTCGCTTCAATGGCTCTGAAGAGCTGGAGATGGAAAAAAAGGTCATTCGCAAAATCGATATACGCCTGGTACCCATCCTTGGACTACTCTACACTGCCTCTCTGGTGGATCGGAGCAACATATCGGTTGCTCGGATATCCGGTCTCGATGAGGATGTGGACCTGGACAAAGGGAATCGAGCTTCTATTGCTCTACTCGTCTTCTTCATTGGATATATCATCTTTGAGATTCCAAGCAATATGGTCATTCAAAGTGCCGGGGTCGCCAACTGGATTGCCGGAATCACATTTGCCTGGGGGCTTGTCACCCTTGGAATTGGCTTTTTGTCGAATTGGGTTGGTCTGGCAATCTGCCGTGCAGTTCTTGGAATATTTGAGGCTGGATTCTATCCCGGGTATGATCTTCCGAATCAGTCTGCTGCTGAATGCAAAATCTAATCATGGCAGATGTGTCTATCTGATCGCATCGTGGTATAAACGATATGAAGTCCAGAAGAGATTGGCCTTTTTCTATCTAACTTCAACGGCATTGACGGCATTCGCAAACATATTTGCGTACGGTCTTATTCAAATTGCTAACAAAACCTCGTACAAAGGTTGGAGGTGGATTTATATCATCGAAGGGAGTCTCACCAGCTTCGTCGCCGTCATCGCTTGGTTCGTCATCGTCGATTTTCCGGCTTCAAAGCGCAACAAATTCTTGTCCCCAGAAGAGAAGCAATTTGTATTAGATCGACTAGCACAAGATCGAGGAACAGAAGAAAGACAGAAAGTCTCCTCACAACGGATCTTGGATACCTTGAAGGATTGGAAGGTGTGGTCCTTCTCTCTCATGTACATGTCGGCCGGCATTGGAGTATACGCCTTCTTGTTCTTCCTTCCGATTATCCTCATGCGTGGACTATCGTACTCCCTGGAACTCGCCTTCCTACTCTCAGCGCCTCCTTCCATTTTCGCCGTCATCGAAGCATTCGTTGTTGCATGGCTCGCAGACAAGCTGCAATCTCGAGGACTTTTTGTCATTTTCCAAGCATGCCTTGCCATCACCGGTCTATGCGTCATGGCCTTTGTCAAGCACCCAACCCCGAGGTACATTGGAACATTCCTAGGCATGGCTGGAGTCAATGGAATGATTCCAACGGTAATAGCCTGGCAACAGAACAATATTGTGGGCGATGCAAAGCGAGCAGTGGCCACGGCAGTCTTGGTCATGACGAGCGCTGTGGGTGGTATTTATTCCTCCCTCGTATTCCGTCAACAGGTTGGTCTGAGCTACAAAGGAAAGTTGTCGAAAAATAGAAACACTAACAATGTCCCAGGATGCGCCCGATTATATTCCAGGCATCATCGCTGTCATCGCACCAAACGCATTCACCGTGGTGCTTGCCATCGTCACCATTCTGGCACTCAGGTGGCAAAACAAGTTGGCCGAGAACGGAAAGAGATTTCCTGGAGTCCCGGAAGGCTTTAAATACACTTATTGAATAACGAAGCCACTATGCGAGTATGAGGATGATGGTGGCTTATCCTTCCGAAGAAACCATGCGATGGTACAAGGCCTTAGACAGCCTATTGTCTTGAGGTAGTATTCTTCGTGATTCAACAGAGACACTTTGCTCTACAACTATCATTATCTGCAACCAATTAATGAAACTACCTGTGCCATATTCCAATAACTATTCCCTTTAAATTTACTTTTTCTCACTGTATCAGTATTTTGGGATGTGTACCAATACGCCACGAACATTGGTTTACCGACGGGTTGTCTTGATATTCACCATTTCCCTGATATTCTTTGCAATGTAAAACAAGCCGATTGCGTCAAGAGAACTTTGTCAGAGCGTAAAGAAGTTCCTATATTACTTTACCCTTCTTCGCATCGAGGGTGCCGGCGGAGCCACATGGCTGTGACAGACTCATGCAATCATTTGAATAATTGATGCCCGGCGTAGAAAAAAATATCAAAAGACTGAGAGTGAATTGACAAACTCATTCTAAATTCATATAGAGAGAACTATATTTTTGCCCCGAGTGAATCAAGCTTGGCCTTCTGGAAGACGATCCTCATGTCTGAGGTTTGTAAATTCGTGGAACTCCTCCCACTAGACGGCTTGAGACTCTTGCCCTCACACTTGTCTGCAAACCAACATTCCTTTACCAACTGTGCCACATCATCTCCATCTGACGCCGCGTCGATGATCAGAAGCAAGCCTTGCACAATGTCAACAAGCCTTGACATGATGTCGCGAGCATGCCTCTAAATGTCTGACTTTGGGAGATCAATCAATGTCTGCTTAAAGTCTGTCCACCAACTCGCCACAGTTTTGATGTCAGACCCCTGCCTGGCGTTTTGCTCCAACACTGCGGTAACCCATTTGGACAAGGCTCTCATTACCTCTGTTCGATTCTTGCCATACAAGACGCGTAGAATGGCGTCATCAGCCATCATCTGGACAGCACCTTGGTCAGTATCGGCACAGAGACTGACGAGATTATACCGCAAACTCACATCAGTAGTCCCTTCCCAGATGGGTACAATGTTTGCATCGCGGTAGAGTCGGGCGATGTTGAACTGCATGTCGTCGTTTTCAAGGTAGCCGACTCCACCCAAACACTCCATGCATTCCTGGAGACCGGTGATTCCAGTCTTTGCAC